TATGGCATTAATTTAAAGGCTCTACTTACTAACGAGATTTTGCATTATCAAAATTGACAATTAATTGTCGGAGCTTTTATTTAAATAAAAATAAAATTAAATCTCAAATAAGCTTGTCTTATTTTAAATACTTTTATTTAACATTTTTTTAGACAAAAACATTAAAAAAAAAAACAAAAAAAAACTTTGCCCCAAGCGCGGTTTGAACCACATTACTTAAAAATTAATTATTCAAATTGCAGAGCGTTAACCATCTCTGTTAGCTCCACCCCTTTTGCAAAAAATTAGATAGTGTTATAAAAAGGAATTACTTATGACGGATGACTTTTTCAACTTAATTATACAATTTTTTAATAAACCAGAACGAATTTAAGAAAATGTAATGTCGATTTCGACTTATTTTTTTACGATCTTTTCAAATCTGTTATTATTTTTTATGAACGTTATTTGGTAAAAAAGTTAGCTTGCTTTTGACACATTTGTACAGGAATCCCTATGTCGCATCTTATAAATAACACAGTGTATATAGTGTATAAAAAAGTACTTGAATATAAAACAATGAGGCAGTGTATATTGCTCGTTACTTACCGTTATACGAAGGGCTCTGAAAGGACTCTTCCACAGAGCAAACATCATCTAAAAGACAAAGGGCATTATTCGCTTTCCATTGTCAGGGAATCCTCCCGCGTATTTTTAATGATCGTCATTGTATTCTGTGCATATTTATATTTTTTATAGAATCGCTTCAAAAAAATATTGTTAAAGTGCGGATTTTTGCCTCTATAGAGAGATATACCTTTGGATTTAATTAATCAAAGGAGTCAGGAGTTATAATCCTGGTTGGTATGTATATTAAGACGTTATTGAAACTAAGAAATTCGCTTATACTCGACTCTTAGCCAATTATTTATGTTAATCCAAAAAAAGAAAGATTGAACACACCGACAAAGCGAATTTAAATTCAACAAACAGCGAATCTGAATTTTTTATTTTTTCCGCGGGATTTAAGGGATGGTTGTAAGAGAAGAGAAGCAAGCGAATTGAAGAGAGCAAGTAGAGATGCTCGCATTATTCGGGCGGAGGTAAATCAAGCTGGAAAACGTGCGTACACACGTAGATGGTACATCTGAGGCCTGGGGCGGGCGACGAGTGCGCACGCCCCGGCCGTATCGACCATCGCCCCCGGGGGTGTCGTCTCCCTGCCGACCCCTGAAACTTCCCCTTTGGAGAAATCTCCGCCGCGCGGTTTATTATCGAGGCACCTCCAGCGCACATGCATGGGTAAATAAAGCCGCTTCGCAACGCAGGATCTGCTCGAATACATTACAATATCTGGCGCTTTACATTTGAAATTCCGAACATACTACTATGTTTCTTATGTATTCGTAAGAGTCCAGAATCTGGAAAATGTGCTGTCTGGATTTCGAATTTGAAATTTAAATTTAAGATTCCTGGCTATGGGCTAAATAACATTTTCTTTACAAGGCGAGTCGGCGAAGTGGCACTAAAATCTTGCTAACAAACTTCAAAAATCCTTATAATTTTTGAAATTTCTAATTTTACTTAGAATCGAAAATAATTCAACTCATTACAAATACGATGATTAGATAAGTATTATCGATTTTACAATAAATTGACAAAAACAGTATATGCAATTCAACAACATTTTGAATTTTTGAAATAATATTGTTGTGAGAAACTAACAAAAATTTCAATTGCCGTAAATATTTGAAAATTTTCCCTTTTATCAAGTTGCTCAAAAAATCAATAAATATTCAATCTATTTTCCAATTTCCCTTCCAAATGAGTGATTAAAAACGTATATTAACAACATATAATGTCATTGTGACGAAACCACACTATATAACTCGCCTATCGAATTCACCGAACAACAACCTTATATGCCAAACCAACCAAAAATATTATTAACCAAACCATCATCGTTCGGTGGATTTGCCAGTCGAGGGTCGCAGTAATGCAATAACCGGCCCTTGTTTTTCGACCGGCGCGACGGTAAATTCGCCGAAAAAAAGTAATAAAGCGACCGTGTCACATGTCGGGGCCGCGGACGTGTTCATTTGTCAAAAGGGAAATCCTTTTGAAGTGTCTTAAATAAAAGTTTTGTTGACGTTGGGCGCGTGTGCGTTCAGTCAAAAACCACAAAAGGGCAGCCTCCTCGCCCATCGAATGCGGCGAGTGGCGTATCGATGACATTTTAATTTTCCGGTGGTTAATAGGCAGGGCTGATCCCGTCAGAAATATCTAATATAGACATATTTCTAATTGAGATGCTTCATCCCATTCACATTTTTTTCCTCAAATTATTTTTATTGCAATAAAATTTTACTACATGATACTATTTTTGGCATTTCTTTGCCTTCTATATTGCATTAAATTCTTTGTATTCATAAGTTGATGCCTATATCTACGTGTAATATTACTTAAAATATATTTTTTTAATTTGTAGAAAATTGTTTTTATATAGACTTTTGTTTTTTTTAATAATGAATTGGTATATTTTTTTCGTATTCCTATAAAATCTCTACTTATAATTTTTTTAAAATATTATCATATTTCTTTATTTTGCATTAGATGTTTAGGATATTATATTAAAGTTATTAAAGAATTAAAGGATTTTTTTTTAATTTTTATGTTTTTAAATATTTGTACATATGTATTTAACATTTTCTCTTATTTCCTATATGTAGATATTTACTCCAAAATCTGACTACAATTAAATCCAAAATTTCCAAGTAATTAATTAAACAATAACGGTCTTTTTTAAAGGAAATTGAGTTCTAATGCTGAAAATTTCATTCGAATTCGGAAGTAAAAGAAACTGGAGACAATCGAACGAGCGCTGTATAACGAGCGATCGAGTGAATAATGATTCGTTAAGTTCTGGTTTGAATAGACCACAGACGGTGAAACACGCGTCATCCGCGATATTTTCTTTTGAAATCGACACGATTCCAGCAAGACCGAAAGGGAGTGAGACCGGCGCTCGCAATTTTGTTAATCAACCCAATAATTTCCCGCTACGTGGGGAATGGGGAAAAAGAGTTGTTATTAGTTGTCTACCAGCCGGGATTCCCCTAAGAAACGACCACACATTGGGTGTTGTTGTATACTAATTTAAATCGACCGAATAATTTCATTTGAATATTTTCCAATTTACTAATACATTTGAACGATTGAACAAACAATATAGCTTGTTTTCTGACAGAATTTCGCGAAATAACATTGAATGTATCTTATACATATGTATAAGTAAACCGAAATGAACAACTATCTAAATAAAAGCGACAAATATTCATTTTCACTTTCACCCCGAAATTGGGGATGGGAAAAATAGATTCGATAAAGTTCATTACAAATGGATAACCGAAATGCCCACTTATTGGATTATTCCGAATTTAGTCCCAAAGGCATAAAACTGCAAACATGTATGAAATTTGGTAGACATGGTACAGTTCCGTACTATATGAATTGATTTGTATGAATTAAGGTATTTTAAAAGGTATTACCTTAAGATTTGTTTTAGTTGTTATATTTATTACATTTAATTTTAGGTAGGTACTCTTCAAAAGTTTAAAGTAGTGACTGATGCTATTCAAATAACAGAAGACCTATACCTACCTAATTTCCTTTGTTCCTGATGAGGTCACACTTAGTATAAACTTTATATTCTCTCAATATGTACAAATAAATTTTTGTATGTACTTCCATACAGCCATACTCCTGCGCCTCTAGTCTTCTTGTTCTAATCAAAAACAAACAATTTGGTTAATATCTGTCGATTTAAAAAGGAATTTCTGGCGGTGGTTGGTTGATTAAGCCGTGGATTTGTCAATGGAGACGAGGGAATTTCCATATAATCCGGTAAGTGAGAATGTACTGCGTTTAAAGGGATTATAACGGGAGAAATTGACTCAATATTTGCTCTTTCGATATAAGGGTGACGTGGCTCTTTTGAACCTCTACTTTTCTTGCGAATAATACTTATTAACATTAACAATAGTTAACAGTAAAATAGTTAACAATAGCTATAGTATGTAGGTATCTTTTATCAAAATTAGTTTTAATGATCTTTCAAAGAAGTACAAGTTATATATTTGTTAGATAATAATTATCGGGTAAAGTTTCGACCATTTATCTTTTTCAAATCGGTTGTAAAATTTGAATAGTTTAAATTAAATCCTAAAATATGGCTTTATTTTTTCTCTTATTAGAAATGCTGATACCACATTAAATTCACAACTTCCTAAACTAAGGAATCGAGGTATTAAAAGTTTTTTTGAAAAAGGAAGAAAACGATTTTACATATGTATATTTTTTAAAATGTTGAAAATATGTTACATTTACCCCATGGTACGGGCTAAATGTAACAAACAGTTCTAAAGTGCAATACAATTATATAGAAAAACATATGGGGCAATTGTAAAAAAATATTTAGTTCCTCTAAAATTTGATATGCTGTTTATTTATTTATTTCAAAAAATAACAGAGCTACAAAATAATAAAGAAAAAATAAGAAACAAACCCTGTCTAATGCACAAAAGAACTATAAAAATAATAAAAACATTAACATAATAGGTAAAAATATTACATTTACCCTATTTTTACATTTGCCCCAGTCTACCTTACATTGTTTTTATAGTAGGTATGATCAATTTTATGAATTGAACAAAGAAAGATTATTAATATAAAAATTATTAGAGTGAAAAATTAGCAATCCCACAATATAACACTTTCTTTTCCCTTTATATGAGCCTAATAGAAATGGTCTTTGTAGCACATAAGATCATATTGCGTAAAAATTTTACAAATTTTCACTTCTGTAGATTCAATATTCAATTTAATAAATCGCTGGAGAACTGAAAAGAACCAGACCATTATTAATGACATAGTGCTATATAACTAAAGAAAAAATGACCAATAATTAATAATTTTTATTTTTTAAAAAATAGAAGAAGAATCAACTTTATTTTGAGGTTATGCAATTATCAGATGTAGGTTATCCGGGTCCATGCGTTTTATTGAATTGTTCCTCGATTTAATCATAAAATCGCTCTTTCAACAAACTAGTGAATAGTAAAACATTGTAATTAGTGTAATTAACAGCGAAAGTTCATAAAAAAATCTTCAAAATGGTCGAGCAACAACGTCAAAGGATTGAACAAGAAATGACCAAAATGATAAACGATTTGGATTTGCAATATTTACGAAAAATGCAAGTGAGTCAAAGGTATTTAATTACAATCTCCATGAATTTCTAAGATCTATTGTGCGGTAAATTTAAATTTGTTATTTACATTTTAGGCCGATATGCACCGATGTGCGGCTGCTTGCTGTGATAATAAAGAAGTTTCCTTAGAAAGGGTTCAAAAATGCGTGGAAAATTGCTCGGCCAGAATAAATATGGCACAATCTTACGTACAAACTGAATTAGAACAGCTTCAAAACAAACTGCAAAGATGCGTAATGGATTGCAACGATGATGTTAGAGTTAAAATGGGCCCTAATCCTTCTCAGTCAGAGGTATAATAATGAAATAAATGAAATAATGCTCTCTCTGTTAACGTTAACATTTTATTTTTATTTTCGTAGGTTGACAAATTTACTGCCATGTTTGAAAATTGTGCCACTAAATGTGTGGATAAGCAACTCGAATACATACCTTCTTTAATGAAAAGAATGAAGTCGCATTTGTCGAAAGAACAAAATACATAAATAAGTTTTTTTGTCAATTATTAGATATCTTAGTAAAATTATTATTTGTGTTATTCTGTATGTTGATGTTAATTGGTTATTTTGATGCCTATAAGTACCTACGACAGTCCAGTACATATTGATTTATCACCAAAAGTTAATAAAAAGATTATGTAATTATCAAAAAATATTAAATATACATCATAAATCATTACCAAGTTGAATGTGAGTAATATGACTAAAAAGTAATGAAATTATTTTGCTTTTTGTAAAACTTGTTAAATTGGTTGCCTATCTAATATAAAAAAGAAGGAGTAACTGATCGTCCTTGTTATGTAATCAATAATACAAAAAGAAGAATTAAACGTCACTTTTCTGTCAATGTCATTTATGTCAAAATAATGTAAAAAGTCGAACTCAAAAGTTTTGCGTGGGCACAATTTATCAATTTACATTCGTTCTACACATTAAAATTACGAAAAATGAATAACGCCAAATTCCAAGAAGTGTACAGTGACCTAACGCTGTAAGTAAACCATAAATTAATTTGTGTATAAATCATTCACTGCGTTCGTTCGTAGCTACACCACTCCAGATAAATTCTTCATCGAGCCGAAAGCTGGCGAGGAATTGATGGTAATAGAGCGAAATTCCGAAAATATAATATGTTTCAAAAGCGACCACAGACATCTGATACCTGCAGCGAACAGCCGGAAGGATTTCTGCGGGTTAATAGGTATAATCCAACTGTTAGCTTGTCCCTACTTAGTAGTAGCAGTTCAAAGGGAATTGGTCGGTTACATAGCAGGTTGCGCTGTCTGGCGTCTCGCCAAAGCCGAACTAATTCCATACAGGAGCTGCGCGCACTTATCGCCTGAAAAACAAGCAGACAACGATGTCTATTTGTCCATGGTGTATTCTGTACTATCCACTCCATTTCTATACTTTTCGTACGACTACGATCTAACGCATTCCTTGCAACGCTTGCACGGTATAAGCCCTGATTTTTGGAAACAATCCTTGTTCGAGCGAGCCGATCAAAGGTTTGTCTGGAACGGAAACCTGTTATACTCGTTCAAAGGATTTTCGATACACAGATTTTGCTTGCCTCTCATGCACGGATTCGTTTCGATAAATTTCTGCGTGGTGAACGGGCATAGTTTAAACTGGTCGATTGTTAGTAGAAGAAGCATTCAAAGAGCGGGAACCAGATTGCACCGAAGAGGGTTAGATAAAGAAGGAAACGTGGCTAATTTCGTTGAAACCGAGCAAATAGTCGAATACCAAGGCGACCGGGCGAGTTTCGTGCAAATACGAGGGAGCATTCCCCTGTTTTGGCAACAAGATCCCGACCTGAGATACAAACCGCCGCCTACTCTACTCGATGTCGATCCGCAAGATCAGCACTCGATGTGTCTGAAGCACATGAACGATTTGATGACTTTCTACGGAAAGATCGTCTGCGTGAATCTAGTGGATCAAAAAGGAGCTGAAGGAAACATGGAAGTCGCATTTAAGAACGCCATTACCAACGTATCGTCTCCATCGGTGAAGTACGAATCATTCGATTTCCACGCCGAGTGCAGCAAAATGCGATGGGACAGACTGTCGATTCTCATCGATCGTTTGGCGCACGATCAAGACGAAATGAGTTTCTTCTTATTGCTAAGAGACGGCTCGTTGAGTTCGTTGCAAGACGGTGTATTCAGAACGAACTGCATCGATTGCTTGGACCGCACGAACGTCGTGCAAAGCATGCTGGCCCATCGGAATCTCGAAAGCGTGCTCAGAAAATTGCAGATCCTCCATCAGAATCAAACGTTGGAGTTCCAGTATTCGTTCGAGGTGTTGTTCAAGAACGTTTGGGCGGACAATGCGGATATAATCAGTACCCAGTATTCGGGTACAGGCGCTTTGAAGACGGATTTCACGAGGACCGGGAAACGTACGCGCTACGGATTGCTTCAGGACGGTATGAATTCCCTGACGAGGTACTACAAGAATAATTTCGCGGACGGGCTCCGGCAGGACGGCATCGATCTGTTTTTAGGCAACGGTAAACCCGTTTCGCCTTTGCATATTGATAAGGGATGGAAATACGTGACTTATCCGTCGATTCTATTGATAGCTGTGGCTATGTTCGTAGCTTGTGCTGTTACTCCCTCCGAGTACTCGACGGATTCCTTGCTGTTTCTCTTGTTCTGGGGTTCCATGGTCTATGCAACTTTGCACACTATTTTGAAGTACGGTTCGGAGTTTGTAGATAAACCTAGGCTCACTCATTCTTAACAATTAATTTACTAAATTGTCCGGTATTTTTCTTCCTCGATTTCCAAAAGGGTATATTTTTAATTCCGTAATTTAAAGATTCTTGAGACACTGTTAGAGGAGGACAATTTTTAATTGCATGTATACAGTTTGGATTGTAACTTGTAACTAAATGAGAATTAATCCTTCTGTATAATCATATTCGTATACTGTCTATTTAAAGAATTATACATGTATAAATGTATTATTATCGAAATGAATCATTTAAGAAAATAAAGACTCTGTGTAGGCATCAAAAGTTTCATAATCTTATTCTTCTAGTTGTAGCTAAAAATAATTTAATGAGGATAGAAGCCTAATTACAATTTTTTGTATATTTTTATTATAATTGTTGGTAAAGTTAAACCTATTGTTTTGTTTCTTATATAATGCATTGTTAGAGGCTACAACCATTTTATCTAGTAGAATAGACCGGTGAAGTTACATGTTTTTTAAATTATAATTTCCTTGACTTTATAATAAAATTAACCTTTAGAGGTTGCAATATATGTGATATTTATTAAAGTGGAGGTCGGATTTATTTGTTAAACGAAGGCATATGTGAACTTTTTTTAGTCGTTTAAATAAATGTTTCAATTGTCGTCTGTTCTATTTAATTTCAATTTTTTTAATTGATGTTAATTCCGAAAAAATAACGTAATCTTTGTTGATTGTGATTTAATGATCCTATAATGAGCCCTATAAAAATGCTATAAAAATGCTATTATAAAAGATTTCGTAATTTTTAAACATTCTTTTTGTCTGATTATAAAGAAACTACATCCTTATGATGCATCTTGAAACCATTGGGTTATCTTCATAATTGTTTATTTACCCTATATGTAATCTTTTTTGAATAATAGAAAGATAATGCAATTTAATGGTCTATGGACTGCAAATAATAAACATAAAATTGAGGATTGTTACCAACAAACATTTTACTAGTATTTTAATAGAATGATAAATATATCAATGCTGATCGAAAGCTGAATGGAAACAAAGCTTAATAACTCCTTATATAGCAAGTATGACACAAACTGTGGATTTTGACGTTTCAACGCTTCAATTTCCTTTGAAATGTTGCAAAAAACTGGCTCTGCTGAATCCTGGGAGTTTCCTTGGGATGTAAAAACGAAAACCAACCGTCCTCAAACCGTTCAATCCAACCAAACCGGTCGAAATGTCGACGAAATTGCCTTTATTTTATGCTGTTTAGGCGTTTTTATGCTAGTAAGTACCAATTTCTAGCATACCAAAGAACTTTTTAGAGTCTCGTTTAATTTTTTTAGAGTTCTAGCATAGTTTTAATCGGAGTTTCGACGTGGTCTTTGATAAAGAAATCGTTTTACTCTTACTTGTTGGACATCAGAGTGGACATACCGTATTTTAGCATACCAGCAGCGTTTATTTTGCTACCCGGATTCTGGATTGCCATTTGGATACACAATGACGAAGAAAGGCGCCAACTCTCTCACCTGGTAAACATTTCATCCTGCCACAACACAAATCTCATCCAACAAAATTCCAGCTGCTATCTATCATAATCATATCCAGCGGATTAATCATAACAGGAACGTCCGTTGGATTGCTGTATTCGGTCAGAGTGAGTTCGAATTACTCTCAATTATATTATTCGTTGAGAAACGATGATTTGAACAAAACCTTAGCCCCTAAATTTATGAACTACAATACCAGCGAAATTGTAGCGAAGACTTGGGATAGAATGCAGCAGAATTTAAAATGTTGCGGGATTTCGAACAGCGCCGATTGGGGCGTTATCGGTCTGGGCATCCCCGACTCTTGTTGTCAAGAAGTAACATTTTTATTCTATACAGCTCCACCGTATTGTCCGTACTTAAAGAGATGTTTGCAGATGAAATGCACTATTGAAAATTCGTACAAGAGATCCTGCTTGGATTCGATCAGCAGGGACTTGGTGTGGCAGCAGAATATTTTGAAATCTCACTGTTACATAATGACAGGGGCGCAGGTTCGTATTGTTGCTCTCGAAAATTCCGCATTTTCATTACAATTTCCCTTCAGGTGCTTAGTGGAATTGTGTCGACGGGGTTTTATATTTCAAAGAAGTTTTCGAAATGACTTCATTTCTTTCCCAATCAGGTAGTAGATGGAACAAAACTAGTATTTTAAATAAAACCTTTTTAATTTTTGTAACAAACTTATTCATTATTTATGTAGCTAACAATACCGGTGTGCAGTGATCAAAAGTTTGCAAGTACAATAGTATAAAAATTTGGTGTTTTATAATATCACTTTTTGCTAAAATGTAGTATATACGCATGCATTGTTATGCAATTAATTATTATTATTCTACTTTTTTCAAAGGTAGCTCAAGCGTATTTTGAAATATTTCTATACAGGGAAATCCATGAAAGCTCCACAAGTCTTAGATGAATCACCTTGCATAGATGGTAAGATTAAAAGGTGAACTTATTTTGAAGCTACTCTTTACTTTGGAACAAAAAATGAAAATTCTCTAAAAATAAGCCGAAAGAGAAGTGATTTAAGTTTGAATTGCTGTAAATAATGTCTATTACAAGAAATTTTAAAGAAAGTAGAGTAATCATGATTCAGTCAGAATTTTTACAATCATCCTTATATATGATGAGGTATGTTACTATAACCGGTAGGTTATTTATAACGTCTATTTTTTCATTATTCAAAATAACCAGCAGGTTACAGTAACATAAAAGATACATAAGGGCGAATAATCACTATGGTATAAATTGGACTATAATTAATTATTCAACAAGTTTTCACTATCTGATCTATATACTACATGCTGTTTTTAACTTTAAAAATGATATAAAATTGTACTAATGTCATCCCTAAGGCACAACAAATAACACTAATATGAAATTTTAAAATGGCATTTTGTCTACTCAATTCCTATGATAATTACTAGATAATTTTCAATAAAGTTTGTCGTTTTAGAAACTAAAAAACTAGTTTTATCTTATTAACGATACTTTTATCATCACCGATGTACTCGAGGATGAATTACAATTATATCTTAGCAAAAACTTATTTAAATAAAGTAATAATTTACAAACTGTACACGGTGTTTCATTTACCAATGAAACACCTTTTACAGGAAATTATTCACTAAGAACAAACATTTAGTATCAATGCTGTAATTAATTACAAACTGGACTAGACAAACTGTATTGAACTGGTACTAAATTTAAGTAGGCGGTTTTAGCAATTTTTAGGCATATTTTAGAGCCTCAGAAAATGGAAGAAAACATTCCAGACTTTCATAAAATTGTATATTTATTGAATTTGTAATTATTGGGACTTTTGTTTTTGACGCTAACAAAGAAGCAAATATCGCATAAAATTAGTAATCAAAATTATAATATTCTAATAAATATGCCAGGAATTGCTCAGCTCAATATATTATTCCAATTATGTCCCTTATAAAGGAACAAAAAAAATCATCTTTTAATGTCACAAACAAACCTCATTTCGGTAATTCATTTACCAATAAAAATTGGTAAAATAAATAAATTTTTCAATATTGGAAAATTCGCAAAGTACAAAAACCTAAAACAAATACTCTAAATTTTTCTAATCTAAATATAAATTTGGTAAAGTAATATTTGGAAATCAACAAATAAATAGAAGTATTAAAAAATAAATTACATAGAATATAAAGTAATTTGGTAAACAACCTAATTAAACTTCTAAATAAAATTCGATAATACTTTTTGCGCGAAAGTAAAAGAGCGGCGGAATATTAGAATTGTAGGTACGAAAAAAAATCACTTCTAAATTATCCACGATTCGTAAGACGCAGTCCAATGCGTCACTGCCGTCCACGATGGAAATTGGCTCACCAATTTCCCCAATTCCTTCGTAACCTTACCGGATCCGAAAAGATGGTGAGACGTCACTGCTAGGTCTATCGTGGGGCCCGAGTGATTCTTAGGAACCTATAAAGTAGTTAAGTATGAAGAAAAACGTCAGAAAAATAATGCTCTTATTGAATCAATCGCGCGCTCACCTTAAACATAATAGAAAAAACGAAAGGTTTATTTTCTATTCCGTAGGAGTAATAAATAAAGTAAGTCTTTCGACCGTTCCACAGTGGCCCCTCCACAGGCCCGTCTGTGGGTAGACTCCAACTATCGAATTCGACTCCGAGAGCGGGAGAAATCATCACACCCATATGGCTCGGACCTATAATCAATTTTAATAGTAAGAATAGTCCAGTAATCGATCGAAGGCACATTTGAATCGCCCTTAGATTAAACTATACCTCACCCAATGTAGCTTCTAAATGGTCCTAAAGCATTTTAAATGGTTCTGGAGTGTTCTAAATGATTATAGTCAGTTCTAAATGATTCTGGAACGTTGTAAATGACTCTACACAGTTCTAAATGATTCTAGAGAACGATTCTAGAGCGATTTTTGCATCTACCCTTTTTGTTTTCAAGTTTACGAGTAGTTTTTGAATTTTTTAGACGGTTTCTGCATGTTTATTAGATTCTCCAACGTTTTTCGAGAGTTTTTGGTGTAATGTTTTCATGTTTAAATTCTACGATTTGTTACATTTTTTAATTTGTAATAATTAAAAGTAAACAAGCTAAATTGAATATTTCAGTAACATAAAGGATTTCATTGTTTCAAAACGTACGAACTTTAACTTTGTCCATCTTTTTTCCATGTTTGCGCCGTTTTTAAACTACCGAGCTACATTTGGTGAGGCGTAGAAATTATTGTATTATCATACCTTGGATTTTAAACTCCAAACGTTCTCTGCCGTTGGTCTTCGTCCGATTCAAGATTTCCGTAACGACGGGAATTTCGAGCGGGGGCTTCCCGGCGGGCAACCAATGGGTCTTCCAAATCATCGTCAATACGGGCACTAAATATGGCAATCCGCAATAGAGGTAATCTTGGCAGTCTTTGGTAACTAATTGAGCGTTTTTCATGTCAGGAACGTATCTATCAACCGTGTGGGGACTGTTTATATCCATGTCGGCTATCCAGTAACCTGACGATTCCGAGCTTATTTTTCCAGAGATGTCGTGGAATGTTCTATGGGTATGCTGTCAACAGATAGAAAAAAATACTAATAGTAATTGAAATATTGTAAAAAAGTTTTTACACAATCAACAAAAGTCTTTGGATATACTCAGTTGAGAAAAAAAACGATGATTCTCAAGTGGCTGTAGATCCTTTACTCAGCAGTATACAATGGCCCAGACTTTACAAATATACGGCCGTGCTTTAAAGTAAACAAAGTCCCTAGTTACTCTATAACAACAATGTAAACCTGTCAAGTTAGAGACGCGACTTTAAATTCGTGTTTAAGGTTAAAGTGGGGCGCTGAATACGGACCAATACAAATGAATGACCGTACATATCATTGAAACAACTCACCGCTATCATAAATCTCTGGGGAGCCAAAGCTCCCGGTTCGCCGGAATAGGGGAATCCCATTGGCGTCAAAATTAGCAACGCCAACGACAGGAAAAACAGCCCGGTTAGCAGGCTGAAGATCCGTTCGATGCCCTTCACTAGCAACGCCAGCGGCGCCACGAAGCTGAAGAGCGTCGCGAAAATCGACGTCACCAACACGGACACCAGGAATTCGGCGTGGCTGCCCGAACCCGCCCTGCCCATGATCGGCACGAATAGATACAAAGCGCCCAGGCTCAGATAAAAGCATTGCACGAACGGCAATCCGAACACTGATATGTGCAACAACAACCATTTTACGTCTAAAAGATAAATAGATTTCGAATTTTGGAGTTGGGTAAAGTGTGTGGGTGAATGTAAATTTACCTCTCCATTTGGTGAATAGCGCGGATTTCAGAACGTTTCCAACGGCAGCCGATAGGACCCACAGCAAAGCTATAAAACTGGATCTCAATCTAACTAGCACGCCCAACGTTAATACTACCGTCCAAATCAATTGATATGCGTCGTAATAGAGTTGAAAGAGCGTCCAAGGAGATGTTTCCAAATCCTAACGATAATAAACTTTATTAGGAACAAACCTATACCTCACCAAATGTAGCTTAGCAGTTGAAAATCGCATTAGATGAAGAAATATAAATAAAATTAAAGTAACTAGATATCCTGTGCATCTTTAATCTTTACCTACCCTCTCCCTTCTTTAAACTTTCCTACTTAACTTCAAAATTATTCCACCTGCCAAGCTACATTTGGTGAGGTAAACTATACAGAGCATTAAAATTTCTTAAATACCAGGACTTTTTGCACTCACCTTGTTGTACATTCTGGAATGCAACAACACCGTCGCCATCGATACAACTAGAGTGGGTATAACGTAGAGAAAAAAGATCCACAATGGACGGGCGTACCAGCTCATCGTGCGTCCCAAGCAGTTTATCAAACCTGCTATCAATAAAGTCGATACGACGGACATAACCCATGATAAGAATACCACCATCATACAACCCATGGATTTCTTGATGTACGTTTTTCCACTCAAACCTGAAACCAACGCAACAAACTTGTATTCACACAAGAACATAGTTTAGTTGTAATATAAATTATTAAACAAATAATGCGCAGGGGAACAAAGACTATTGTTCATCTAGACTTCAATACTTACTGTCTGTAACTTTAGCAGAACGATAATTCCTGCATATGCTATACAGCGATAAAATCACTGAAGATATGTTGATGACGTCCGAAACGGCCATCGGCCATCTGACTACGAACGCCCCGAGGAAATCGAAAAACACCAAATTCCCCGCCCTGTATTCCTCGATATTGGACAATTGGTGTCCTTGAGCCATGCCCTTCGCCAGGGCTAGGATGTTATCGCCCGTACGTTGAAGGGATCCCAACGGTACGTGTTCCACGGAATCGTACTTCGTATGATAGACGTAACCGTTTGCTGACCAAGCGAAATCCAAACCTTTAATGAAATGCAATTGTATGTAACGGAGGGACTTTATTAACGCTGTCAATCAGCCAGGACAATTCAAGTTCGAGATCAAGTGAGTACCTGATATGTTGCCGAAATCCCTGAATATCCTGTAATCAGTATCTCCTGGTATAATGCCGCTTTGGAAAATTTCCTGGGCCAGAGACGAGGCGTAAGGGTAAGGAACCTGTTCAGAATAAGTTTCTAATATCCAAGGGTGGTTGGGTCCTGCTTGAAAAAGGACCTCTCGACCACCAGCACCACAAGCCTCCAAGTTTATAAACGCTCTAATCTATAAAAAACAATCAGATTAAAATATTAATCGATTTGTAACGGTATAACTACCTCTTTGGCCCATTTATGTTGAGTGATGAACCCGTGTGAGGCTGGCAAGAAATTTTCCTCGCCGCCATTGAACAAAAATATGATATTATGCCTTAACAGTTTGTTGGATTTCGATAAAACCCTTAAGATTTCGAGCATCACAGCACAGCTGGCTCCGTCGTCGCTAGCCCCTGCAAATGATACATTTAAAACAACTCAATTTATTCTCTATCTGCATCCTCAAACCTGGACTATCGACGACCGAATCGAAGTGGCAATTGATCAGCAAACTGTGTGGGGATCGTTTCTTCGAACCGAGTTTCACGACGACGTTCTGCAAATCCCTGTACACGTTCGTCATGCCGTCGAGAAATTTCAGATTGAAGGCGCCCGATACCTTTTGAACGTCCAATTCGATCAAGTGGTTTTCGTTCGCTTCGCCGATTATGTTTTCTATGGCGGATTTTAGTAAATTAACGGCGAGGATTTCGTTCTCGTAACTGCCGGCAGGCCGAGGACCGATCTCTGTTAAAGTCTTTAGCCAGTTGTACGCCCTGTGTTTAAGAATAAATTTTATTTTCTCCCAACTTTAGTGAATATGTATTGTTAATGGAATGAAGTGTGTTATTTAAACGAATTCAATAGGAATTGAAAGTTGCTGTAAATTTCATTGATTACAGGGTTTTTCATGGTAGTCTTTCATTAGAATTTTTAGGAATTTCTGAAGAGTTACGAATTTGAAAATTTGGGGTAAGGTATAGTTAATGTTGTGAATAGTACTTAAGTAACTTCCAGTTATACAGCAATATCAAAGTAACTTGAATTATCATGACCTATAACAGCCATGATAATTCTCTTCTTGGATTATTTAGAATAATAAAATTAACAAAAGTTTGATATTTCAAAAACGATTGGATTTGGGTATAGGGAATACCTGTATGGATTGAAAGGGCCTATAAATATCCATTGTTCAATGTCTAAAAATACAGGGTGATCCATTTGAAATAAAACAAAGTTATGGCTATTTTAAGTTAGGAAAGTTAGTCAGACAATTTGAAACACCCTGCAAAATGAACCATGAAAACTCAGTTTAGTTTCATTTAGTACTGTATCAAATGAAAGGCAGCAGTGAAAAACCCTGTATAATGCACATTATTTATATTACTGAACATAAAGAATAATGAAACAGTATTTGTATCCTTCTTGGAGAAGTGCATTTTATATACAATTAATTTTGGGAAAACTATAATGAGTATACTGTACATGATTCTGACCTTTCGGCTATAAAACTGTCTGGATTTTGTCGCTCGTCTTGTATCCTGAGGCCGACGGGTAGTTGTTTTTCAATAAATATAACTAAGGAAAATACAATGACGATCAAACTTAGCAAGCCTAGGAAATGCACGTACGGCATGGGTCGATGGAATTTGTGTTTTTCATATTTATTATCTGCATATTTTACGCTCGATTTATCTTCATTAAAGCGGTTACGAAGGTTGTAATTCTGAAAAATAATCCGTCGATAAGGAAAAAGCATTCGAGTGTGGAAAATAAGAATCAAATTTGGATTTTGACCTTTGCTTTTGTCACCTTGGAATATAGTAAACTGACTCACTACCTTTAACTAATCTATATACAAAGTTCCCTCCATTAGCAGTTGAAAGTGGAAATCATTTTAAAAGGCAATAAAAATAAAAAATGTAACGCAAATATTTAGATTTTTTCTACAATACTTGTTAATAGTAATGGTTTCAAGTCAACTAGATAATTGTTACAATCCTTACATTTATATCAGCAATCAAAGTTTAAAAATTTTGTAACATGTTTAAACCATTAATAATAATGTTTTTTTTGCACACTATTAATATTATGTGGTAAATATTATGTATAATATTGCGCCAGGAATGTGTAGTAAAATAACAAAATCGTTTTCATGGTTCTGATAAACTTTACTCATATTAATTTTGTGCGTTAAATTGTCTGAAATAGAAAATGTAGTATTTGATTAAACTTGTTAATATAAAAAAACCTCTTAACAAACATAATAAAACGTAAACATTATTGGTACACACATTATAATATCGCAGCACAGCAATTATTTGAAAAATTCCAGGAAGTAATAAAGATAATAGAAACTAATAAAAAATATATGGTAAAAAGAACAATTATTTATCAACAAAATCTGGGGTAAATTTATTTTAAATTTTCGTGTACAACATATCAAGATTTTCATCGATAAATTTAGAAATGTAACATTCACTTTTTATTCTTATCATTATACATTTACTTTATTATTCACACACTTAGATAAGCTCACCCCAAATGATTAACATTTTTATCATTGAATTTAAGCTCGCATTACGATAATCAATTCAATTAAAACAAAAGAAACTACCAAATGTTATGTTTCTTTCAACAAAACAATAGGTGTATAATAATTTAATTTTTTATTGTTTGCTAACAAACAAATAAATACCTGATTTACATTGGTAAATATGCATAAAATTTAAGGGTCAAGTTCTTTCAAAGCCATTAATTTAAATTTTAAATGTAACTTACTTTCAACATTTTAATATTTCCAATAAAAATATATTTTATCAATCACTGAATTCGCGACACTCATAAATATCGATTGAAACGATAAACTTTTAAGGCAATTCAAGCTATTAGATATTGGTTAGTATTCGATTGAAGATTTTGATTAACGTTTATCATCATTCCAAGTTTAGTTTATAACTAAACTGAATAGAATTGGACTGGATATTATTAAGTAAACGTCACTGCTCCTTGTTTTGGGACCAAAACAAACGCATTTTTCACATTGTTTAGTGACATTAATGACAGTGGTGACAGTTAACATATGATTTGATGTTCTTTGCACACAACATAAACATAGAAGTTAGATGTTTCTTTTCCTCTTTTCAAGGATTGGGACTCAGCTATTGTAGTTATTCGGTATATTATTGTGCTATAAGAGTATAATAATTAGGGTCAATTTTTAATCGATCGTAAAGAGTTTTAATCGATTTAATAAACTCGTCGTAGCAAGATTAAAGGGATAATGTTTAAAAAGAGTGAAGTGATCGATAATTGAAAGAGTGTTACAAATATATGCAACACCAATTACAAAAAAGTATTTTTTTTTTAGACCAATTGCCCAATTTCTAAAATAGACCTTGCAAATTTTGTTGTTATTACACTATATATTTATAAATATTAAACGAAATATTACAAAAATCATTAATAATTATTATAAATTGATCGTAGTAAATTTTTAGTGACGCGCGTTTATTTATTAAAATTGCACCAACATATCGACAAATTTGTGAATTGATCTAGCAGTGATAAATGTAGAGACAGCTAATAGTTTCATCTGGAGTTGTTTTCCAGAATTTAAAGACTTGTGGCAAGCGTGAAGACGCTATAACAAGTCTGCAATACCTAAAAAAATATACTCATATAGTATTAAAGAATTTGTAAAAATGGGTATTATAGAAAAAATATATTCAAAGAGGTACTCATAAACCCATACTTACACTTAGATTATAAGCATAATTAAATGTCTGGCCTTGAATCAAACTAATTTTTAATGGTTCCATCGAATTTACCATCATTATTTGTAACATCTGGCGATTTTGTTTATTCCAGTGAATCCAGGGTGTATCGCATAAAGTGTTATATAAATTTTCTGACTGAAAAAGGGTAATTGGTATTGTTTCTACTCTAATTTTAGCAAAATTTTCATAACACTTACCTCATCCGCTAATAATTGCCCGTAATGAGTGTAAGTAGTGATCAAAATTAAAGACATTCCTATATTGCAATACATAGTGGTGTCATAAAAGGGGTCGGTTTTCTAAAATATATGAATTAATTTAGTATACTGTTCCTTCAATTTATAAATACTTACTGCATACACGAAATAATAGTTAACTGCTATGGCAACTCCGCCTAATGCAGTCAAAACAAGTATGGGCATTTGCATTAAACTTAAATAATAATTGTTAAAACTAAAATAAATTAGAAAAAGGAATAATAATGTTCATATACGAGTATTTTATAGTGGTAACCTTACTAAGCTATGCTGTTATGATGCTTAGCACAAAATTTTAAAATTTCGCCAATATAATTTTGATAGTTTTCATCATCTATCGAATGGCTCAAATTATTTAGACTATCCTGTAAAAGATACCTCAACAAACGTATTTGACAAATAACATGAGCAATGCAATAAATTATAAAAGACAACGATACCACGGCGTGACAAGAAAGCGCAGTCACCATTGACAAAAGCATTATAGTAGTGGCCATCTCATTTGTGTATTCCAAAATATAGCTTATAACAAGGTAAATTTTCATTTCGCCTTTAAGATTAAATACGGCATTTATGTAATTGCAAAGAAAAAGCAAGACGGCAAGGCCAAAAAACGTAAATTTCGTTTTCAAAATTTCCCGAGAAATTGTTCTGTTGAAATTGGCGTCTTCTGTTGTTAGTGATCCACAAAATTTCGCTAAGTCTCTTTCGATGTTTTTAAAGAGCAAAACGAAATAAGGGTTAATGAAGGCCATAATAATGAACTAGAAAAAATACACAAAAATATTTCATGTCATTAGAACTTGTTGTATAATTGCTATTAGTATAGTTAACTTACAGGTTGAGAATTTATAATACCCACTATATTGGCAACATAATTTCTGTTTGGGCGTTTAGCAAAGAAAAGTTCGTAGATAAAAATAACTATATTTGATTCCATCAGCATTCCCACTGTGTACGAAATAATAATAAATTTTATTGGATGAGCTATGAGATGAGAGAAGAATATTGTCCTTCGCATGAAGTAAAAAGGATTATCTGAAAATATAGGCTTCAAAATAATATGTGCATAAGCATAATGTAGGTAATAGTAAAAGGTATGGGATTATTGCAAGAAAAACCAAAACTGAATAAATTAAAAATGTTATAATAGTTTTAGATAAGAATATTAATTTGAAGATTTAATATACCTGTCATGGGTTTGAGCTTAATTTTATTTTCGATAGTTTCCATTATTACAATTCAATTACCGATTGTGAAATAGGCAGGTCGTCTATCGGAATTCAGTTTAATATGAAACGTTTAACAATTAAAACTCCTATTGTTTCACTAATGATAACTTAATATCATAAAACTAATGATCTGTATCATTAACAACTATCCTACGTAAATAATAAGTTTCAATTAATTGCTCATGTTCTGACTACTTTATTTGTTTTTTTAATAATGAGTTTTTTATTATGCTTGTTTATTATTTTAAATTTGAACTATATTTTACAGATAAACTAACAGAATCTATCGACAGAAAAATAATATTTTTAATAATCTGTACATAGAGAAAATAAAACTTTCCTTCTACTTTCTTTCTCTATGAATCAATAAACAAAATGTATAAATTTATCTTCCTTGGAGGATTGTCTAATTTATCAAAAAATACTTCATTTCTAATTATTTTTTAAAATATTTAAAATACAGTGGTTGAATAACTTAACAGTTAGAGTACATAGTAAAGAAGAAAATCGAATTGTCTTACGCAGCAGCCAATCAGGCACATAATATTAGAAGGTTACATCAATATGATTTGTGAGTGAGGACAACGCAAACAATCATCAATTTTTGCATTTGTTTTTTGTTTAATCGAGTTAACCACATACATAAAAATTAACAAATAATTTCTGTTCGATTAACTCTGTCAAAGACTCTTTGTTTTGTTTATCAAAGCAAATTTTTTATATTTTCAGAGGAAATAACCAACCTCGCATTTTAGCGGCCTTGATGAACGCATGCGTCATTTAAAAATTCCAACTAATGACATTTCGGTGACGTTGACGTTTGTTATGGCAAGGCTGAAGAAGACAACCACCCTTTCGTTGTCACTTCCGAACTTTTTATATGTTGGTAAATAATTAAACAAGACGATGAGCCTGAAAACCGAAAAAGACAAAACCAAGCAATTGCAGGATAAATGCCAATCAGTTTTGAATTCATTGTTAAGAGATGAAGACAACAAATATTGTGTAGATTGCGATTCAAAAGGTAAGTTTATCAACCAGCAAATGCTTTTATCCTATCAAGTAACAATCAGGTAATTAATATTACATTTTTCAAAACTACGATAATTATTAACATACATACGTTTAATTGGTAGTCTGGTTTAGTGATAATGTTCCAATATATCGTATTTTTATAAATATTAACATTAAAATATGATTAGCAATAGTTTTATGCTGTTTAATAAATTTACTTTGAAAATTATTGTTTATATTTTATGAATAGGTCCAAGATGGGCTTCATGGAATATCGGAGTGTTCTTGTGCATCCGCTGTGCTGGCATACACAGAAACTTAGGGGTGCACATTTCCAAAGTAAAATCAGTTAACTTAGATTCTTGGACGCCCGAACAAGTCGTATCTCTACAACAAATGGGAAACTCCAGGTAAGAAATCACCTCGTAATACTCCTAACGTGTTAACTTGAACTAAAATTCCAGAGCAAGAGCCGTGTACGAGGCAAATCTACCCGACAACTTCAGACGTCCGCAGAGCGATTCGAGCTTGGAATCGTTCATTAGGGCGAAGTACGAGCACAAGAAATACATCGCTCGCGAATGGGTGCCTCTCCCGATGCCCAAAGTCAATTGGGAGAAGGAAATCGACGAGGAAATGGAGAAGCAGAGGCGTAAAAAGAAGACCATCGTGGAGAAGAAGTCGCTCGGAGCTGTGGAGGTACCGCAACTACCGAAACCCACTAACCCTAGCCCTAAACCCTCTAGAGCTGTGAATAGTTCAGAAATTAACAAGCAGGAGAAGAAAGACAATGATCTATTAGGTGATAATTTCATTTATTATATTTTGATTTTTTTTAAGTTATAATGTAGCAAGTGTTTTATACACATATATGTTAATGATTTTTATAAAAAACCGTTTCTTTTGTGCTTCAAATCGACTAAAATATGTTTAAAAATAGTTCATTATCAAAAATACTTTCATTATCAAAATGTAGTATGCGAGGAAGTAGAAACTGTACTGACTTGCTCATTTATTTTGAAGAAAATCAAGTAGTTGTTTTCCATGACAATTTGAATTTTTTTTCCATTTATTATGACAAAAATTTTTTTGGCGCATCTAAATTTTAGGTGAGTTTTTTTTTTTTTAGTTTTTTAAATCGTACTGAAAAATGGAAAACAATATGTTCATTAATTTACGCATTTAATCATCGCTTGTTTTTGCGTTTAACTTCGTTACATTTTGTTTGTAATAAAATAGTAGAAATGTAACAAAATACCGCTAATAGCTCAAAATGGGCCGATTAGTTATTTGCGTTTTAAAATATCAGACTTATCTTTTTGTCGGTTTACGCTGATTAATGCATTTCGATTGCGAATAATGTGTTCAATATACTTAACAGCCTTTATGATGTTTTCGAAAACAGGTCTTCAAAACGGTGAAGATAGCTTCAGTAATTTTGTATCTGCTCCCGTTACTGCCAATCAGGTAAAAGAGAAGGAAGTCTCCGATCCGGCCAAAAACGAAGAGGAGAGTTTCTTTAATCAAGTATTACCGCCAGAAAAGGAAAAAGTTAAATTAGACAAAGATAGTATCATGGCGCTCTACGGCAACGGGCCTTCTAACAACTTCAACCAATTTCCTTCGCAGGTAAATATTATTAGCATTCAGTTTTTTTCGAAAATGTAGTGTGAAAACTAATACACTATGAGGCATAACTAAAGCACCACCTTTATTTTCTAATATTAAGAAACTTCTCTTTTAAATTTGTATTTTTTTGCATAAAATACATTAATAAAATACCCAGCATTTCAAAAACAATAACCCGTTTAATACCAGAATTACACTCGGTAATATTTTTAAAAAAATAATCGATATTACCAAGGTGCATAACAATAGCACTAAGGGAGTGTAAGCTTAAAAGATATATTTAAAAATGGAGCTCTAATAATGAATAAAGTTCCCTTTAACTGGAATTAGTTTAAAAAGTCTGAAATTCATATTTTCCAGCAATTTAATCACTATTTCCAAAGTTATCCATACTTCCACTAATGTATCTCTTAGTTCTCTATTTGTCATATATAGTTGGTTATCTGCAAAAACTCTTCGAAGTAGAATTCCCCAAAAGGTTTTTAATTGGATTTATGTCGGGGGGAATAATCTGGCCATTCTAATAAATTTAATCAATTTTTTTAGGGTGGTCAATTTGGATCGCAAGGGCAAGGAAACTTCGCCGGATTTCCCCCACCGACCCAACCCCAGCAGAACGTCTTAAATCTTACCAATCCACAGAACGGGTTCAATCAAATGGGAATGCCAAATTTAAGTTCGCAGCCGTCGACTCAATCTCAACCACAACAACAACAACCACAACAGCCACCACAACCGTGGATGCCTTCAGGAGGAGCCAATTTTACTCCACAACAACCGCAGGTAAACCATTATTACTTCTCCTCTAGCTCGTCTAGCTTTCATAAGTAAACATCGAAGTTCAGGACATTGGAACATGGGTTCTTATACTCGAATGTCTTCTTTCGTTGCGCTGAATAATCCCTTAGAAGTTTTATACCGTAGCTCTGAAACACCCTGTATATTCTCACGTTGTTCCGGCAGTCTTTTCCAGTGAACCCTCCCACGTTGAACCAATACATGAGCAACCCGATGTCGATGATGACTCCTCCGACGTACGCGCCCGTTGCCAGTCCGTTTAACGCCTCGAACAACATGTCGGGTTTCACTCCGAATCCGTTTTTCCCGAATCAAAACGCGGGAGCGGGCCTGCCGCAGCAGTTCGGCAACCTGAGCATCAACAACCCGGCGCCGCAAACGGGCAACATGTGGCAGTAGAGAGGTGGCGCAATGCTGATTCGTGCGGGTGCAACCCGAGATAAGTAAATGCCGAGAGAGATCGTTTGAAGGTAAACTCGAACACTTTGGTATGAAACTATAGTATTTGAATAGTAATAACCGGTATATTATGAGTTTTTATTTTTGTATACAACGAATGCGTCCGTTATTTATTGTCTGATGTTCTTGTTTACCTTCAAACAATGTACATGTCTAACAGGGTAAAAGATTTTAAAATCTTTTTGCCGTGGTCGCCTCATTGTGGTAAATCTGACTGTGTTGTTTTCTTAAATAAATAAGTAATTTTTTTTTTCATTAGAGTATTTTTATTTTTTTTGCCAGGCTGGATTCATTTGGCATTTCGATGACACAACATAGTGTTTTTATTATGTAACGTATATTATTCTTAAGTAATTATTAGGAGAATTTTCACACAGAAACGTCCACTCTTTATTTTTTTTAATTGATATTAGAACTTGATCTTTTGAGTCCTCTATGTATTTATTGTTTATTTATTGGTTTATTTAGATAAATGTAGTGGAGATTTATAAATAGGTTCCTATTTTTCTTTTACGCAAGGATCTTTGTCGTGTATTGGCACAGCATTTAGCAGCGTTTGGTTTACTTAATTTTCAGCTCGACTTCGTGCCTTGAACATTCAAACTTCGGTTACGTTCAATAAGAAAATTATACTAGATTAATTATTATTAAAACGTTTGAAAACTAGTTTGCGCACAAAGCTTGTTCTAGCAAAAATCTACCTTTGAAAACTTAACTGTATTTGCGCAAAATCGTGTTAAAATGAATTTGCCCAAGTATAAAAAGATTTCAGCATTTTGTTGTAACTACTTGCTTTGTATGTTAGAAATGAACGTAATTTTTAGGGCTTTTCCTTAACGTAAAGTGATTAACAATGAAGTGAAATTACTTTTATTAACTTAATTTGTGTGTTCAATATACTTACTGAATCTCCACAATAAGAGGTGGGTGTGGGGTATTTAATGCAAATAAGGAGGCCATTGTTAGATGATGATAAAATGATGGATTTATGCAATTTAAGATCGTTTTGGTACCTTTATTTAGTATTTTTGAGTTTTGGGAAACGTTGCAATAGAAGTTTACACGGTGCAAAACGAATGATTCCCTTCAATTTGTTTGCGATTTAAGATTATTCCTACTTTATTCTATTTTATATAAAAATGCTTATATATGTTGTATAAATTTTCTTTCAATACATATGAATTTATCTTAAAATATATTGTACAAGAAGAAAATATGTAATTATTGGAAATAATACCCAAAATGGATATTAAAATAAATATTTAAATTACTGTCGTTGTTTATTTAAAAATATACCTTTGAAACTGAATTAAATTTTAATTATTTTTGCATTTTCAGGTAAATTTAATAGAAAATTTAGACTCGGACTATTAAAAAAAATCTATGGAATGGTAAGTTTAATATTTATTTAACAAATAACATTTTTAGAGGTGTACATGATGGACTTAAAATATGATAACAAATTGTTTGGCCATTCGAGCCGAACAGGTTAAATAAAAATAATAACCTTTTTATGCTACGGTGGGGAATTTATCATCCGGTCTAATGTAATTGACGAAATTCTGCGGTTCTGCTGCTCTTGCTGCTCTGCTTGGCGCTTTTGGCTCAGTATCTTTCGAAGTCGAATCGTCTGCGGATTCTTGAATTGGCGCTGATTCCTCTACTCTAGCCTGAGGAGGAGCTTTTTCATCGTTTTGTGTTTGAGGAAAAGCCTGACACGCGACAATGGCGAGCGAAACAAGAACTACCTGAAATTGTAAGTAAAATACTTTTATTAGTTTTTTTTAATCAATTTAATACAGCCTGTGGATAAATATAAACTAGGAGAGATCGTTCTGTAATAATAAGTATTCTTCGTAAAGTAGGTAATATTAAAAATAGGAGATATCACTGCTTGGAGTCCCTATGTTAGGTATAATAAAGATTCAAATTAATTGATGAAGCCAAATTTGAATCATACTAGAATTACTGAACCTATCTTTTTCCATTTAAAAATGCCCTGAAGTGGCGTCCTTAAAAATAAAGAGAATTTTGGGAACAATATCTACTCGGTTTTCAATTTTTTTGTTATATTCGAAATTCATAATCTTGTATTTTGCAGTCTCAATTTCTCAACACTATTTAAATTTTACAGAATTCATAAATTCAAATTCATAAAAATCTTTAAATTTGTAAGACTTTGATTCATGATAATAAAATAATTGCTTATTATACAGGGTGTCCCGCATAAGAACGGACACGGAGCGAGAACGTGTAGGAGAGCCTAACTTAACTTAATAAAAAGTTACATTTCCCAGAAGTTAAAGGCCTTTAAAGGGGAGATACAAATTAAAAAAAATACAATTCAGTAAAATTCAAACTTAAAACGATAGTTAGGAGAGATCAATTGAAGTATTTTAGGGGTTTATCAGGGATGATGCTCCCTTAAATTTTACAGAATTATTTCACCTTATGAAAGATTTAAAAAATTATTAGTTCCTTTTATAGGTAATTTCATTTTGAAACTTTATTGTATTTGTTTTTTAAAATTCTTTGTCGTTTATTTGATGAAAAACCCTAAAAAATAAAATCATGTACACTATCAATGTTACTTCCCTTACATGCCCCTGCTCTGTGTCGGTTCTTATATGGGACACACTGTATTATACTTACAATTTGTACGAACCCCATGAGTAGATATTTTTTGCAAAACTTCACACAACAAGAAAACTATTGGTACGTATAATAAACGTCTAACACTGACTAACTTCACATTAACTTTCTTTAGGTTTTTATAGTTTCTCGTTGTATTTTCTTTGTATTATCGTATGTTTTCAAATATTGACCAACTAATTATTACTGATGAAAGCAACATCTTTATTAACATAACATGTTAAGTTGTAATAATGTACGTCTTTCAGGTGTCTATAAATACATGCTTTTAATAAGAAAGATCAATAAATTAAGCTAGTGAAACTTAGAGTATATCTTAAGTCATAATTCGTTTTGAGAATTAATTTGTGAATTGTTATTATTATTATTGTTATTACAATTTGTATATCTATAGTTGAGGCAAAATATCTTATTTCTCTTTTGCTCTATTTCCGCTATTTTTTTGAGGCACTTTGAGTATTGATTTATGAAATTATCAATAAAAAACCATTTACGTTTTATGTAGATTTTAACCTCTACATCAGATTAGCTTCATTAGTGGTGCATATTAAAGAGGGGAAATATTTTTGTTTTTTTTTGCAGTGACTCATTTGTATAGGGTGTCTGATAACTGTATAGGTACCTCTTTACGTAGTTTTTATTATATTTTCGATTAATATACAGGGTGTCTCACGACGAGTTTAATCTCTATATGTAGGAAATTAACTTATCCGATTTAAATAAAATTTGGTATACTGGTTATACCGAAAGTAGGCATCGACTTTGTTATTTTTAATGGAACCCCCTGTATATTAATATATTTTCGAAATCTACATAAAATTTTAGGGTACTTTTGTCTAAAAATGCATACTTTTTGGGTTATTAATTTTTTCCGAAAATTTGATTTCAGACCGATGCGGACCATTATAAAAATGATTTATAATGGTTTTTTATAATTTATGATTATAGAAATTATTTAATTATTATAGAAAGCTCAAAGGTATTTTAACTTGTGTTGAATAACTTTTTATTTTATACAGGGTGTGCGTGTGTATAAAGATTGAAGTTGAACTTCAAAAATATCAAATTTCTTAATTTTTTTTAAATGAACCATACTTTTTTCTGTCTTATTGAAATCAGCGGTAAGGGAAGTTCATGTTTACTTCTCTATACATGAACCCAATAGTTTTGAACTATTAACAGCTAGGTTTTATAAAGTGGACATGTAAATTTTGTTCTTCATACATTGCAATTCAAAGTAAATTAACATAATCTTCATTTTTAAATTGCAAACGAGCCATCAATAATACCGTACAAGTACTAAAATTAACTATCAACTATTTGAGAACAATTTTTATACCCATTTTTTTTAATGGAAGAAACAAAATAAACAGCTATTCTTTTGTCCTTTATGAAAGAAGCCCTTGTAAAAAGTTTATTAAAAATGACAAAAATCTCTTATTGATAGTTGTATTAAATTTAATTATCGGTATTATTTATAAAAATTAAAAAGATCGAATGACAATAATAAATATATTCCCATTAAAATTTTAATTTTCGCCGACATCTACCTTTATTAATTGCAAGAACCATATGAATTCTTTATAATTTCATTTATGTTTCTTTGAGCAACTCATAGAGAGCTCTGACTGTCTTTTAAAAACCGCGCGTGTTCAACTCCACCGACGTTGCCACTGTTCGCTCAATTTTCTTAGAAGTCACCACCTACATTTCGAAAGAACATAATTAAAACATGCAAAATTAATTCAATTTGTTTGTCGTTATTTCTTCGCTTTGGTTAGGTAATTTTCTAATCATTATCGTTATATAAGGTAGACGCGCATTAGTTGAAACAAGAGTGAGTATTGTAGTGATTGTTTGTTTGGATTTGGCTTATGGTTCAACAATACTTAATGTTCGAAACGAGTGTCTTTTTTTAAACGTAAAAGTATTTAGTTGTGTGTTTAATTCAGTCCATCCCGTAATTTATCTTGACCTATCCAAATTGATGTACGGTAAACTTATACAAAGATATGAAATATTCAGCGAGCAAGCGGCAACACCGCCCGTAGCCGCAGCGATAGATCCGGCGCGAGCTGGATGCGCAGGATCCGCTATAGCTCCGGCTGGGTTGAGCGCTCGTCGCCCCATCTTGAGTAGAAACTTAGCTTGCGGATCGTCGAGAGTGTTGTAATTGTGCGATCAGAAAATCCGATGTTTATAGTTTAAAAGTGTAGGTAAAAAAAATCAAAGTCAAGCGATGTCTTCGAACAACCAGAAGCAATCGACCACGCAACGGATGATACAAGGTCAGTGTTCGTCGAATTTTCCTTAATTTTTCGCTGGGAGCCCGTTAAAGTTCTATTCGTTCGTATCCAGTACGCGCACTTGGATGTGCAAGATTGATTTTCCAGGCGCCATGGCTATCGATTTCGGGGAATATTGTGACAGTTTCGCGGGCCGGAGTGTTTACGTTACGTTTGAGGGACTCTTGGTATTTAACCAGGAGGTTTTTCGGGCGGATTTTCCGCTGGGCCGAATCGGCCCCCTTTTTTCTTTTATCGGAATTCTGACCACGCCGTGCTATATGCAACACACATACATACACCTTAATATTAATACACCGATCCCGATTTGGTTGCGATTCGTTCAAATCTCGCAATAACCAAATTTACTCGATTAATATTCTCCTCGAGTAGCCGCGATGTCTTCCAACATCTTCAGGTTTTTTTTCTATAGTTGAAAAAAAACTGGCTAGTTTACTAGTTCGACTGAACGTTCGAACAACCTGAAAACTAAAAATAAACGTTTGTATTTTTCGTGTGACAATTATCCGCTCGTTTATAATTAGCTCGATAAACTACGGAAAGGATTGTTTTTTTGCTCCTGCGGGGCGAACAGGTTGGTCTGGATCAATGGCGTGTGTATCCCGAATTTGTTGTTTCGGTTTTGTGTATGCTTTCTTTGCGCATTCCGGTCGATTTTTCGGAAATTTGAAGCCAATCTTCGACAAGAAAATTCGCGAATTTTTCTAATTACTCGAGTATCTTTGAAATATTTTACATTTTGACAATCTTGTCATTTTCGTGCTTTTTTCTTTATCTCTTTTAATAAATCGTTCTGGATTAATTTCCGCTTTTTACCACTGACGATTCTTTCCCTATCCCTTATTTCATTTATAGGTAGGTTTTTTTCTTAGTGTGACCTGAGAATGGCCTTAATCCTTCAAATGTCAAATTAACTAATCCATTAAAATGACGAATTGTACAATTAAAATTTTAGATGAAAAATGAGGTAATTTGTTTATTGTTAAACAATTAATGAATAATCAGTATTTATTCGAGTATTCTACTCATGCTTTTAAAAGTTAATCTCATGTCTTTGCAGTGATTGCAGGATGATAGTATATTATTAGTACGCCGTGACAATGCTGTCAATCAAATGTCAAATTAATATTGTTAAACTAGTATAGTGTCAAAGGCCGAACGAACTTCATTACTTTTTAGAAAAATGCAAATACTAGGTTGTATAAAACGCGCTAAAAGGTAAAAACTAACTAATCGCATTCCAAAACGTATAATTTATTTACATATTAGATAAATACTTAATCGAAAGCAAACATAGAACTATGCTGTCTCTCAAATGTCAAAATTTTTCAAAATATGTAATCAAGTAAAGGGAAAATATATTTATTTATTCAGGAATTAATCCACTATCAATGAATGAGTAATGAGTCTAGTTATCGCAGGCATTCATAGAGGTATTATCTATCATCTATTTATGTTACGGGTTTACTATGGTTTACCCGGGTAAAGTGCGAAAGGCGGGTAGGGTAGGGTCGGGTAAGATGGGTTTCTCGTGATATAACGGGAACCCAAGAAACCCAAAGTACCATCCCGACTCTACCCTAGCTTACCCTACCCATGTTTCTTGGATATTTCGCAGTTTACCCGGGTACACCTTGATTTAATCGTTTATCTAACTTTACCCGTAATTTTTATATTAATGTTTAGATATCTGGAGCATCATTTTAGCAAGATTGTTATCTTCGATTAAATCGATAGATTGACCGTAATTTAATACTAAAGAAGGTACCATGTATGTACTTCTAGAATTAAAGGTAAAAATTGTGAACTGAGTACGCGAGGCTTCATTATAAAGTTATTAGATTTTCTGCCGCAGTTTCTAATTTCCGATCGACAATGGCCATTTCAAAGCGGGTTATTCGTTTATGTCGCCTAAATCTGAAATTTATTATCCGCCCTACTAAAATTAAGCTGTTACTTTACCTACCTACATCCATTTTCTCGTTATTAGACCAAATTGAAGATACATCATAGCCTACTCGGCGCGGAATGTAGAGTGTTCAGAAATTAACTGGGAATAGAATGGATTTTATCAACGTTATTAATTGAATACAAAGTACAATAATTTAATAATGATCGAAGTTTGCCGTTTACAATTATAAAAATATAATCTATAACACAATTAAGCGGACGATTAAAAATTTCCAATATTATACAAGGTGTTCTAGTTGTAATCTTATTATTTAAAAGGATGTGATTTTTCTGGAAATTTAATGAAGACAAGTTCGTCATAAGGATGAGGCCTATTTTATCTGTTTTATAAAAAAGTTGCCAGGAAGTTTCTAAATCCCTTAAAAGTCTTGAAAATTTCTTGAAAACGTTCTAAAAACCATTAGTAAAGCAAAACCTGATCCGAATAACATAGCAAACACAAGTAGAACATCGTCAGAACAACAAGTTCAAATAAAAGTTTGAATATTTTAATTCTTAATTAAACGAGAGTTTATCGGCATCAATAAATTGTATCCACAGATTTAAATAAAGCACCTGCCGAAACGCGACCGCAATTAATTATAATAATTAAAAGTAAATATTTACGCTAAACATTTTGCAACTTTACCTTCTGTACACATACGCTCCGTACTTTTATTTTTATATCGGAACACTGGCTGTAGACCCGAGGGGGAAACGCGGGATAACAACTTATTCACCTCCATTTTCTTCTCTCGTAATTCGTCTACAAAGTTTTATCTCGACTTTTTTAGGCTATATTTTAGGAAATTCCTCGGTATAAAATACTTTCAGTTTGGTTGACCACGATTTAAGGAACTTTAAACAAACCACTGATTACTTAATAGAAAATAATACTAAGTATGGGCAACGCATTGCTTTGGGTAATTAAATTGCTCAAGCTCGTTGAATATTTGCCAAAGAGGAGAATCTCATCACAAAGCAGGAGTAAATCTGTAATAATCTGCATGCAGAAGTGAGTGAGAGTGCGCTGGCAAGGAAAATTTAAAGGAAATTTCTCTTTGAAATTATCCACGCTATGTCTTGTTATAATTAGCTTTCATAAAGCAGTGCCACGAGGGAGATTTTTTTAATCTTGTTTAGAGGATTAATAAATAAATCGCAAAATATTATTCCCAGATAAACCTGCTTGAGACAATTTCATTTTATCTACAGAAAATGTTTCATAATAGTATGCCATTATAAATAGGGTAGCGAATAAGCGAATAGCCTGATGTGTGCGATAAATTAGAAAGCAAAAACTGTTAGGTAATATTAATATTTTAGGAAATAATATTCTAATTTAATATCTTTTGTATATTAGCTTTAATATACGCATATTTTTAAGTGTTAAAATGCAATGAAATCCCTAAAACCCCGTATAATATGAAAAGTTCAGGCAAAACATCTGGTAAATAAGTCGTATTGATGTTTCCGAAAAATTACCGTTTCGATAAATTTATCGAGAAAATTGACGATAAAAGAACATATAAAAGTAAACTGGAGACGGGTAAAAAATAGGAAAACTTCGATGGGAAAGTTTCCGAGAAGTAACTTTTCGCGACTAACTTCTATATAATCGCCCAGTTATTTTCTCATTTTTGTTAACCATTCGTTTAGGGAATGCGACAAATAAAAGAATCGAAAATTAATTCTTTTGATACACTTCTTAATGGTCAATAATGCGCTTTGTTGTGTCAGTAGAACTGATGTAAAGATCATTTAAAATGGATTAATCATTTCTTTCATTCTTTAATAAATCAATTTGAATTATAATTTTGAGTTTTATGAGCAAAATGAAACAGGCGGATTTCCCAACATGGCATCATTTTGAGTTGAACTTGAGTTTGAGTTTCTCTTTGCTTAATTGGAGCTTGCGATGGAAACTACAGATTCGCAAAATTTCATAGGCTTGTGTAGCCTCTTACAGCATGCGAGCAACAAAATTACAAACGGAATTCTGATTAATTTACAAGTTCCTCTTGCATTCAAATGAAATTCTCCTCTTGAGTTGAACTTACGAGTATAGTTCCTCGAGAAGTCTAACTTCATACCACAAAATTATAAGTGTCACAATAGCGCTATAAGTAAAATGGAGAGCTTTATTTAATTTGCCATCATAATTTTTTTATATTTGTTCTGCATTGTGTATCTTATGACACTATACCTAATGGGATTATAATTTGTCTATTTTTATTAATAGTTATATTTATTTAACTAGTATTTTCAATTATTTTTTAACATTTACTTTCACTAATTGTACCAAAGTTTTATTACGTTTTGGTAAATCCACGTTAATTTGATCCAAAAAAACTCGAATTTTGTCTAATTATTTTACAATTAATGTGCAATTATCCAGAAAAATTGTATTATTTAACCTGGTTTTGTTTACTTCGACGAATGCCAAGTTTAAGAAAACGATTTCATTGCCAACAAAAGAACGAGTGTCAAATAAAATAACGAGTCAAGTGTTGAATTGCATTGGAGAAATAATGAGGAAAATTTGAGGAAGAAACGTCCAATAAATAAATTGACACAAATAATACAAAGATAAATATTTAGCTGAAAATGTATAATTTCAATTAATTTAATATTGCGATAAGTCGCACACAATGGTTTGAATTCAATTCTAAAATTCGATTGTCATCAATATTTGATAGGCAGTAGTTTCCTACCAACACGACTTGATGTGTTTTATTAATTTACGAGAGGAAACGTTGATTGGATAATTTAATCAACACTCGACAATAATTTCTATTAATCCATTAGAGTTAATGCTAGTTTATGTCTCGATATCTATCATAGGGATGTCGAATTTTTCTCAATGATTCAGTCATTGCAACCCACTCGAACCTGGCGCAATTAATCGATTCCATTGACATAAGGGCGAAAAGGTTCGATGAGAAAATCGATTTTAAGGTTTTGTAGACGATTCAGGTCGATATCTTCCATTAATCTTCTAATATTGGATATTTATTTATTGGTAATATAATATTTTTTTATTTCCCTTAAACGTTTCGTCGAAACGGCCATTCGACTACTTTCATTTGTAAATAAATGTGACCTTTGAAAGCAATTGATTTAATTAAGGAGATTTATTATTTCGCCCTTGGAAAGTGGAACTCTATTTCCACCACCAACTTGTTTACGTGCTTATTCATATTCCTCGTAATTTTATTATTCGAAGAAAACTAGGAGAAAACGAGTGGTTTAATGAAAATTGCTGATGGTATTTAAAGAGGAATAAAGTTGTTAAATACCTTTTAAAAGTATAGAGCATTAAAACCCAAGTGAAATTTCTTGAAGGTCCTAAGACTATATGAAAAGAGGCTTTTTAAGGCTTTTTATTTTTGAAGGTTTCTGTTGAACAATGGAAATTAAAGATTTTATTAATTGTCTAGTCTAATCTATATCTGAAAAAATTGCGAAAGTTTTTAACTTTATGCTTGACATAAGCGGTGAGTACGTTTTGTTATTGATTACAATTGACTGAATATGCACTTTTATTCGAGTTAGAATAATTATTTTAAAAATGGTATGTAGATCATTCCCCGTTTTATTTTTCCATAGAAGTATTAAATTCAAAACTAATTCTCTCCCAGTCGTCACGGAAGTGAAATTGAATCCGGTTAAACGTAATCCGATTAAAGAATGTTTCTACTTACTTCTTTCTAATAATTTTCCGTTTCACACCGGGCGCTTTTCCAATATCGAATTAGTCTGATTCCATTCGAAATCGCCTTTTATACGGACTTAATAGAACAAAAATCATTATTTATTTACAAATAAAACATGAACGTAAAAACAAATCGATTGGCTTTTCAATGAGGAAACGGGTCATCCATCAATATACTATTTGTACAATAATTTACATAGAATATCGCAGGAATATTTTATTTATACCTTGTCTCACACACACGCCAACGCGCATGAAAACTTGATGAATAGGTTGACAACAATATGAGGAAATGTATCTTATGTGCAATACATACGATGGCCGAATAGTGTTAAAAATGTGTCCGAAAGATCCTATTGCTTTAACTTGTAGGATATATTAAAAATATATCAATAGAGTTTGCCTATTATTATATATGATTATTCTTGTAAAGGAGCCTTTGACTTATATACTTTATAGGCGGTCCTAATTTGGTTATCACTTCATCTAAGTGAATATAATGAAATTATACTTTTCTTGGTTAAAAAGTTATATCATTGTATAATAATTTCTTGATAAAGACGTGAATGTGATAGGTAGAAATTAGAAATTGAATTATACATAATGTAGTGGCAGAATGTCGCTAATTAAGCGTTAATAATTCAGGAAACGCTTCATTAGTAGTAATGAAATATTCGCAAGAGGTGGTTGGTTTCTTGAATTAAGAAATTATCGTCGTAGAAGTACTTGTGGGAAGGGGCAAATATTTAATTAGTGTGAGATTCTTAGTAATGGTAGGTGTGTTTGTGTAATTTTAACGAGCAGGTTATGTTATATGACGCTTGCACTATCCATAGACCAATACTAAACATCTACCAGATTGACATTTGACATTTATTCCCAAATATATTAAACATTTTGTTCTAAATTTAATATAAAGGGAAATATTCTTTCTATACAAAGCCTCCTTTGGTCTCTTGTGCACATGACCTCTTTCCAAATTACCCCTGCTTGGAACATTCGATTATCTTTAAAATTGAATAAATTTTTTGCAGCCGTACCGTTTCCACCGAGCAACAAATTAACCATAGCAGAGGTGTTCGATCCGCGGACGGCGAAACCGCGACCGGACACTCTGAAGCAACATTTCATATTGGAAGGCAGGATCGACGAGGCGGCCGCCCTCAGGATCATCAATGAAGGAGCGGCGCTGCTTCGGGCAGAAAAAACCATGATAGATATAGAAGCTCCCGTCACAGGTCAGTACCTAATGGGATATTCTATTATTTTTTAATTAATTTTTTGAATTGCTGTTCTCAGTTCTCATAATACCGTGTAAATTTATTCCGTCGTTGAAATACTGTGTAAACATTTGTTTAATTGTACGCGTATCTAATCCGCGTTAATTATTTGTTTATGTATCTGTAAAAGTTATTTTATCAGCTTCTATCAGAATTATTCACTTTAAAGGTGTTAAAAACTCAGAGCTACTATAATTTTATTATCTGCATAATTTAAAAATAGAAACAACCAATACTTTCATTGATATGAGCAGTTGTATATTTTATTAATTAGACAACGTAACGATATTTTTATCATGTGAATATCAATTTTGGAATTGATGAAAGTTGATGTAAATAATACCTGCCTAGGAGTATTTAATAAGGCGAAATAACTTTATTTCGGATTCGGTTAAAAATAAACACGCCGACGCCAATGTCAAGCTAATTTTAAACTTGCGATTGAAACTAAAGTTTATAGAAATTTTCGGATTTTGTCAAAATTCACATTCGATCATTAACTCGAAAGGAAAATGTCCTGATATCCGTTGAGATTAAAGGGAACCTTTGGGAAATACACGACTCTTAAGCTTCATATTATAAAATTTACCGTGAGTAGCATGAAAATTTTGTATATACAAAATAATTCGTCTAAAAATTTAAACAATTTTAGTTTATTTCCCTTTCTGACAATACAAAACTTTTCCACTCTAATGGAATTTTTTCCTTTGCGCACTTCTTCAGTTGCTGAATACACTCAGCTTTGTGTATTCAAAGTCGGTTCATAATACATGTCCGTAAGGGCGTTTATAACTTGGACGAAAAGGCCGAAACTGTCCTGTATATTCATGAACCTTCGCATACTAAAATACCTTTTTGGGACCCAATTTCTCAAAACTCAATTTAGATTGTACGGGTTAATTTGATTCTCGTGTAAACTGTTTTACTCGTACATGAGTCGCCCTATTGTTAAAGATAAATAGGTCATGAAATTCGTTCAATTGTCCTCAAGAAATTTTGGGTAAACAATTCACAAATTATGAATATGTTTTACAGAAATGTGCAATCAATAGCTAAAAACATTCCCTCGACAGTTTACCATTACCTACCGATGTAATCCCATAACTGTTCTTCTGCATGGCTAATTCAAATAAAGCATGGGATTTTCTGATTAAGGGACACATAAAAAAAACTCATGTAGTATGGGTTTTGCGTCCTTTATAATCGAGTTACAGCGTATTTATTTAACCCATTTCTTACGTGGTCTATAACTTTTGAATCACTCGGTATAATTTTTCGATATTCGGTCTAGATAATCGACACCTTGAGGACAATTTATCGACCCATTAAAAATATAAAATTCAGATCCGGATTGGAATTCAAAAAACACCTTGTAACTCGGTTATACAGATTGCAAGAGCCATACTATACTTTTGTACTTATCTACTTTACTACGTATTTTTTATCCCATGAGTCCCATGAGACTTCTCTATAGCTCTATAGCTCTTTTTTTATTTTTTGGGTTGTACATCCCATTTGAATGTTGGTATTGTTGAGAGGACACATTGTATACAGTTATGGCACAATTACAGCATTCTTTAAAATGGGGAAAATCTGATGCGAAGTGAACCGTTTTTGAAATTTGCAATTTTAAACGCGAACGTGCACGAACTCGTTATCACATAATGGGGAATTAAATATGCACTTTGTTGGTTATCGCATTCTTCATGACCGCTTCGCAGAAACTACCACTATAATTTGAATTACTTCCTGGGGAATGAGTTCGACATGCAACTTACGCTCTCCCGGCGGTTAGGGTACGAAATAACAGCGGTGTAAATTTTGAGGAAAAAACTAATTCCCCGGACGTATCTGAGTAAAAATTACACTATCCTGCAACGTCGCAAATTCGGCAGCGAAAGCGTAAGAGAGCTTAAACCTGCTCTGCGTTCTTTCCCTTAGAATTTCATTTTCTTATTTTAAGAAAATGCATTAACTTGGCGTTTTATGGACGACATTAGAGGCGGGTTTTAAATTTTCTTTACCGTCTAGGTAGGTACACAATTAAGACGTAAAACCGTTTTTCCGTTGAAAACGACCTTTCCGGTGATATAAATTCCACTTTTTAAATACTAGACTGTTCAAATAGCTTTTAAAATTGAATTACGACAAGATAGGTTGATATGATATAAATTTACTTAATATAAATAATATCTTCAAATTAATAGAGTCTAGGAAATGAATTATTTATTCCAAATGAAATAATTGAAACTTTTTTGAGAATTTTATACAATTACATATTCTGCTATTTGAATCGTGACAAAATTCAATTTACAATTTTATCTTAATAATTGAAGACACATAGTAAGAAATTATTGTTATCCTATACTCGTAGAAAACTTCTACTTTCCTTAGGCAGTCTCAAAAGGACAATTAAGGGCTCGGTTATTTCTCAGGGTTAATGTTATTGCTAGCCAATAAATATCATCCATAATCAATTCCGGAGGTTTCCGAAACGGCAACGTTAATAAAAAAATAATAATAAACGACTTGGATTAACCGACCGGTTGAAATATTGTTTTCCCTTTTCCGCGGAAATGCGTTTTTCTTTTATGCCCGTTACTCCTAATCGGAATCAAAATCTACGACGATCCTTCCCGGTAATTTTAAAATTAACGAAATTAAAATGCTTTTAATCACGAAGATTCAACCGGAAATTGATAAACGAAAATTGCGAGTGAACGGAAAATGGAAAGGATTTTTCGCTCGTTTTTTTTTTCTTTAAGGTCGGGTCTAATCCTGGAACTCCGGAAGGTTTTTTTTGAATTTCTTGTTAATTAATAAATGAAGTGAGGTTTTAGGTTTTTCAAACGCTATTAGTCCGGCCAAATTGGTCAAATTAGTAGAAAAATTGGAATTTTCCCTTTTGCGGTATACTGTAAAATATATTAAATGTCTCTGATAATTGGAGTAAAGCTCCTGAGAATCGATTTTTAGTTTTTTTTCGTTCGATTATTCTTAAATATTTCAGAAAATATTGTAAATTTAAACCAAATTATACCTCACGAAACATTTTTCTTTACCGATGTAGGTACCTGTGGGTGTTTACGAAACTTTACTAAATTTCATGTAATTTCTCACTTTTCTCCTCCAATTTTGTATAAAAAAATTCGAATTTCATTGGATATGATCCTCCAGCGATTTTTTTTAAATTATTGCAGTCGACCGGCGCTGCGGCGGCGTTTAGAAAATCCGGAATCCCGGGTGAAACTTGGTAATGCATTGACCTATAAGTAGCTCCGCTGTAAGGCCTCGGTCTACATCACCTGTTACGGATTCGCGTAGGAGCTCCCTATGCTAACGATATCGATTAGTTTTCGCGATTCTGTGCGTCGACCGTATCGAAATTTCTATTATATTACATACACGCCGGTAATTATGAAACATCACTTCGAGCCGTTTCGCATTGGCATTGAAAATGATCCTGCTTTAGGATGTAATGTGTACAGGGAGCCATGGAGGCTCTTGATAATTTAGTTTAGCAGGCACTTTAACCACATCCACGATGATAAACTTATACCTATTTACTATTTGAGTGTTATAATAGCGTATTATGCAACGATCACTTTATGCAAAGCTCTTTAGTTTCTTGTATAGTTCTCCGATTTTCTCCTGATTTTTAATTACAATAACTAGTTTAGTTGTGCGCGAAAAAACTTGGATGAATTTTATTAAGAACTTGTAGACTAGAAAAAAGTTGAGAAACTTCCAGGGCATTTTGGGCTCCATTCGGACTCTTCGTTAAAAATTACCTAACTAATCTTAAGAGAAAAGGCGAAAATGGGAAAATTGTGTTCGGTACTAAATAAAAGTTAAGAGTTGCAGGTGTATGAATCATACGAGTTGTTTAATTTAATCTAATCTAATAATCTAACTTGAGGATTATGCAAAAGGTATTAATAAAAAATAATTAGCCAAATTTCAACGTTTGTAGTTTATGGTGTATTTAATAGTGAATTTAATGTTATAATTAGGATAAATTATCGCTTTTTGTTAATGTAATAAATTTTTTATTCATATTGCGCAGTAAAACCATATTTTTTGTTAGGAAATCTAATATACAGGATGTAAAAGTATTGTATTTATCTATACAATGGTGGTATGCTATGATTCGGTATTTTTAAACAATTTTTATTTACTAGATACTTAACTACTTTTTTAACATAGCACCCTGTATATTTTTAATAATTATCCTATATAATATTTTTTGTTACATTAGTAAGTCTATATTAAACGTGCAATATTAAAAGAAAAAATTAAAAAAAATGATTCTTCTAGGTCTTTAAGTATGACCTTTATAGCAGCGTTGCAACTGAATTGCAAGGCGAATATTTATAGAACCCTTGGAAAAATTTAATCATTTATGTGGTACAGACATAGTTTACAAACCATTATAAGATACAATTATCAGCCCTAATGAAAAAGCTTCACATAATCAAATGAAACCTTCCAAACAAGTCGATTGAATCCAACGCAATTGGAAGTCTTATAAATTTTTTCGCGTATAGTGGGTTACGGAAAATTTGTAATACATACAAACATCCGATACGAGGGCGACGCAAAAGCATTCCTGCGTTTCGAAATGCCAATTAGTCGCACAAACGAACTCATATAGCTTGCATGTAGCCCTCGTGAAATTCGATACTTGATGGTTGTTGAATGCCTTTCATTATCATTCATACTAATTTACCCGTGTTTACGGGTAGAATAGATTCACAAATTTATAGGTAATGTATGTATTGACTCGTAGCGCCCACGTTATTAACATTATGTTGCATGTAATGAGTACTTATGTAGGTATGTTTGTACCTTACAGGGTGATTAACGTCGAAGAGGTAATACCAATAATAACGATATTACATTTCTTTTGAATAAAGGATTTTTCCATTTTAAAACAGGTTTTCGATATAACTATTAATAGTTTTTTCATTTTAGAATAATTTATTAGTAAAATGTCTAAAATTTATAAATAAATAGTTTATTACAAAAAGGTTAACAAACCATCGTAAATAAAGTTGATAAACTTCAAACAAATTATTTTGAATTGAATATGAATAAAGTCAAGAAAACAACCGGTGCTGTAAAATATTTCCGTATTTTTTTCTACTAAAATTGCGATATTATGTTTGTACATAGAAGGAAGAAATAAGTACTCCAAAGTTTCCGAACGTTCTTTATAATTTCCATGCAAATTTTGCGTTTATTTTCAACCGAACCTTGAGTTTATTGTAAGTATAACTTCATTATTTCCAACTATTCATATGCATTATGAGTTGTAAAATATTAAAAACGCGACAGAATTAACTGAGGTATAACAACGAATAAAATCCATTTGAATTTATAATTGCAAGGCTGTAATATGCGTACGCGGACGATTTGAAATTCGATCGATCCTCGACCTTTTTTTACATCGATTTATACAATCTAGGCAATCAAAATTATTAATTATTATCGGGGCAAGTTGAGCACGATCATCAATGTGATTGTGTTTGCGAATTAACGCTGGGATTATTTTTTTGATACATTTATTTGTATAAAAAATATACATCTCTTACATGTATTATTCGAGTTACTTAATGACATCTAATGAATTATTTATATTTATACATTATGCTAAGAGAATACGTAATCATCGTATTCATTTTCTTTACGTTTTTAAATCATATACGCTCAAATCTTCGAGTTACTTTCATTAGACATCCTGGAAGCCGGTAAATTTTATATAAATTGTAAAACTCAACACATCGACGATAAAATTCCCGACTATTCCGAGTAGCACGCGTCGCGCTTTGCCGCTTTCCATCCGTTCGATTTTGAACGATCGTCGATGTATCGAGCTCATATAGGCGTTTATCGGGCCCGGTCGCGCGCACAATACACACAATTTCACACAAATTCAACTGGTTGGTCGCGTGTGCAATTGTTCTCTTTTTTTTCCTTGTTAATGGCGGACGAAGTGCGTGCGAGCGTGAGAAGCTCGTCTTTCGCCTTTTGCACGCCACCCGTCAACGTTCCTGCAGGACGAAGTGACGCGCTAAAGCCGGGACGATATATTTTGCAAATTATCGTGAATAAACGATGCGATTATTTATTGCCGATAAGAGAGTGGAAATTACGCTGTTGCACGTCATGCCCTCTGATTTTTTTTTATATTTTAATAATTGCCGAATATTTACAGTGTGTCCTATAGGTACCTAATACTAGTAAACAGTTTATCTTATCTTACCTGCGACACTTTATTATATTTTTTGCTGACTGTATGTTGAAATTTCTTATTTCCTTTTAAATGCTAATTTTTTCATTACATTAACTTAAACTGTTTTAAAACATTTATAATAAAGCGTAAAAAGTTTCCGCACCCGTACCTCCATAAAGGGCGTATTTTTGATGGCATGTTTGCAGGAAATTATTTTAATTATTTGAGGTGTACAGAGTAGTTATTGTACAAACACCTATGAAAGTTTGTCAACATTTGACCCTATGTTCTTTGTAACTCAATAAATTTACCCGTTTGTATTGGACATAGCATCGAATTTGTAAATGAAAAAAAATACCTTACTGAAATGAAGGTTTTTATTTCGTGATAAAAAATTTCCTCAAGTTTTTTTAAGCAATTACTCATTAATAATAGAGTGCGCACAAAAAAATTAAACAAACTAAATTAGGTTAAAAAGTGACATAAAAAAATAAGGGAAGTCACGAAGAAATTCCGTGTAAAATATACGCCTTGATTTAATTACGAAGCGAGCGGTAGTTTTTAACGTTGAAAACCGGCGATAAAATCTGACCGTAAATTATTTTCATATACATTTTGTATATTGTAAAATAGGTCGGATGGAAATATAAAAACGCAATTAACACGGCAATCGAGTTTCTTTTAATTAATTAAAGTATTAATTAGGTGTGTTACAGAGGAGGCGATATTTGAAAAGTTTCTGAAATTGTGGGCTTTCTGAATACCTACACCATTATTCCAAATCTTAAAATTCAGCGAATTAATGATATTTTTTGGATTCAGGGATTTTTGACTAAACTTACAATACAAAAATGTAGAAAAGTTAAATAAATTGTAATACAGTATGAATCTACGAATTACATTCTGAATCATTCGGCATCAATGCTATCTATTGTTCTTGCAAAAACAAATTAAGAATGCAAAAATTAATATCTGTTGCAAATTCATCGATCTAAACAATTTAATTTTCCGGTTGTGTAGTGTGAATTGAGAACAAACAAAAATTCTTACCAAATTAGAAGTCTCTAAAGGGATGTAACACTAATATTGATATCATGTGAATGCGGAAGCACAAAAATTCTTTAATAATCCTATTATTTCTCATTGGTCATCTATTAGGTAATATTTCTCAAACTGGAAATTTCAAGAAACTCGTAATTGGTGCGTAATGCGGATCGTTTTTCACTTAAAAAAAAACTTGCACTAGGGTGCAAATAAGGAAACAGAAGCGAATCACTCCGGATAATTTCGCATGAAAACATCCTTCCTCGTGCGTCCATTAAACATTGATTATCATCTACGAGTTGGAGTTAATGCGGCGTTGCGAAATAAATCCTATCCGCTCGACTCAATTTAAGCCTTTAACCGAAAATTAATCGTCGAGATTGCCGACATGTTTACTTGTCATGTATTTAAACGAAAATCACCGACACGTACGTACACAAATATACATACGTGCAAACACACACACACAGGCTAGAAACAATGCGATGTTTGTAAGATACTTGCCAAAATGCAAATGCATACGTGTCAGTTAAAGTGAACAATGGATCTGCATTACGTACTTTATCGGCTGGTCTGTGATGGGATTGGTTTCAATTACGTTGTTTTACCCCCCTTCTTCGTTTCCTAGTTGCCGGGATGAATGTACATCCTAAATAATAGGTACTTAATTATCTATCGTCTAGTCTAGAGTCTAGCTAGACAATTGTCTGAATTTTGCTAATTTATTAAATAAGTCTATTACATATGCACATTTGATTAAACACTTGGTACAGCACAAGAATAACTGCAGACAAGTTTGTCGAGTTATTCTTGTTATTCTAAAAAAAATTGTACTTACTCGTAAATATGAGCTGAAACTATTCTAAACGATGTTACTTTACCTGCTAATTTTAGGTATGCCTGCAAAGTTCACTTTTGTTTTTGCTTGTTTCAGTATGCGGAGATATTCACGGTCAATTTTATGACCTAATGAAACTATTCGAAGTAGGTGGACCACCTGCTAGTACGAAATATCTTTTTCTCGGCGACTACGTCGATAGAGGTTATTTTAGCATAGAGGTAAGTTTGGTATAAGCCTATTACATACATAAAGTTGGTGTTAGGGTTTTCACTGCAAACATTGTATCAGGTTAAAATATGCTTATCACGTCGACCATAGACCGTCTAGTAAAAGTATCTCAGGTTATTACAATAATAAAATTTTTTTTTTTTATTAAGGTATACTTTTGCGCTTGATATTTGCAGAGATATTCCAAACAACTTGTATTTTGTGCTAAATGTATCGAACGGATTATTGCGAACAATAAATAGGAGGCCGATCTGCCTCTCTTTCTAAAAATTTTCCAGGGTAAATCAAAGAGCACATGTATAAAAAATCCAAATGTGTCGTTCCCATGATTGCGCACGATGCCATTGTTCGGAAAATCCATTCAAAATTCGTTCGATTCGTTCGTTCGTGAAAAGAAAAGTTTTTGATCCTGACGGTTTTTTTTGTTTTCATGTTAACAGTGTGTGTTGTACCTGTGGGCATTGAAGCTGTGCTATCCTACTACGCTTTTTCTTCTTCGTGGTAACCACGAGTGTCGACATTTGACAGAATACTTCACATTTAAACAGGAATGTAAGTAGATCGTTTCCTACATTTTATTACAATTCATTTGCAATTATCGAGTTCTTTTTACAATTTGTCGCACTGATGGAATTTTCAAAACGGTTAAAGCTTCATTGGAGACGCTTGCAAATAGTTGGGACTTACCTAGGAGGATTTTTATTAATTAAGAATTTTTTTGGTGCCTACATAAATACAGTGTGACCCAGGATGGAGTTGAGGAGAGAAAAAAATCGTTATTTTTAGTTTACGAAGAAAAGTCATAACATGAGCAAAGACTAAATACGATTTAAAAAAATAAATTAAGGTTGCATGTTTTCCTAATTTACTAACATCCTGTACATCAGATTCCGGATTTTAATTCTTCAAACTTATTTATCGATAAAATAAGCTCGATAAGCAGTACTTTTCTTTGTAAGATTAAAAATAGCGATTTTTTTTCTTCTCGTCAACTCCATCCAGAGACACACTGTAGATACATACAGATTGCTCCATTTTCCATTGCAACATAGGCTGTGGGTGCAACAAAGACAACTTCAATTAGACACTTATAAAGGAAAAAGAAAGAGTGACATTTGTGTCATTGCAACTTTTCACTCTGACAACTGTCATTTTAATAATCTTTCTTTGTTCCACTCACAGAAATGACCAGAATATTTCAATCGGAAATGGAGCAAGGTGTATAAGAAGCCTTTGCATTTACTCTAATGATTAGATACACTTATGTGCAATATGATAATCCAATTGGGAAAGTTTTCGCCAGGATTTTATTCGATCCATCATCTGTGTCCCTTATCACTTGTCGATTTGTCGAAGGAATCTTTAGCGGTTGAGTTCATTATCGACGTTCATAAGTCGATGGTTCTTCAACTAGGACAGGAGAGCACTCAGTGTGAGGGACTTCAATCGAAACGTCCGATTTATCGTTTAATACGTTCCTCGACGTTATTGAAAACCATTCATCGAACGAAACTGAAAACAAAGCGTCGCCTACCCGTTTTTTTGTTTATTTATAGCTCTGTTTTTGCGTATATGAGAAACATTGACAACTTATCTGCTAGCGGAGGTGACAGGTGACAGATGACTTTTACGTGCGTTTTGTGACGAGTATAGCGCGAATATGTGGTGAATAGTTAATTCAACGGTTTAATTTTAATTCGCAGGTAAAATTAAATATTCAGAACGTGTATATGAAGCATGCATGGAGGCGTTCGACTGTTTGCCACTCGCCGCCCTTATGAATCAACAGTTTCTCTGCGTACATGGCGGTTTATCGCCGGAAATTCACAATTTAGATGATATACGAAGGGTAAGTAGCTAGGGTATATGTATGGCTAGCAGAGGAAAAATGCATGCAGTATTTACAGTTTATTAAATTGTTGACATATACGCGTTATATTTCAAACTTTCCTTCTACTGTCAAATCAAACGTCAGGTAATGAAATAAAATTATTCACGATAATATCGACAATGACATAAATCCTAAATAACTCCAGTTCACATTGCGTGTGCGCATTGAAAATCATAACTACATAGACCATATTATTCTGGTGTTCCTAATAAAATAGTCTATTTTGCCCGAAGACGAGACAAAACCCGGTCGTAAAGGAAAAAAACCCATTTTGTATTTCCTCAGTTGTTCCATAAGGAAAGGTCAAAGAAAATTTATAAGTGCGCTCGTAATCAAGTCGGCGAGGTCGTTACACATTATAAATAAAAAAAGGAAAACTCTCTTATTTGCTTTTTTCCTTCGTTCTTATCCGTATCGGATCCTTTTCGAAGGAACGCGAGTACGTCGGGTGTAAGTACACGAGTACAAAGGAAAAACAAATGCGACAACAATGCGTTTAGAACACGTAGTTTCGTGCGACACGATTTGACTCGGGTCATATGAGATAAATATCAAAAGTGCCCCCTGTTATCTTGCTTTATATTTTGCATAATTTACAATTAAAAAAAATACCGGGTCCGATTATTTATACTTAAATCGACAAAAAAGTTAGCTTAAAAAATGTCCATTAACAGGGTGGTTCTATATAACAATTGTATTATCCACTGTATCGATCCTTTGCTCATAAAAAATGTATATTAAGGGTTGATATAATTAAGGGTGATTTGAATAGGGATATTCTATTCAAGTTTGTCTACTTTGATGTCAATCATGTAAGTTATCTTACAAATAATATTATCCACCCTATTAGATTCTTGATATTAACTTAGGGACGAAGTTTACATGAATCAACTTGTACGCTATCTCAAACATTTTCGTATAAATAAAAAATTTCTGTATGGTTAAATTTAAGAAAAATTTTCACTAACAGCATATTAACGCTTGTCAATTTTTTCAATAACATTTAACACTGTTTTGACGTTGTTGTTTTTGATATATGTTTGAAAAAGTGGAGGAATTTGTTAAACTATTAGTAGGTACACTAAATTCATGCTAATTTCATATCAAGAATACATATTTCTTCTCTATCGTTTGAGATAAAAAATGGAGTCTTCCAGTACTCATATAACTTATAACTCTAATAATAAACTTCATCCGTTACATCTTTTGCGCGATGATAACGCGGCTCTTTCGAACGCCCGAATTAAATTTCACTACTTTTTTCTTTGGACCTAAACCGAGGAAAGCTGGAAATAGTTCAGAGAGACGTTTTCGTCGCGGCCAACAGAAATTGGTGCAGCGCGATCGATAATTCTCAAATGCGTTTCCTTTTTGTATTCGCTCGAACGCCGTAAATCCCGAAAAATTCGTTCGGATTAGATGTGAGAAAAATTGCAAAATTCGAGTTTCCTATAGATAATTTTTATTTTACTAGTGGATCCAAACGAATTCTTCGCTTTTTAATTTACTTTTTTTATTATTCTTCGTGAAAAGCTTAGGCCGAATAGAGCTTTTAACAATAATGGCATTACCCATAATGCTTTTAACAAAAGCTCACATAGGGGGCGTGCTAAAACCAGGTGGTGATAGAGGGATTAAAACGCGTAGCATGTAAAAGGTCTAATTTAATATTTAATATAGTAAACTACGGGGTTAAAAAAATACTGGATCGGACGCGGTAGAATGTTGTTAATCATTTTTATTATGCGGTACGTATAACGAAAAGTACCTATAAAGTTATTTCTTGACGCGCTAATTCGAAACAAGAATTCTTATCGCGTAAATAATTCATGCTCCCGTCAGGATGTCGAGGAGTTTCTCTACTCGTACGAACACACGTCCTTCGGAGAATTTTTATATGAAATATTAATGAGGCGGGCTGAAAGGAGAGCCGGGCGCGCCGAATGCGATGGGGGCATTCAAATTCATAATTGAGAATGAATCGTACTTAAGTTGATGTAGAGCGCACGGAGCAATGAAAATCGCCCGTAAATTCTATTCACGGGAACTCCGTGTTTTTTTTATTTAATGTACGAATTTCAATTGCAGTTAGACAGATTTAAAGAACCGCCCGCTTTCGGACCAATGTGCGATCTATTATGGTCGGATCCATTAGAAGATTTCGGTAACGAAAACAACTCCGAACACTTTTCCCACAATACTGTCAGAGGCTGTTCGTATTTCTACAGGTGAGTGAATTTTTACAAAATACTTACCTACTTAGTGCATTTCGTGTCGACTTTACCTCTTATACTACCTGTTGGAAAAATTCCAATTCCAATACCAATTATTAATTTCGTTTCAGTTACGCTGCTTGTTGTGATTTCCTCCAAAATAATAATCTTCTATCGATAATTAGAGCACATGAAGCCCAAGATGCCGGGTACGTAGTTATTTTTCTTATCAACTATCGATAATAAATTGTAATACCAGTTATAAAATGATACAAATAAGTATCATATAATTGCATCTTATGATATGCACCAAAGAGCCCTTACGAATTGATGAGTACCGACTGCAAAGCGTACTAATAATTGAGATTTCAACTAGTTATTTTCCGTTATTAGGGAATGTAATGTTTTAGAAAGGTTTTGTATAAAAGTACATAATAAAATTTTTTATCCAGGTGGCTAGACACTGTTGATAAAATACGGAAGAAATCGAATATGCACAAGGTTCATAAAAAATCAGGCAAGCATTTAATAAATGTCGCTTATTTTCAATCAAAACGTAGGAGAAATTTTCTAAAAAATTTAATAAGTGTCGAGGTAGCTTACAGTTGAAATCACCAGAATTCCTAGACATTTCAGATTTTTAATATCTTTTATAAATATAGAGTACTCTCAAAGGGATTGCAATAATCTACAATATATCCTCTTATATTTCACAAACCTTCCAATTAAATATATTGTAAAACTACATAAAAGAAATAAAAGAGAATATAACGCTTGTTTTCTTTGCAGGTATAGGATGTACAGAAAAAGTCAAACGACAGGCTTCCCTTCATTAATTACGATATTTTCAGCACCAAATTATTTGGACGTCTATAATAATAAGGTAAGGGTCTGTTTTGTTCCTCGTTTTTTTTTTCATCGTGTATGCGGTTGAAACGTTGAACCAATTAGCAAATATAACGAACCCCGTTGTAAAACCCCGAGATATAATTAGTTTGTTATCCGCTTTGATAGACGTTTTGTCACATGAGTTAAGCTAAACTGCGGTCAGCGGTCAATATTTCCGTCGTATAATCAATCGAGTAGTTGGTGAATTTGTAACATGAGAACGCGAGTAAATTAAGAATGAATTAATTTAGTTGCAACGAATATAGCACGATAAGAGGAAATTGAAAAATTTTTCTAGAATAAATTCCATAATAGTTTCCAACACCAGTGAGATAAATGTTTTATTCTCCTGCAGCAATAGCGATTTCCTGAAAATTTCCGGCTGTCAACCTCCAGATGATCGCGTCGGATATTTTTTGATTTTAGTTTAAATCGAAAAAAATTACGAACTTTTGTGCTCCAAAAATTATTCTTCTCTTTCTGGAGCGTAGGAGCGAATACGTGATCAATACGTAATGGTTAATTCGCTTTTCCTTTTGGCGTTTCCCACCATTCGCTTGTAGAATTAACATAAGAAATAACGATTGTATTCGTCGTATAATTATCGCATCGTTTCCAGGCGGCTGTACTGAAATACGAAAATAACGTAATGAATATTCGACAATTCAATTTTTCACCGCATCCGTACTGGCTGCCGAACTTCATGGACGTGTTCACGTGGTCGTTGCCCTTCGTCGGCGAGAAAGTCACAGAGATGCTCGTCAACGTGCTCAATATCTGTTCGGACGACGAGCTCGTCTCGGACGGCGACGACGCCTTGGAGGAAGGTAGGTGTCGCTCTTGTACGCCCTATTATGTTTTTCTTATTTCTCCCGTTCATCCTGGAATCTGGAAAAGGAGGAAGGAAATTAAGGAAATTGCCTTATTGAAGATCGGGTAGTTGTGACTTTTTCATACGTTGTATACAAGGCGATTCAAATACAATGAGATAAAGAATTGCCATTTCAATTATCTTTCAACGAACTGTATGTATGGATCAATTAGTTTAATCGGGTTTAAATAAAATGAGTTTGTGAAACAACATACAGCATAGAACTTAACAAAGTTAACTTACATTCACCCTGTATGTTAAATTCAGATCTACCCGATTATTAGAAAGGTAGAAATTTCCAATCGCTCAACTTTACAGGGTGTCTTGCAAAAGAACCTTCATAAAACAGAGGCCTATATAGAAAACGCGTAATTTATTATCTCATAAATATTTTTTTAAATAACAATTATAAATAATTTATGAATATGAAGGCAAAATTCAATTAATTGAACTATCAACTAAATACGCAAACACTTACGTAAGCCACCCTGTATATTTCCAGTATGTTTATTTTTATATGATCCGTTTACGTCTCGAATGGAAAATCAAATCGGGCTAGTTTAGCGCTAATTTTTTTATTTGTAAATCGGAAGGTTTGTTTTTTATCGAAGTGTGATAAATTGGAAGGAATTGGCACTATCGATAGTGAATTGGAGTTCGTCCAACGTAAAATTGGAAAATCAGTTTTTCTCGTTTGATGAACGATATAGGAGGCTTTATTGACTATTTTCAATTTTAATTTCCTGATGACGTATCAACGTTATTACGAGGACCTTACAATATTTTATCTGTGATTATTCGCATCTCTCGCATTATATTCGGAATGTCTCCTTTAAAATAACTGCAATTTTCTCTTACAACTCCAAAACTACTAATGATAGTAATTTCAAAATAGGGCTCCTTTTATGTAGGAAACTTTAGTGCTAAAATGGCTCCTTCGTAGTAAATTCCTTCTGATTTTGATTTTGATCTTATTAACTATTCAATTTACAGGTTGTATTATTATAATTCATAGAGTACTAATTAAAAAATCAATTACAATTTAATATCTAGAAATATCAAATTTTTTGATTTTCCTTTTCGAATAATAAACGGATTACTTTTAATAAATTTTCAATTCCCTGCAGTTTCTCATGAATTGGATCAATCAAATTTCCCGAAAATTTTAAATGAGCAGTGCTTTAAGAATCAATATTATTTTCAATATTTTTGCAAATATATTATTTTATAAATAATATTTAAGTGGTGTAAATTCAATTCTTTCATTAATTTATTGAATTATTTTAAATTGTTTTATATGTATTCCATTCGCTTACTTGTTGAGCATTGCTATTTTAAAACGTTTCGTATTTAATGAAATTTATCATTACATTGAAACTCGATACAATAGGAATATTGGAATGAATTGCTTAAATTAATAATTTAAATTTATGATAATACCTTTATTTTAGAAAATGCTATTTTCTCTATTAATCTTGTTAAAAATAAATTATTTGCTTATAATTAAATTAACTACCAGTATTGACTAGAACATTTTTTCATAGAAAATATTCCAATATTCTCTATGCAATAATTTAATTCTTCTCCGTTTTATAAGATTTTGAAAAATCCAATTTGAACACTCAATATCTCATCGAGTCTCATTACTCAATATCAATACGCTTTTATCCCTAATACATTATTTTTAAACTTTTTTATATTTGAGTAAACAAAGTAAACAATTCAACAAAAAATACGTTTCTTTGTTACTTTTTTCTATGCTACTTGGAAAATCAGATGGTAAGGTTCCGCTTTATTTCGAATTTTTACATTTTTCGCTTTCATGAAAAAAATCTAGCAACTTTCTTTACATCTAATTATTACAATTAGAGAGAATGCCTGTATAGTAAATAATCGGTATTTGTTTTTAATTAATCGCCCCGATTTCCCCCTTTCACATATACACACACACTCGTAATTATGATCTCACCCTATCAATTCGCTCGATTAAAATTCCGTGCCAAATTCAAATCGGCCTACTTTTTACAAATCGAATTAAATTTAAATTGTCGAATTGTCGAATCGACAAATTAAATTTCGCACAAGTTGTTTCCATTTTATACAGAATAAATTTTTAATAAAGCTAATCTATTTTATCGCACAATTCGAATTTTATCGCAGTTATTTCCATTTTAATGTCTAAATTCCCGCTAGATTGAAAATGTGTGTATTATTATTATTTTTATTATTGTGAAATAAATATTCAAAAATTCCGTTAAAATCCATAATTTTTGCATTCTTTTGTTTTCAAATATGTACATAATTGGCATGGAAATTGGATCGTGTGTTCAAAAATTATCCCTCTTTTATACAGCGTGGTCAATTATTGGTTCTGAGCTTCTTCATTAATTCGTAGTCGTATAAAAATATTTAATATACATAAGTTATTTTCATATTGCACATGATTTAATGATAAAAGATTTAAAAATATTTTTCCATATTAAGCATAACGTGTATTAAACATACTAGTTTATCGATAATATTGAAAAATAAATTTACAATTTATTGTGTGTGCTTAACTTTTATTAAACAATAAGGATAAACATTATGATCGCATTAATAACAGAGCTTTTCCTTGATAATTTACTTGACCACTCTGTACATGTGTATAGATCACCGAAAATGAAATCCCAAAAAAATCTGGTGATCGAAAAACCTCAATTAATCAGAGGATTTCGTTAGGGTAGACATTGAAAAATATTTACGTAAAACCGAGCGCTCATTGCTATTGGCACGATTTTTTATTATGGCCAATGTTTGCTTGTTATTTTAATTATTATAAAAGGTATCAGCTGAGCATTATTTATTTAACAATGCGAATTTTTGATTTAACATAGCTTCAATAGTTTAATAACGAAATCCTTTTTCTTTAACACCGTTTAAATACAGGGGTACTATAAATGATTGAGATATTTTTTTTCTTCTATAATTGGCATAACTGTTAACATTTTACTATGATGTTATATTTTTTAAAGACCTCTAAACAATACCGACCAAACGTTGTCGTTCCGTAAGAAACTAGATCAACTTGTTTACTTAGATGAAACATGAAAGTGTTTAATAAGGTCTACTTATACGTAAGATAATCTTCTCCACCTAGGCAATTGCAATTTCAATTTTAATAAATCAATAGATATACAATACATCAGTGTTGTCAACATAATTTTGACATGTATTGCCAACTTTTTTAAAAAGTCTGGATCTTTTACAGTTCCCCGGTATAATGATAACTCTTCTTTGCCCTTTTAATGTTTGTATCGTACCAAGTAGCATCTTGTCTATACTAAGATTATTGGTTATGAATAAATGTTTATATAATATATAAATATTTTCATAAAAAAAGCACAGCATAACTCTTCGGCACTTTGTTTAAAGTTTTTTCAAAAGAAACCTAATAGGAAAACTTGTAAAATTAAATTTGAAAGAAAGATAAAACACACCAGTGACCCAATGCACTCGTAATCGCTTATATTTTTTCTCCTATTTATTCTGACACTGTCTATTTTTCACTATTTTGTCTATATTGTCTCCTTTGGAATCCGCGACCCTACACAGCGAAACAGGCTAAAATAGTTATAAAAAAACCTGGTAAGTTAAAATCACAGAACATGCAGCTTGGAAACAAGGAGTTTTTTTTATAAAAAAATAACACCCGCATTTTAATATCATTTTTTGAGATATTTTAATATTGAATTAATTGTTATTAGTATCATACCGATATTAATAACTGTTTATTTAATATTATTCACGCGTTGTTTGTGCCAGTTTTTCATTTTGTGGAACAATACTTATTGACTAATATTCAGATTGAGTTTTCTTTTTTATTACTAATTAGTGATAAAATAAATTGCGGTTTTTGTTTATCAACTTTTTTGTTATTTTTTTAAAAAATGGGATGAAGGAATACTATTAAATCGGTTTAAAAGATAATAGGAAACGCGCCATTTTTAAAAAGCACTAAAAATATAATGTAAAAGTTTTTAAAAAGCAAATTTGAGGGTCAATTTTGTGATAATTATTAAAAATAACTGAAGAATATAATTTTATTCTCTTTAACGAAAGTACGTACACCTATAGTACAATGTTATTTTCCCTAATAAGTTAATAACGTGTGTTATTAGTAGATTTTATTTGGTTTGAAGGAAAATACTAGGAAAATACTATTCTTTAACGTTTTTAGTGCTGAAAGTGGTGCGGATTATACAGGGCGAGTCAACAAAACGGCACCCCTCAAAGCAACGTATAATAATGAATAATCAGTTTTTCCTTTTAACGTAAAACGCATTTAAGGTTATTTTACCTTATTTTTTCCAAACAAAAATTCTCCATAATCTTTAAAATATTGTAGCTTGTAAATTATTTCGAAAAAACTGATAGCTGTATGTTTTGTATGCGCCGCTTTATCGACACACCCCGTATATTTTTTAAACATTTTTCGTCACGATTTGTCCTTATTTTCGGTCAGAATTTCGAATTCTCCATTCCCACTTTTTTTAATTAGCTTTATTACAAAGAAATTTAGAATCGATTCATTTGAAACAATTCAAAATAAATCGTTCGAGCGATTAATTGCAATTTCCACGATAGTTTCAAATGATTTGGATAAATTACTATTATTTCTCATTTCCATCAATCATTACTTCCATTTATCGGATCGAATCGAATTATTAGAATACTAATTAATTGTTTTACTCGTTACTCGTACTTCTTTCATTCTTTTTTTATTTCCCTTTTCCGTTCAGCGATAAATTTCAAGAGAAAGAATATAAGAAATCAAAAAATTTCGCAATTGTAGATTTGGTTGAGCACAGAAAAATTCGGACGAACCAACAAATCCGAAGAGATTAGAAAATTGTTTAGAAAAAGAATGTCTCACAAAATTTTAAATTTAATTAGTGTCAACAAATCACGGTTATTCTCGTTTACCTGCACGTTAGCCATTAAAGTTTATAATAATTTTTGTACTAATTTGTGATGCATTCCAATCGAATTTAGTTCGTCAAAAAGAAACACAAATTCACCCTAAATGTTGTCTAAAATAAAAACAATAACATTGATTCAATTCAAATAAATTACATATCCATTTTCTTTTCTGTTTCCTCCGAATGCTCCATGGAAAATCAGATGGTAAGAGTTAGATTTTCGTTTCGTTGTATTTGTTTTATTTTTTCGTATTTACGTTATAATAGAGCTTTCCATTTGTGTTAATATCGTAGTTTACCCGCCCTTCAGTGTCCCATAGACGGAATGCCTGGTTTTTGTTAATCGTCTTTATTATTTAAAATCGAAAGTATTGTTTAGATGCCAGTGATGGACTTAACCTATTAAAAATAATGACAAATGTGTTTTCCAGGAGGTTCATTTGTGATGTAATATTTGACGTACGATTTAAAATATGATTACAACTTTCATTTGATTACTTCGATTACTAATTAGTTCTCGATAAACTAATTTGGCGAATACATCTGGTTGTTATGGTAATTTGTAAACAAAAATGAACAATTGTCAACATTGTGAAGTAAATTTAAGTATTTTTCTATAGCTCTATTAATATATGAAAGGAATGCATATTATAGTAATATATTATAGTAATTTTAGAAACGATTTAAAATTTAATAGGCTCATTAACGAATTTACTTTAGTTTAATAGTTTCTCCAAAATGATAAGAGCTATAACAATTAGAGTTTCTTTTTATAGATAATACAAGTTTCTTTCATTATGACTCCTATTTAATAAAACTTTGTTGACAGTTTTAATTTAAAATAGTGAAGAAAATATAGAAAGTCTTATACATATTTTACATTTCACATTAATAAGTCAGCAGTGTATTTTCAATGCGCTGTGAAAGACAGTGTATGTCAATATTTGAGTAGGTTGGTAATACCAATTTATATATGTACATTTTGTCATTCATAATTCAAATTGACAATAGTCACAATGATATAAATTGTTTAGACAGCATCAAATGCGATTGGGTTATAGAAGTCATATAGAGAGCTACAACAAAAATTATAACATATTTTCTCAGATTTTTCTGAGATCACTCGGATACGCATCCTTATAGTGTCATCATATTTATGTTTTATTTCATCAATCCGAAGGAGATTTTTAGTTTTCCAGTTATCTATTTTTTCAAGCGATGAATCAATTAGGTAATTTAACAAACATAATACCCAACTTTGTGAATAGGCATTGTTCCCAAAGTGTGCCGTTTCGAAAAATACAGGGTTTCTCGAAGGAAAACCGTATGGATTTTTACGAAACTTGAATATTTGTATACCCTTTTTTCGATTCGTAAAAAAAACAACTTTCTTGAGACCTTGTACTAGGAATGTTGATTTGAAACCGATTAATTAAATAATCGATTCTACGAGTATGAATTAATTTTTTTAATTTAGATTTATACAATCGATTTTAATATTCGAATAATTTATATTTAATAACTATACACTGTGTCTAAAGTCGAGCGCTACATTCGTCCGCCGATTCATCGCGCCGAAGCCGCGCCTCTCCACAGTTCGACTGATTCTCTCTTTCTACTGTTTGCAGCGCTCGAACATGGACACTCTGTATAATTGATGCGAAATATTCCCGCAAAGAGTTCATTATTCATACTGTCAATAACGCAACAAGTGCGTTTATACGCATAATTTATTTTTCTAAATTAATATATCAATGGACGATATAGCAAATCCTTCAAATCCAATCAAAATTTGATTCTTTCCTATCTTATTAGAGGCAAATCATTTATTTGCACTCGATTCGAATCGATTGTTTGCTTGTGGAATCGACATCCCTATCTAGTACAAATCATCACATTGAAAATTAAAAATCATCTCGCTCATTCATTTGTCTTCTTTGTAGATGGTATAGTATGCATATATTTTTTTAATTGAAACTCATTCATATATTTTTAAGCCTTGCATGAGATTTATGCGTTTGTTGCAGATGAATTTCGTTTTTTCTATTCGAATTGGTGAATAATATTTTGTGATTTTTGATTTATGATTTATTAACCGAACGGACTGAGGTATGTGAAAATTACTGTTCTGAAGTGTCAGAAATTGTCAAAAAAAATAATGCTAGGGATTTTCCCTGCAATGAAATATACGTCCTGTATAAATTATTAATTAAATTGGTCCTGAATCTACGGTTATTGGTTCAGTGCATATCAAATTACGAGTTATTTAATGGATTATTTCCAACAGTGGCATCGTGAAAAAATTTCAGCTTTTTGATTTTCCTAAAATTACCGCTTTTAACAGAAAAATGCATGATTCCATTTTTCTTTTTGGCTAGTTGATTTTTTAACAAAAGTTTAGTGTGAAAATTATATCTGAATTTATTTATTTGTCAGTACGGAAGCAAATTTAACTTCCACATGAACTATTTCAGGAAAATTGTTTGTTAAAAATGCTTCTCGACTGATTAGTTTTTTTTTTACTTTCGTTAAACAAACGAAAAAAAAATAGCAAAAATGTATAATTCATAATTTATACATCTGGAGTAGTGAGAGTAGACCTTGTTTCCTCGTTTTTTATCCATACTTGGAGTAAAATCGAGAAACAGCATCGCATACTAAAGAATTCTTATACAGGGTGATCCATTAGTCCATCTTTTAGTTCTATGATTAACAAAAGAGGTTAACATTAGAGATCCTCAACTGGAATTTAGAATAATAAAACAATTGTAATTTTTTAGCTAAATAGTAGTACATGATTATTGTTATTCATCTACTTCTCTCCATTAGTGAGAATATCTTTCTTAAAAAATACTACATATTGATTTTAAAACATACCTATAGGGCAAAATAATGCTTAGACGATTATCCTAAAACATTCTTTGATATCTCTTAAGATAAAGCAGATCTCGTACTATTTGGCACGCCCTGTATATTATATTTCATGAATGATAACAAAGAAATAGAAAAAAATCTATTTGGATATTTTGTTTTATGCTAATTTCTACATGCACCATTTGTTTATTTTTTTTCTATACTTCTACGCTCGCTACACTTTGTGCCACTGCCCGATTTCTTCGTCGAAAAAACGGCGTTACCCGACGACCCATAATCAATTTTGGTAAGTTGCCTTAGCTGTTGTTTTTGTATTAGTTTCGCGCGCTCTAATTACAATAAAAGGTGCAGTTGAAAATTGAAGAAGTACACATATTATGCATATGTACAATGTATGTATTACGATATGCAATTTATTAGTGGCGATTTTATCAGCATATTGTCTTTGATGCCGAACCAGAACTTGTGTTGTTGTGCCCTCATCAATTATACACTCAATAATCTGCGGGCATATTGACTGAATTATGTAGTTTGAATTCCATAATTTAAACTGATTTGAGATAGGTCATATCAGTCTTAGGTTTATGCGAGGAGATATCAATAGACCAGTTTAACCCTTAACTACTACAAGTTGGGTCCCACAGACCCAAGATATTTTCATCGAGTTTTCATTCACCTCCCACTCTTTAGGTCGTGACCGTCTTATATTTTCGTTTTGTATATTCTTTCTTATTTAGATTATATTTTTTTATAAACAAAATAATATGTGGGTTTGAGAGAGACCCATTTGTACCAGTTACGTACAAAATACTTAGTTGTAGCAGTTAAGGGTTAAGAATGGGAATCAATATCACTATCTTTCTATAATGTACGTCAAGTTTTAAACGCTGCAATCGTCCGAAGCCACGCCTCCTCAGTTCGACTATTTTTCTTTTTCTTACTATCTTATGAATTGATTGATATTGATTGAGAGTCTCTTTCTAAAGATTGCAGCGTTCGAACTTACCTCTCTGTATATGTTCCTGTCATAGAGGGTGTTCGGGATAAAGATTATTTTTTGTGCTATAAGTTCCATCAATTGAAAATGTAGGGGTAGGAAAATATTTCAAGAACCTGAGAAAGTCTTATTTTATTTAAAAGTGTGCTGCAATAAATTTTCAACAGTGCCGAAGTATTAAACATAATGCTATAGATACTTTTTGCTCTTATTGTTTTTTTAGCATGAACTTTCTTCACTTTTTTTTTCAATTTAATAACTGTTTGCTACTAATTGAAAGGCAATTTAGTAATTTAGTTTTAATATAATAATTATTGTGAGCTTAAAGTTTATGAATATTCTTAAAATAGCATCAATGACAATTACTATAGGCCTTTAAAATGAAGTTTTAGAAACTTGTACATTTCCAGAAATTTATTATAGGAATTTATTTCACTATAAAAAAATCTATCCGTATCTATTTTCCCTACTTCACCACTGATTAAGCAGTACGGCTGCCCGGCTATTTCCGGAAAATAAAATTGGGAGAAATATTTAGTTTTTATTAAATCGTTAAATCATTACGATGTTTTTATCGAAATCGATATTCGCACTGCCGTAATTTTCGTTTCCGCTTAATTTCAATATATTCATCAATTTTCCGTTTTGCCGCTTACGAAGTTGATTAACAACTAATAACTAACTAAAGAAAAAACAACACGGAAAAGATCGTTGCGGGCTAAATTAATCCAGATCGAAAAGTATCTCTAGAATTTTATTTTTCGATGTACGGAATTTTTACTGGATCATACTAACATTGTTTTTTTGGTTTTCTAATTTTTTTAGGTACAGCAGCAAATCTCCGAAAAGAAGTTATTAGGAACAAGATCAGAGCGATAGGAAAAATGGCCAGGGTATTCTCAGTACTAAGGTAATAATGTTTCTACTATATTACTAAAAAATGTACTATGTATTTGTAATTTGTTTGGACTCGATTTAATTTGGTTTTATCCGTTTACAGGGAAGAAAGTGAATCAGTACTTCAACTCAAAGGACTCACGCCAACAGGAGCGTTACCTTTGGGAGCATTATCAGGGGGCAAGACAAGCCTCAAAAACGGTAGGCATCAATATTATTTACACAATTAAACATTACGTTTGAAATATTCACTAATAATCTACACATAAAACCGTTGTAGTGAAATTACATTTGGAGAGAACGGGTGCTTTATTAGCTATCAAGTGTATATTACAACCATTAACTTTGAGGAGGAATTCATTTTGCAATTACTTACGTATCAATCGATTTGTACTAATCTTCTAAACCATTTAACTGAATTAAACACACATGTTGTATCTGGAAGTCAACTCTGTCAGATTCTTTACGACTGTCCCTTTTATATCAATTGCATTGTTTATAATTTGCTATGCAATAAAACATTTGCAGTATCATTTAATGTATCCGAACATAAAGTTAAATAACCCAACACTATAAAACCCGAACCATCCTCTCAATTATTCGCCTATCTAACGCAGCTTACCAACATAATTCCCTGGACTGTATCGGTCATGTTGGCAGTTGTATTTGACAAATCCCAACACCCGTGATTGCTCGATTAATTAAATCGCTCATTACGTTGATAATTGCTCAATGAAATTTTTCTATTAAAATCTTATTTCACTGTAGTCAACCCTTTGTTCACTGTTGTGAACCATGCATCAAGGTGTTATATCATCTCATTTCCTCAAATACGTCACAATGTTTTACGACTTTGGCGTTCTATAATAGCATTTTTAAAGAAAATTGTATCGTTTTTCAGCGTTGCAAGGATTCTCGCCGAATCACAAGATCACGAGTTTCGCCGAGGCGAAAGGTTTGGACGCGATAAACGAACGCATGCCGCCTAGGAAAGACGCGCCGCCGTCCCCTTCTGGCGAAGACAACTCTCAAGACCACAATCACACTCAGACAAATGCGCATTCGTGAGCTTGAATCAGCCAGGACATCGCATAGAAGCCATGTGCAGGTAGGTCTGTTATTACACTATTTGCATTTTGGGGAGTAGTAGTCTGGTACACGCCCAATTCGTTCCAAAATTGTGCTGAATTTGGTTTAACATTTGCAATATTGCAAGATTTTTACCTTTCACCATTAATTCAGTCTTTCGCCATGTAGACATTCGACCAGTTTATCAAACTAGTCTAATTTTAAAGGAACTATTTGGACCGTTCTGATTCAATGTTGTTTGATTTTTGCAGATAATTACTTGTGATGGTTCCAAGATTCCTGTGCAGTGGCATTACATCTATAACCAAATAAATAGTAATAAAAAAACATCTTTTGCATCTTTAATAGTTTCTAGGATCCATGTTTATCTCTTCGTCAGGACGACAGGCTCGTTCCGGTAATTTATAATACGAAACCATAAAGTAGCTGGTCTGCTACCCTTATCTTTTTTCTGTCGATATGTTTTCTGTATCATTATCTTTTTGTCGAAAACGTCCCGTTCGCATTCGCGATTTTTGCACACTGCGTTTTGACGACTACATTCCAATTTCGAATTCGAATTCTTGCATCATCAATTTAGAATTGAAAGGGTTTGAAATTAACGTTTCAAAAGCGTAGAAAGCGAGAATTAAACGAACTCTTTCGAAACTAGCCATGAGCTTATTTTGAGGGGATTCATTTAATTTGTCTAAAAACCGAGTAAAACGGCCAGTGTGTAAATGAAAATAATGCGAATGCGGTTGAAAGAGATACGAGCGTGCCATATATCCATTCAATACCCTGACCTGTCGCTACTGTTCGTACCATTTTTTTTTATTTTATTTTTGTCAGTCTCGTTACATCTTACATCGATGTTCGTTATGTCGCCATTTATTCATGGATGTTTTTTATTTAAAAATAAAGGATATTGCTATATATACATACATATTATAAATACACTTGAAAAAAAATGTTCGATTCCGTTTTGTCGTTTCATTCACTTCTCTTGCTTGTCAAACGGCGGATGAAACGTAAAAACTCGATAAATTGTATAAAATAAGTACATTTTTTCTCTCTAATAATATTTAAAAGGAAAATACACGAATCGTATTGTTCGATTTAATATTTCAAACACACGTCTTTGCTACAAGTTGTACTTATTTTTTTTTGTTTTTTTTTCTAATTTAATTCTTTGTACAAATTGTGTTTATATTAGATTGTTAATAATAAGCGTTTTTTGCTCTTTGTCCGAGGGAAACCGATTTGTTTATTCGCAAAAGGTGTGCGCGTGTGTGCGTGTTTATTGTATATTATATATAATGTAAAAAACTATGTTTTCCCATGTATAACCAACCCCCTGTTTCCCCTAAAATAATTATATTAAAAACATATGAATCTCTCCAGCACCATACTTAAAAATATTATAAATAATATATTGTAATTTATAGGAGTAATTCGATTTGAAATTGATCGCCTACGAGATTTTTCTTTTTCTGTTCAATCTTTTCATTCAGTACAGCGATTAAATACAAGGTGGGCCATCCATCTCAATCGTTTTTTAAGGATAACTCGGTTATCATAAAATTTATGAAATTTAAAATATGCAGAGGAAAAGCTTGCTAAAAACCGAAGTAGAAATGAAATTTCTATCTTACATCTCTAATAAATATTGAGTTTTAAGGAAAAAACCGATTGCAGATTGAAGTGAAGATGTACAGCTTTCTAAATTTACAGGAGGATTCCGAAGTAATTGTAAAAAATGCAGAAGGAACAGTAAGATTATTTCATATCGTAAGGGTTCATCAATAATACATAATCAAATAACAGAGACGTTTCCAAAAATCAATGGTATAGAATAGACAATGAAATTGAGTGAATTTCAATGAAGTGATTAATGAGAATGAAATGAAACTAACCTGTTTAGTTAGAATTTTTAGTAGAAATCAATTGTTATAATCAAAAATACTCATTGATTTGTTTATTATTTTTTCCTTGTAATTAAAAAAATATGTTCGTAATAATTCATACACTTTTCAAGTTTATATAGGAAATACTTAGTAAAACTTAGTTTAATGTCTTTGAATATACGATATATTTAAGAAATATTCTTAAATTTCTTGTCTCCTGCATTTTTACACTTACAATAGGATAATAATTGTGAAAAATTAAACAAATTGTGCCATAGCGGGTGATAATTTCAAATTAAATTTTTTAGTTAATTGAATATTAAAAGTAAATATCGTATAATATTTCGCTCAGACATGGAGTTCGCATGAATGGTTCTTCTCTGTATGGCAGTCAGCGTGTTAAATTAAATTAAATTAAAATATCTAATCCTATTAAAAGAAATTCTTGTAAATTTACTCTATATTATATACATATAACTATGGTATAGTTATAGTTAATTAATTACTAGGTTAATATCTCAACAAAAAAAAAAGAAAACCAACTAAACTATCGGTTATGAAACTTTAGGAAAAAATATCAAAACTGAAAAAAATTCACATGGCGTCCCTCAAAAAAACTTTTATACAAAAAAATATATTATATACTGTAACAACCTTGCTTTTGATCCTTCTCTGTGAACTCTTGGACTCTTTAACGATTTGAATGTGCAATCATTTATTTTAAGTGACTGATATTTACGCTTAGTACTCTTTAAATTCTATCTAAAATTGCGCATTCGTCTATAGTGGATCAGTAATAATTACCGTTGCCCTAAAAGTTCCCCAATCGCTCGCGCGTTAATTTGTTCATTTACCGATGTTTCCTTACTATTACTTTTCGGAAAAAGAGCTATTGATATGATGGAAAATTGATTTGGGGTAACTGTAGACGAATCCACAATGCCAAATAATGTGTACAGGTTGGTTCATTGTTAATCCGAAAACGATGGAATGTTTTTGTTTTCTCGGAAAAAATGAGACGACCTGAAATTTTTCAAAATTGTTTTTCTCTCGGTGTTAGCGTCGGTACGAAATTCGAAAATTGTACCTCTCTTGTGATATCTACTCAGAGTTATTCGAATTGATCACTTGTACTGTATCTTTTTTGAACAAAAAAAAAACAAAAAAAATGACAAAAGCCCTTTTTTATTTGGTACCTATCGATCGATTTTTTTCGGTTTAGAATTGTTTTTCTTTTTGTTTTTTTTTTCTTTTTTTTATAAAAAATCATAAATGTCATTTAAAAATCCAATAAAGTTGTTGCATCTGAAGGAGCTTTATTTTAAATAGATGTCTACAGGGTGATCCATTATTGTGGAAATGTCATTTTTCTACAAAGCTACCAAAAATGTATTTTTTAACACGTGAATATTTTTTTAGTAAAAATTTTTAAAAAATAAAAATGTTCGACTGCATTCAAATGCAACATTTTCGTAATACAAATTATTAAAATATGACTAAATATTTTTTAGAATTGTGCAATTTTAAGCAACATGTTAAATGAACGCTTTTTTGCTGAGATTGTTCGCACTGTTGGATCAACCTGTATAAAAAAATGCTGTTTTTGCGAGGAAGAGAAATAGAATTTTCTCGCGCATATTTTTATCAATGCATTGTAAAGATGGGCTTTAACCAACCGTCATTTAGGTAGTACTTTCGAGATGTAGTAGGGCACCCAATTTCCAACACACTGTATATTATATAAATAATATATACATAAAAAGATGTACGAGTTTTCTAATTTGCGATACCCTTCCGAGGATCTAATAATCTCTGACTTAGAAATTTTAGGGTAACGCAATATTTCCAATACTGTAAATATTATAAACAAATAAAAAAAACTATCTATATGCCTTCATACTTCCTAAAACTTATTACAAATATACATATAATAATGCACTGAAGTATTGGTATGTTAGACTTTTTACTTTTAGTACTATCACTGTGTCACGTCACGTGACCGTTTTTAATATTAATATGAAAGTATTGGAACTCCACAAAACCGAATGTTTGACATTGAATTCCAGAAGTTTGGATTATTCTCGTTTGAAACGGTTGAAAGTCTTCTGGAAAAATTGAGAGAATTTGCCAAAAAAATTTTTCGAACTCGGTTCGGTGAATTTCCAATACGTTTTTGTAGAATTAGCTGAATGTTTTTGAAATATAATTGAAAAATATACATTATATACATATTATAAATAAACAAATTAAATGCGTTGATATAATTCATATCAATCGAAAGAATGTGCAATTTTAAAATTTTTGAAAAATTTCTAAAAAAAAGTTATGCATGTTACAATTTTTGACAGTCGTTTTATCTGTGATCGCCTTGCGTTAACTGAATTAATCCTTTTATCTTTTTTGTTGTAATTCTAATTTCTTCTATCGAAAGCTACTCCTTTCTCTAATGAAATAAAAAAAAGAGTAACAGCAAAAACTTCCGAAAAATTTCAATGAGACTACGTGAAATTTTTGCTCGGACTCCTTTTCCCTCTTTTTTGTATATTAGAAATGTTAATTTTATCGCCGTTGTGTTTTAAATAAGTTTTTTGTGTCTTTTATTAAAATATTAAATATATGAAAAAACATATTTCTTCCCAACGTGTCGCATTATTTATTTATTTAAATAAAGGTAAGTCTTGTTTAATTCATCGTTTTATTTTTTTCTGCAGAAATGGAACCTTTGGAACCTATTTACAGAACTTTTTTTTATTTATTCTATATCTTTCGTGGTTATAACTTTCGAATCATTTATTTTATGTGTAGATATATTTATCATAAATGATCTTGAGAAATAATTTACTAATTATAAAACGCCTCAAAATAATAAAAAAATATTGCGCAAAAAATTCTAAATGAAAACCTAAAAAAATACTCAAAGTATAATAAAATAAAAACGTTTAAAAACCACTTGAGGAATATAGTCAATAAAATTATAAAAATGCACAAAACGAAGGGTAAATTGCAAGTAATGCGTCAGATTAGAAGTACATACTCTTACATACAAAAATATATTAGGGCCTCTCATATTAGATTATCACTATCGTGATAAAAGCGATTTTATCGAAATTCGCGCGATAGCACTTCAATTTTTAGATTTTTTTAATATACTTTCGAAAGTCGTAATTGCTACACGGCTATTTTAATCTACCTTCCATCAAAACAAAGCAATCCCATTGGATAGGGTCTTATCTCTCCAACTTGACTATAACTATCTTTACGATCGAAATTAAAATTTATTATTTTTAATTACAGATAAACTATAATATTTAAAAGAGATAAGCTTATGGGTCAAACCCTTAAAATAAAGGATCAATTAAATTGAATAAATATTTATCTAATCTAAAACGTGAATCACAAAATCAATATCTATACCTATTCGTGCAGGCACGTTAAAATTAATATCATTACAGCACCGTGTCCTTTCATACGTTCACCTGAACCGTAAAACAATTAAAACGGTAGTTAAAATACCCTTTAATCCAGTTTCGGGTAAAATATGTGTAAGGGGTGATTATGTCGAATTCGAAAGAGGAAACGTACATCATAAAACCATCGACGGAATTGATAGCCGACGAATACGAGCATTTTGACCGCGGGGGCAACGCCAAAATTGCCTTGCACACCTTCATTGAAGAGAAAGATGAAGAGGGCGACGTGAATACCGATAACGAAAAACGGTTCCTCAACAGTTTGGCCAACTGCGGATTCGAATTCAAAAACGAAAATCACCATTCGTTACACGAAGTCGACTTCGTTAATTGCATGAAAAAGAGTGAGTATTGCTATTTTTGGAAATGATAGAGTATTGAAAAAATTGAAAATATTAAAAAAATCAGATCCGATTTACTTGAAAAACCTACAAAAATTCCTAAAAAACACGAAAAACGGACCTATATACCTGCCCATTTAAAAATCACCAAAAGGCGCTTCGAAAATTTTATATTGGACTTCATCGTACCTTAAAAATTAGTACTGGCTTTTTTTTAAGAACAAATAATAATACCCGAAATTCACAAAGTGATTTTGATAATAACTAATAAAACTAATTTTGCAGTCGTTGAGGATGCCAACACATTCAACGAAGGGTTAATACTGTTTTTCTCTGGCAATTCAGCCGATGTTGGAGAGCTATGCATTAATAGAACTATAATAAGCATTCAAGAAGTTTGGTCTATGTTCGATTCTTCTAAACCTGTGAATTCTAACCTGTGAATCATCAAACACCATTCAAGCAGATGGCATGGTTAAAAACTACGACACTCCCGCTGAAGCAGATATTTTGATCATTTATAATACTAAAAATCCCAAAGGTGGTAAGTATACTCTTAAAAACGTACCTAACATAAACAGAGTATTCCACAATTAAATACGATACCATTTGCTTTAGCATGATAACGTAATACTCAACCAATTTTCATGATTTTCTTAAGTGTACATACTAAAAACTAAATTAACTTAGTACAAGAGAGCAACAATATAATCTGCATAATAATATGTCTGCTTATCTGCATATGGGCATATATGGTAAATATTTTTAAATTTCAGAAGACGCATTTATCACCGATTTTTGCAAAAACATCGACGACTTTGGCGACGAAGAGAACATCGTGTCGCTAGCGACGATATCTTCGGCCGAACCTACTCTCCTGATATCTACGATGACGAGAAGCTTCTACTTCACCCGCACTGCCAGCAGCGATTTGAGAGGACACCACCAAGTGATCAGGAAACACGCCGATAAGATCGATGAAAATTTGAGGGAAATGCAAACCTTCATAAATGCCGGAAGCAAGAAGAAGAAAGAGAAGCACTCGTTTCTCGGCAGCTTCAGGATGAAGATGATGAAGAAAACAGAGGAGCAGAAGGAGACGGAAAAGGAGAGGGCGAAGAAAAGGGAAAAAGAAAAGGAGATGAAGAAAGAGAATGAGAGGAAAGAGAAAGAGAATGAGAGGAAAGAGAAAGAAAAGGAGGGTAAGGAGAAAGATAAGAAGAAACAGGAAGAAGTTGGCCGGATTGTTCCGGCGAAACGACCGAGCGGGCTGAGTGGACAATTTCGACAAAGATCAAGATCACAAACCGAATCGGATAGCGGAAAAACCGCTCATAGAAGACCGAGCGACAAAAATGGTAAGCCCGTTTGGATCCCTTGTTGATTTATTAAAAAAAACATATATAGATACCTATAAGGGTAAGGGTACCGGTACATAATCAGCTACTAGTAGTAGTCCATTTCAAACCTACTGTGATTAAGAATTTTCAAATACTTTTTTCGCCACTTTTATTACGCTTGATATACAGGGTGTCCAAATGGAAAGTAGCCCATTTAATCAGCTTATAACTTTTAAAGGCTTAGATAATCATAAAAACATGCAGTTTCCACAGGTATTTTTTACACAAATTGCCTACCCCCCAAAACTTTTCAAACGACTGCACAAGGCACGTTTAAAAAAATTGACTTTTAGTCACCCTGTACCATAAATTTTTCAACTATTAGGTACAATATCTAATACTATTTCAAAATGTCTTATATGGTATACACTGGTGCACCCACCCTAATTTAAATAAATTACTAATATAAAGTATATAGGTAGTATTAATTTTTGTATAAAGTATAATGTAAGTACAAGAAAATTTCCTTAACTTATAGGAGTTTCTGAACGAAGTAACAATAGTCTAATAAAAATATTTTAGAATAACTCGGAATACTAACTGCCATATGCCATATTCACAAAATTTCAACTGTTCAAAAATTCCTAAAAGTTCTAGTCTGAATAACCCTGTGTTCGCAATTATCACTTATGTAAACCTATATTTACTTACCTATCTTGTAGTTAATGCAAAATTAAACCAGTTATATGTAGAAACTTGAATAAAAGCTCTTGAAAAGTTTACCGTTTATACCGTTTGATACCATTTTCTTCAGTCATTATTTTCAAAATGGCCGAACTCATTCGAGCAGATTTTGAAATTCATGGTACTTTATAACTAAAATAACAAAATATTATGAATACTATAACAGAATCACCCATTTTTAAAGTTTTATTAAATCAGTTTATTTTATTTACCTTTAATCGATGAATTCTGGTGAATTTTTATCTGTACACATTACACAAAAACAAAACAACTTGTTAATTACTGAACTGCCACTTGTTATATGTCATTAGTCAATCAACAATCTGTCAGTTTTGGCGTCAAATTTAAATTTTATTTTTAGAAATTCATCTTGTAAGGGAGTAGAAAATAAAATTGGTTTGCATTTTAATTTATTAAGCAGCATCTAAATCTACACAGCAATATAATATAGATCATAGTCGATTTCCTCACTGAGAAAAATGCAGAAAATACACTACAATGGATATTAAAACAAAAAAATAACAGTTTACTTTTTAAAAAAGCTGTAAGCTGCCCCCTTGCTTATACATCAAATATGTCGAAAGATCGATTTCGATCGATTATTCGACAGGAATCGATCGAAACGATCAACTCGAACCCAATATTTTCACGTATTAACGAATACATTCCGTAAAATTTCGTCCCATAAAATGTTTTTACCAATACATAATAATAATAAGAATAAATCCAAATAATGTAAAAGTTCTATAAAAAAGAGGACCTAAAAAAATGAACATTTGACAAATATTTAAAAGTATTGAAATTTATTTTTTAATTAACGTGATATTTGTATATTGTAACCTATTTAGAACCCTAACAATGTACCTAATTCAATTTATGAAATTTCAATTTTTTTTAGTTGAAACATAGAATTATTGGTTATTAATGTTTTAGGATAATTAATTTTCACTACTTTAAAATATTTGTCATAGTGGTAATAGAATACAACCCATTTTTTCAAAAAGATATTAAACATTGGTCTAAAAAAAGGGATATTTTTCTCATTTTCAATTAACGTAATCCAGAATCGAATCGCCAACTTGTATGGGAAATGTAGGAAGTTTGTAGGGAGTGTCGTTTTCATTTTTCAAATTATCCGGAATCCTCAACATCTCGAAGTGACCGTCCGTCAAGTCAAACATATCGTCCACGATTAATCTAAAATAAAAAAAAATATCTTATTATCATTCATTTATAGGTGATATCCACGAAGAGAACCAAATATCTCAATCACTTTAATGTTTTATATTAAATATAATTATGAGGATGTTTTCAAGTTTCTGGAAATTGGTGACAGACAACTGCAATCCAGTGCAAGATGGTTCAGTCTGATTCAGTGGTTAGATTAATATAGACGCTGAATAGTTTTCACACTTTGTCCACAATAATTATATTGCTCCGAGATTTTTCCGAGTCTTCCATGGTTCAAAAACAGAGCTACACGTGTATACCAGTCGAACACTTGAATCAGACTGAACAATGTTGTACTTTGTACTGGATAGTTGCATAAACATGTCAAGACTTGTCTATCATTGTCTATAAATTCTGCGTAATGTAATTATAGCACAATTCCCATAACTTTGGAAACATCACTCGTGTATATTTTACAGTATTAACCTGTACATTTATATATTATATGCAGATCGTTTTTTTTTACCTCATGTTCTCTTCGATGACGATGTGAACAGTTGGAATGGGAAAACCATTGAAAGGGCTGGCTACTGGTAACGTATAAGCCCCCATGTCCTCGAAGACGATCCAATCGCCGATTTTCATATCGGGCAGAACGGCGCTTTCAATTACTTGATCGAGTCCATCGCAAGTCGGTCCCCAAATACTACTCTCGTAATATTTAGCCCCAGATCGTTCCTCCAACGGTTGAGGTACTACTACCTAAAAAACGTAACTCGTTCAACAAATATCCTAAACAAAGATATCGAGACGATATTTAAATCTATCCAACGTTACCTGATGATCATACAAAATGCAGTTGAAACTACCATAAACTCCGTCGTTGATGTAGTACATGCGATGGGTACCGGTCGTACCGGTCTCCTCGTTAGTCCGAATAACGTTCCTGATCGAATGAATGTTACACACTAATGTGTACGCCGAACAAACGAAGAAACGTCCCGGCTCGGCGATCACGCTCACCGACTCGTCCGGAAAATGTGCATCCAAAGCGGAATTGACTATTTCTGCGATCTGAAAATCCACAAATTAATCGAAACGATCCACATCCCCCAACCAGTCATTCATAAATTCAAAAGTTTTTGACGCCAACATTGAAAATTATCTGTCACTTATTAAGTAAACGAGGCAAAAAAAGTAAGATAGAAAAATAGAGGTAACACGGCAGATCCAATAAGGCGCCTTTAGCGTAGGCAAATATATTTTAAATAAGAATTTAATTATGTTAAGAATTGTTATGGTAAAAATATAACCATATTTAGTATTACGTATGAAAAAACGGTGACAACTGCTTCCCGGTTTCCCGCTATTTGCTATTACTCGCTGGGAAAATGAGATAGATACTGTTCTCTAAACTCTCTTTAGTCGAAATCGTCTAGAAATTTTACTACGAGCGGTAGTACACCGTTGCCAAATTTGTAAGAGTAAGAGTTTATCTATTACAGGAATTTTGAAGTATAGAATTCGTCACATTTTGAAACTATATTTCTTAAACTTGCAATTTATTAGATGTTGTGGGTGTATTCTGAAGAATGTAAATAACATTAGTTTTTAATATTAAGACAATTGCATAATAGGGATATAAAATAAAAAATATAGCAGAAGGGAATTGTAAAAAATAGCGCCGCAATATGCAATGTTTTACCTCTATTTTCTGTTAGACTGTGACCTATTGTACCCTAAATTTTTGTAAACAGTACCATCTATTTTAGTTATCTATGAAACGATCGGAGCTGCATAAAACCTCCGGCTAAAGAAAAAATAAAAGCTATTTTACCTCATCGATAGTCGTTCCTCTGCCGCCGGGATAACCGCCGCCGATGTCGAGCAACGAGAACTCGTAGCCCAACGTTTTGGCGAATTCGAACACGTCCTTGGCGGCGGCGATGGCCCTGCGGAACACCGGCGGCTCTCGGCAGCCCGAACCCACGTGGAAACTGACGCCGACGACGTCGAGGTCCAGCGATCTGGCGACGCGCAACAGCCCCGGCGCCTCGGCGACGGGATCGCAGCCGAACTTGTTGCCCAATTGGCATTGGACTTCGGCGGCGTCGCAACGGATTCGAATCACCATCCTATGTTAACAAGTAGAAGAACGTTAATCAACGATAGAATAAGAATATATTGAGAATTGGGATAATTATATTTTTTATTATATTTCAATTCTATTTTTAACCGAGGAATACTAATGATCTGATGAATTTCAGATGAAATAAAGTATTGTCAGTGCACGGGATAATTTAATGACTATTTTTAAAACCCTACTTTTATCTTTTCAAATTGCAGGGAAAAGAATTAAAATTGAAAAATTCTGAAATTGATTATTTTTTTCTATTTCATTTCAATTTTAAACCGAGGAATACTAATGAAGTTCAGTAGATATTGAATATAGAGCGATATGTTTCCGTTTTTCAGATATTTTTGAATAATTTAACCCTTTTTTTAAGGGCAGGTAAATCAAATAAAGTATTTCCAGTGCAAGGGATACTTTAATGACTATTTTAAAAATCCTACTTTTCTTTTCAAAATGCAGGGAAAAGAATTGAAATTAAAATGTTCTGAAAAGGATTATTTTTTCTATTTCATTTCTATTTTTAACCGAGTAATACTAATGAAGGTCAGTAGAGCGGTATGTTTCCATTTTTCAGATATTTTTGAATAATTTACCCTTTTTTAAAGGGCAAGTGAATGAAATAAAGTATTTCCAGTGCACGAGATACTTTAATGACTATTTTTAAAACCCTACTTTTATCTTTTCAAATGGCAGTGAAAAGAATTGAAATTGAAAAATTCTGAAAAGGATTTCGTATTTTACTCTGTTGCACGTTTGATTTTATGCCAAGTGTAATCAAACGCGGATCATCTACTAGTTAAACTATTCCCAACCCATAGACTGTGAAAAAATGAAAGGAGCATTATCTGGATTACTATTGGACTGGTAAAAGCCTTGGAATGACTAACTTAGAAATTTTTTAATTGAGCGACTCGTATGGTCTTTCCATACAAAATTAGCTTTTGTAACAGTCTCCTGATAGCGAATGGAGTATAGTAGACATCAATTGAAATATGTCTTGAAAAAGGCATACAGATAAAAAAAAACACAAATTTACAACCCAAACTTATAAATCAACCGTTCGATTCCTTCAAATCCAACGATCAAACCACTAAATAATCCACAAATTCGAGAGAAAAACCGTTCGATGTATACTCACTTAGCGTCCGGATACAAGTTTTTGATCTTGTGCAACTCGTTCTCGCTGTCGAAGGTCATGGTCTGCACGCCGACGGAGGCGGCGAATCGAACGTGACTGGACGGCTTGGCCGGATTGGCGAAAATAATCCTCTCCGGTTCGACGCCCAACTCCAACACCTTGTTGATCTCCCCTTTGGAAGCGCAATCGAAGTTCGCGCCCAACGCGTTGAGCGTTTCCAATACGGCCAGCGAATCGTTGCATTTCACCGCTGAAATCAACAACAAAAAAAACGGCGCGTTTCAATTAATTTATCCATTACAAAACGTGTAGGAATATGCCACCTTCGCTATCGATCGTACGATCATTGTCGCAGAAAAAGAAATAAATCGTTACATTTAAATTCTTTTACCGTAGTGCGGCGTCACGCGCGGCAGCTTCGACGTCCACTGATCGTACTTGTTGATGATTTCCCCGATGTTCATGACGTAGAAGGCGTCTTCCTGGTGTGCGCGGCTCGCTATGTCCCTGATGACGGTCCATACGTCGGAGTTTTGGTCCAAAACGTGAACGCGTGCGTCGGAATTCGGAATTTTCATGGTTACTTTTATTGTATCGTTAAATTACGAGCAAATATTTTAGATGAAATAAGCAAGCTGCAATCAGAAACCATCGAATTAGTTAAGGCTATTTATGAAGAATTGAGTCTCCCGATATTTTTATAAAATTCTTTCATTAATTCTTCACTATTTCTATTCTAAACCTTCTACACAAAAGTTAAGGAAGTTCGCAAATTTTGCGATTATTTTAAAAGTTACAGACTCTTTGGTCACCAAATTTTCAAATATGCGAAATTAAATGTTTTCTCATATCTGAGTGAATTTTTTGTCCCTTCCTCTAAAACTCATACTAAATTTGGCGATCAAAAAACCTGCAACTTTTAAATTAATCTCAATATTTGTAAACTTCCTTAACTTTTGTGGAGCAGTATATTAAGATTCTTTATTAAAATCTTTAAAATTTTTCTGTGAATTATTAAATGCAAATTAATCTTTGATCTTTATTGCATTGTACTCAGTTATAGTGACCCAATAATATCCAATGTTCATAATATCCAGAGACTGCTCATTAATGCTATAAAAATGTAGATGTATACTTACGAGGCAGCCTGTGCTCAGATTCACACAGGTTTATTTGTTATGTGACTTAAAATGAACTAGATGGTTCCTGCTAGCGCAGCCAAGGCGGTTCGCCGTTTAGGAAGATTTTCCAGTTGTACGGTAGAAGAAGGCTGCTAGTGTCTGGGCTAGCTTCGTCCAAATTACGACCCTAGAAAAATAGAAAAAATATATATTTAGTTGCTTATTATTATCATTCCTCAAAAGGCGCTCTTTCATTCCGAGGTGATGAAGTACAAAGGAGTACTTTACAATTCTAATTATCTCTTAAGTTTCGATAGAATGTTACATTATACAAGAGATTGAATTGTTATATAACGACTCAAAATAAAAACTATGTAACATATTTTACGCAAATCAGTTTTTAAATTATTTCCATTTTTCACACCAAAATACAGTTCTTAATCTTTGAAAAAAAAAATACTGCACAAACATTTCATCAGAATTCAAACTATTTTATTCTGTATATGTAATAAAAATTTGCTACTGTACCTGAATTAATAGGGGAAATGGAACTTTGCTTGTTGCACATAAACACATGAAAATTTCTTTTATTTTAAAAAAAGGAAATTACCAGCGGGTCATTTAAACCACTGGTATCAAAATGAATGCTTAATAAGTTCGAAAAGAAAAAACAACCCGACAACTTCACTCGCTCGCAGCAATTAACTGAGAAAATCAGACACGACTTCTTCGGAAGATATATTAACTTTCCCCACTACGTTACCCCGATTTGATTTGCTTAACCTTTCTGGTTAATCCGATAAGAAGAAACTGAGATAGTAAATTAAGTCAATAAACCGAATGATCAACGTTTTTTTTTATTATCAATACCCGAACCGATAACATTTGATCGAAGTGTGGTGGAGGTCGTATTGCAAAACTTCATTATAGTGAAATTAAGCATGTTTCGTCTATTTTTCCAATTTTTGATATAGAAGGCACCTAAATTAGCTAATATAAACAGTATCTTTTAGATTGGGCGGTTGAGTGTTGGCTTAAAAATGCTACTAAAACTACCTTTAGGACAGCCTTAATTCTTTTATACGTTTTTACTAATCGTCTGAATAATTTAAACTATACTAGTAATTTTATGTGATCTTTACAGAATTGCTATCTATTGCATTAAAACATGTAAAAAATCCGTATCATTATCTTAGGAAATGATAAATGTCTTGTATTAATCGTTTGTAATTACGATAAAACTATAAGTACGAAAAACTTTCACTTTGATAAATGGTTATAGTACTTTGATACGTTGATACTAGAGTTACGGGGGCAAATATTGCCGATAAGAGATGAATAAGAAAATTGTAACAAATAGAAAAAAATGATGCAACTACAATGTATTTTGTACGTATAATACTAACTTTGAATTTTTTTGAAAATATATTACGAGTTTAAAAGAAGTCCAAGATATCAGATGAGTTTTCGACTTATTTTCACATAATTAGACATTTTTAACGATATTTAAGAAGTTATTTACTCGATTTTATGTGATTTAAATACCATTTAAATTTTTCAAACATATTAAAAAGTAAATACCTTCGTAAAAAAAATCATCCAAAAACCCTTAGCAAAGAGGAACAATTTCTAGTAATTTCTAAAATATAACTATTTACAGGAAAATAAAAAAAGGAGATCATTAAGCGCTAATTACCTTTCAAAGACTTTATCATTATGTTGTATGCTGTCTTAAAAATAATAAACCTTATCAATAAAACGTTATGCATTTGTAGTAATTTGGCTTTTAAACACATAAAATTTCTAGAATAACAATTCACCATAGCAAAAACTTAATTATTTCAACTGCTGGCAAAAATTCTGTTGATTTAAATTTAATTTGTACATTTTGATACGAACTTGCTCTAAATATTGTTCTATATTACTGTTCGATAAACTCTGATATTTAAGCAAATACAAATATTTATTTGTACTCATACAGTTTAGATGGCCGTAAAATAGTATTTCATTATTAAACCAATAACAAGCAAGAAATGTATAAATTACATCATAAAATCTCACACAACATTCGGGAAGTTCTAATTAATTACATACAAATGAAAACAACACCAAATAAATCAAGTAATACTTTTTTGTATTTTATCAAGCAACATTTCCATTCTCTCCTTCATGATGGGTTGTCCTTTTTTCGTCTTCCTCGACAGCCTTTTGTACTTCTCGGCTTTTTCTTTGCGATACCGTTTAAGCGCCTCTTCCTTTTCCAATTTTTTCTTCGAAAGCTCCTCTCGCCTATTTTGCTTTTCGTTCTTCAAACGTTGGAATTCCTCCTGCGCTCTTCGGCCGATTTTCTTCCTTTTGGGCAAATCGCCGTCTTCTTTGGGACGATCAGTCGACGTCGTCGGCACTGGCGTCGGCGTCTCTTCCTCGTCCGAATCGCGGTATCGAGGATCGTCGTAGATTTTTTTAACGTCGAATTTCTTTTCCTCGCCCTCGATTTGACTGTAATAATCCCTCAGGACGGTTTTCTTTCGGTTTTCCTCCCATTGTTGCACTTTGTATTTGTTGCTGTATTTTTTCAAGCGGTACAATTTTTTATCAAACGGTTTTTTCTCCTTGTCAGAGTCGATATTAATCGATTTATTGTCTTTTTTCGATTTTATATTCGATTGTAATTTTCGATTTTTTGCCATTTGATCTGCAAATTGATGGAGAGAAAAGAAATGTTACTTGCTGAGGTAGATAAGTTGTAATATGATTTAATAAGCACAAGCGTTTACAAGTCTTAAAGTCGTTTTAAAGTCTTTTTAGAAATAGAAAATTCTTAATCCTAAAAAGTAATTAAATTCTATGTTTCAATTTGGCAACATCGGACATTACTTTATCCAAGAAGAAAATATGCTGGATATGATATTACGATGAGCAACGTTGCCAAGTTGAGAAAATATTCTGTCTATAAAAAACTTAGTAACAAGAAAATGTTATACATTTAAATAAATATATTTTAAATTTATTTATAAAAAAAATATAATTTAAAAAAATATGATAATTGGCATTTTTTGATTTTTACATTGAAAAATATGGTGTAATAAAATTGATGTGAAATAATTGGAAATTGTTTGTTTAATAAAACAAACATGATAAAATGCAAATGATAGGTGTTTGTAATATAACGAGTTGATTTGTTTTAGCATAAATAATGTAGGTTTTAATGTTCTACTTAATGTTAAAAATTAAATTTAAGTTTATGTTTTCACAATATCATTTTTCAATTAATATTAATTCATTCAAAAACAATATTAACAATTCCAATTCACATTATTTGCCAAATTTATGCAGAATGATAAAAATTCTTACGAAAATATTTACAAATTAATGTTTATCGACGTAGATTATTTGGTACATTCATTCAAATTTCAGTCAGCACACCTACTGCATGCTTTGAAATGCAAGCAACAATTATATTTTAATTTCACCATGTACCTATAACATTTTATTACTAAAATATATTAAGGACATGACTCATAGGAAAAAATCATGGATCAATGTTATTTGAAAAACAACCTTTCGAGCGAGGAAAATCCCATTCCCATTATTCAACAACAACATATATCAACAATCAACAATCAACAAACATCCGAATAAATAAACACAGTATAAGAAATTTAAATAAATGGAATTGCTCAATTTATACGTAACAAAACAATATGGACCCCTTACCTTCGGTAGCCACCCTCTGGGTTCGACGTAATTTTTCGGAGGAATCTTGAGTTTTTGTGGAAACCAGTGTGCGAAAAACACTTCCTTCCTTCGTCAAACAACAAAATCGAGTACTTTTCTGCAAATTTTCCAGCAGACCATGCCTGTATTAGTAAAACTTGTCGCGAAAAGGAAGTTGAGCGTGCAACGTTCCTCAAATTATATTGACTTTGACAGTTACGTCACTGTCACGTGTCACGTAATAAAGATCAACAAAGCATAATTGGGAGGTTCAACCTTCGAACAAAGTCGTGACGTCATCGATATTTCTTTCGTATCGACTTTTGCAAGCTACAAAATCTATAAAATGTGAGAGTTCAATGTAAATTTTACATCTCTGAGTTATAAAACTGATGGATAGTCAATATATATAGCATTTGTAGAAAAAAAAATGATGAGACAATTGTGATGTCACTTAGTAACAACGATGAGCAAACCTCCTAAAGTTTAGTGATATTGGTGATAAATCGAAAATCAGTCGAAGCATCCGAGGCTATTCAGCTTCATTTCAATTTAATTTTAAAGTAAAAAAGAAGAAAATGTAAGGTTATGGGAAAAGAAAGTATTTTGAAGTATTTATGTTGTTTTTATAATTAGAGTTAATTTAAATGGGGCAATTTGATTAAATAGTTTACTTTACAATGAAAACTGAGAATGTTGTTCATACAGGTGATCCTGTGTGGACACAAAACGTTGACTTATTACCTCCTGAGGTACATTTATTATTTAATAATAATTACAAACCATATGTGTTGACATAAATTCCTTACTCTTATCCATAACCCAATTCAAATTATACTCTTGTATATTATTTTATCACCTGAATATCTATTATATTTTTAGGAGTGTCTTCCAGTTATAGGAAGTACGCAAGTATCTTCCATTCTACAACATTTAGATCCAACCAATACGGCTAATGGCGCTCAAAACATGGACCTGATTATAATGCCTCAAACCAACTTTAAAATACCTTCTGTAGAAAATCCTTTCCCTCTATCAAGTAACTACATAATCGTAAAAGAGAACAGTGAAGACAAGAACGAAAAGTCATCATTGACCATTGAAAAACCGAAGAAAAAGAACAATTACGAAAATATGTTGTATTTCGTTTGCAATCTATGCCCGTTTCTGTGCACAAAAGACTCTAAAATAGCCGAGCATGTGGAAAATTGCCATAAAAATAAGACGACTGTAAAACAACCACAATTGAAATGTCCTGCTTGCTCAAACATATTTTATCACAGGATGTCTCTTAAAGCTCACCTCATACACGATCACAGCGTATCCAACTCTGACTTATCCTATATAATTCAAGCTATTGTATACTACTCTAATAAAACCAAAAAAGGAGAAAACAAACCGAAATTATCACCTAATAAACCGCCAATTGAAGACAACGTCAACTCGATATGTTTGGATAATGTAGAGACTCCTTCGAATCTACAATACAATTCGAAATCCTTTTTCGAAAGCCTCGCCAAAACGTCCGAAAACACTCCAACAAACGCCAACAACAGCGTGAAAAGAACCAAAATATGCCCACACCCGGGTTGCAAAATCAAACTCCCGGACGCCAGCAAAATGAGCTATCACCTGTCCTGTCACGCTGGAGAAGGTTACATCTGCTGCGAGTGCACAGAGAAGTTCCAATCGTGGCGGCTGCTCAGCTCCCACATTTGGCGGCTGCACAAGATCGACACCGGCCTGTACTCCTGCGACAAATGCAATTACAAAACCTACAGCCTATCCAAGCTGAACAACACTCACAAACTCATCCACGGCGACGTTAAGAATTTCTCGTGCGATCAGTGCGGCAAGGCCTTCAAGAACAACAAGCAACTGAACAATCACAAGCTGACACACAAAGACAAATCCAATAAGCTGGCTAACGTCTGCGAGGAGTGCTCGAAAGCTTTCGCAGATCGAAGGCAACTGAGGATACACAAAGATGTGGTGCATAAGAAGTTGAGGCCTTTTTTGTGCAATTTTTGCGGGTATAAGAGCTCGTCGAGGAATTCTTTGAAAATTCACATTAGGCAACATACAGGTAATTTATTTGTTAATTGTACGGGGTTCTGAAATTAACATGTTGAATTGATTTTTAGGTGAAAAGCCGTTCTCTTGTTCGACCTGTTCATATACAACGTCAGATCACAATTCGTTGAGAAGACATAAACTCAGGCATACAGGTGACAAGCCGTACAAGTGCAAATATTGTTCGTACGCGTGCATTCAAAGTAGCACATACAAAACTCATCTGAAAACCAAACATCCCGGTATGGAAAAGGACCTCATGTTTGCCTGTGGCGAATGCCAATTTAGATCCGTCAATAAGGATATGTATACGTCACATGTGGCAACAGTTCATGGCTTGAAACCGTCTTGATAATAGCATTATAATACCAAGAAATTATGGAAGGAAATGAAGAAATTTTCAGATGGATTTGTACCTTATCAATTTTAAATTACAGACTACTACACGACTTACAATTTTGCATTGAAAATATCCATATTCAATCAACTACTAGCCACATCTATATTGTGATTTTTTTTGTAATATATCTGATAATCTTTTTTTCTAATGTAACTGATGTATCGATATACATGTTGATTCATTTTATTTTGCAATGTAGATTATACTATAGGCTATGGGTGCGATAAAGACAACATAAATTAGACACGTACAAAGGAAAAAGAAAGAGTGATATTGTGTCATTGCAACTTTTCACTATAACAACTGTTAGGTATTTTAATAATCTTCCTTTGTTTAACTCATAAAAATCATGTTGCTAACTGAAATGAACCAAGGGTGTGTCTTGAGAAGAATTAATTAATTACACATCATTCTGTATTATGTATCTAATATATTACGAATCACTTAATGAAAATAGCGAGAAGATATAAATAAATGTTATGATTTTTACCGGTGCATTTTATTATATTTCCAGTCCAATATCTAGTGTATTTTTTATGTTTTATCAATTGAACTAACGTTTTTAAATTAAATCTTTGATCCCATTAATTTAATGCGGATACCTTGTCATTCAGTGCAGATGCATTTGCAATAAACAATCGTTTATGATCAATCTTTAGGCTCAAATAAATAATACGCAGTACAAATCATTTTAAATGTGGTATTAAAGTAATATAACATACAAAATTACTTTGTAAACATTCAATAGGCAATTAATTTATTTACTGTACTTAATATATGAATCTTATTTTTAATTATGTCCTTGATCAATTTTTTATTTAACAATGACATAATTATTCGGCGCGTGAAAATTTACGTCAACTATACATTAGGAAAATTTCTATAAGTTTTTTTAACGTGCTGATCGTTGGAAAATTTGTTCGATCGATTGGATGCGATAAAGAGCCATAAATCGGCTCAAAGTACTCTTCGAAAATTAATTAAAACAAACGTCGGAACATTGAGTTATCAATATAAACAATATTCACTATCACTGCAATATTAAAATAGGAGCTTTGTATAGTCACTTGGATATTTAACCAACTTTAACCAGCCAGTAATTTTATACTACAAGCCTGTTGTTGGTAGGAGTGTACAACATGATCTTGGATAGCAAAATTTTACTGCTCCTCTTAGCCCTATAAGGAAGGACTATCGAAAAATATCGATAAATAATTTTATGAGTTATATTTTTTTGTTGGTACGCTACTGAGTCGCTGCTAGATTAGGTGGGAAGAAAACCTGCATCAATTTAATGAAAAACAAATTATTAATTGGCTTTAAAAATGTCTATAAAAACAAGTAGGGACCTATTTAAGACGATGCAAATGAATATTTATTTTTATTAATACCCGTCCAGAGGAACATTAGCTGAACAAAGATGAGCGTGTTTGTAGGGTTTGTCGTTTGGTGTTTAGCACTGCACGTAGCGCTGTCTCAAAAGGGTGACTCGAATTTGAATTTTGTAAGTTTTTTTTTATTTTTTCTAGCTCCAATAAAATTTTTATTTACATCGATCTTTCATTATAAGGTCTTTCCATTGATCTTCATCAGTATCATTGTTTATACTTCAATATTGAAGAGATGGGTGTTACCTAATTTTTATTACTGATATTTCAATTTGTGTATTCTGTGAACTTTTAATTAAAGGAGGTTCTAAATAATCCTAAAATAAATTGACTTTAGCTCTTTTTAACCGATGTGAGATCGTATTCAGGACAAGTCTTTAAATAAAGAGTCCCTAAATTTACGGTGGTTGCATGAACAAAGTAATACAATTTAAAGTGTTTTTAAATTTCAAAAAGGGACCCATAAATTCCAATTTACACGCTCCATTTTCTACAATCATCACGACTAATCTACAGGACTATCCAATTGTTTACACAGAAGACGGGATTTTGTTCTTTTCAGATAAAATCGGTATCCTCCAACAGGTATCCAGTGGAAAGCCACGAAGTCCACACCGAGGACGGATACATTTTGACCATATTCAGATTACCAAGCGGGAGAAACTCCACAGTGACGGGAACGAATCCTGTTCTACTCAATCACGGCATGTTAGGATCAGCGGAGAACTGGATAGCATTAGGGCCCAAGCGATCGTTGGGGTACATCCTGGCAGACGCCGGTTACGACGTCTGGATGATGAATTGCCGAGGCACCGGCTACTCCAGGAAGCACGAGAAATTAAACCCCGATGAGAGGGAGTTTTGGCAATTTAGGTAACTATAAAAGGATTTTTCAGAGAGTTAATGAGGAAACAGACGTCCAATTTTTGTACATACCTACTCGTTTTGAATTTTTAAGCTATTTTACTGATTCCTTAGAATCCCCAAATGTTTGAACTGGTGGTAATTCGTAATATATCCCTGTATTAATTATTCCATTACGATATTTCAGCTGGCACGAAATTGGTGTATTCGACATACCAGCAGTAATTGATCACATTCTGAGCCAAACCAATGAAACAATGCTCAACTACATAGGCCACTCGCAAGGTTGCACTTCCGTGTTCGTGATGGGATCAGATAGACCGGAGTACAACGATAAAATCCGGATCATGATCGGCCTGGCACCCGGAGTATTCTATAGACATTTCAAGAATGATATATTGAAGCTTGCGGCTAATTACAACAAAGTGCTAGAGGTTAAGCGCAAGCTCTTAGTTTAGAATTTGTTGAGATTAAAAATCGGTTTTACTTAGAATTTTGCGGATTCTATGAGAATTTACGAATTGCCACCGCCCTTTATGTCTGCAGATGAGCTTAGGAATGCTGTGAAATATCTTTGCGTCGATTCATCGCTGTTGCAGAATACGTGCTCAAAAGTATTCATGCTGCTCACCGAGTCGAAGCCATACCTCTATGATTCGGTAAGCTCAAATTTAAATTAAAGAAAAAACATTTGTTACAATTACCTATGTTATAATTTAATGGATGGAGGTGACAATTCAATAATTAATATAATCATTATAATTTGTCCTAATTATAAAGGATTTTTTTGCAGAATTCACTGAAACAAATTTACTCAATGATGATAACTTCAGTATCTGTGAAACAAGCGATTCATTATGCACAACTTGTAACTTCTGGTAAGAAAGATAAACTCTGGTTTATAATTGATAATACATACTACTATATTAAGTAGATATTCTATACATAATGATAGAAGCATGATAAAACTCGATATTAATGTAAAAAAAATACAAAAATTATTTACAGAAAGTGGAATGAACATTACATATGCTACACAAAGTAACGTCATATTTAAAGAAACATACACGTGTATGTTTCATTAAATAATAATTTCTCTAATATTATATTTAAGGTAATTTCCAGCAGTATGACTGGGGTCCCCAAAAGAATCTTCAAAAATACGGCACGGAATATCCACCTCTATACAATTTGAACAATATTACTTTTCCCGCTGCGCTTTTTTACAGTAAGAGGGATACATTGGTGAGCGAAGAAGTAAATTAACAAATTCTGAAATTTATATATTTTATGAATTTTAAAATTTTGTTTTCAGAACGTGAAACTATTGGCGACAAAATTGCCGAATTTGGTAGGTATACAGAACGTTCCTGAAGATTTTACGCATTATGATTTTATTCTTGCTAAATATTCAGACACAAAAATATTCAGGCCAATTATGAGATTATTAAATAGATTTAATAATAAACGAATGTCTTAACTATTATAGGTATTTCGTTATTTATCCGAACACAGAATTATCATCAAAATTATAACCTTTACCCAGTGTTGTTAAAAATACTTTTAATAATGTATCTGACATGTAGGTATTTAAATAATTGACTTGATAATGTATTTAAATACAAATACAAATACATTCATCATCATGAATTCAATGTTTAATGTATTTAACACCAGCGCACAATTTAAAATTATTTCCAAACACATATACAGAGTGCTCCATAAATTTAAGCCCAAGCAAACATACATGTTTTTAAAGGCAATGATATATTGTTTATTTCTCAATTTATTTTATTTCTCATTTATTTCTCACTATAAGGAAATTTTTGTTTTTAGTTAAATTTAAATTTAATTTTTAGTTAAAAGTAATTAAGTGCGTTCTTAACATTGCTTATAAGAAATGTTAAGAGGGGCTAAAGTAGAGAATAAGCATGAACATGAGACCATCATGAATAGAAAATAAAATTTCAAATATTAATCACCAATTAACTATCGAGATTTAAAAATTATTTAAACGATATTATTACCTTTTTTATTTTAAATATTTTCTCTGATATTCTATGCATAACTACGCTTATTAATTACCCGACCAGTTAATTACATGTATTCTTCGACTTTGAATCCAGCTCTGAATATTTATAATAGTGCACCAACGAAATTAATAATTAACGAATATACAGGGTGTCCGTTTAGTGAGCTAATAATTTCTAAACGCCTAATCATAAAAACAGGCGATTTTCGCAGATATTATTTTATTTTGCTATAACTTTTTATTACAGTGACACAAAAATTTTGTATCGCCTGTGGAAGGTTTTTTAGAAAAATCCCCTTTTAAATAGGACATATTCTTTTGTAGAATAACAAGTAGGTACAAATAATATATTTTTGAAAAGTAGCAGAGTATATCTTTCAAAATACCTCTATATATACAGGTTGTTCCATTTAAAAAAATTGGTTACTGTGAATTTGAAATCAAGAGGAGATTTTGATAAAGCACCCTGTATTGGTAATGCATAATTTCTGTATCACTGCAATAAAACTTATAATAAAATAAAACATATTTGAGAAAACAGCATGTTTTTATGATTATGCGTTTAAAAATTATAAGCTCATTAAAAGGGCTACTTTTCAATGGGACACCCTGTATTAGGTCACAATGCATTTTCCGCATATATTAAACAAACAAAACATTTATTTTACAATTAACGAATTCAATCTATAATATTTAATAATAAATTAGACAGATCGTCATTAATCATTTAAAATAAATGATTAATTCGGTAATATACGAGTACGTATCGGCAACATAGTTTCAATAACTAGAAGTAATGTGCTAATAATTTATCCATTAAAAATAAGTCCTCAGGAACAATTATAATTGAATGAAGACTCAATTATATCTATTTGTGTTTATTATTATTAAAAATATACTTCCTTCTTTAAAAGTAAATTGTATTTTGCTTCAAGTATACTATTCCCTCCGTATTCAGTCCCTACTAAATACAAAAGTGATGGAAAATTCAAAATCTAATCTAATCTCGTAGAATACTTCGATAAGTTGATAATTGTTACAAATAGTCTTTGTTAATCCCGATTACGAGTCATACAAAAATATGATTGCAATTTTAATTTCCTTCGCGATTTTTACTTCAGTATTTTCCGATGAAAATATTTTGTGTACAACCAAAAGTTGCAAGGTAGGTAACGAATTCCTTTCTTACTATAACATATTATTTTTTAAGCATACATGTGTTTCTTATGATAATTGTAGGACGTAGTTTGTCCAAAGTTGTCTGAAAAATGCAAAGCTCAAAACGCCACACACAATGGAGTATTTTTATTATCGCCAATCACTTGTAATTGCTGCGAATTCTGCTTGGATAATTTAAGTAAGTTGATATTATTCTCAATAGCTCAAAGGGAATTAAAATTATTTGAACAGATTTCAATTACCTTGGTTTACAGCAAAATGATGATTGAGTTTATGGTCGACTTAAAAGAGTAAAAGTGTTTTTTCAGACGAAGGAGAAGAGTGTTCAAAAGGTGATGTTACCGATCCTGTCCCAAAAGAAGTTTGTGGACCGGGACTGGTTTGCAAGACGAATAATAAAGATTCTACTGATGGAGTATGTGCAAAAAGTAAGTGAATTTTGAATACATTAAATCAGATGAATTATTGATATTTATGCTGTAATTATTTATGTTGTTAACAATAACTTTATCTAATGTTTAGAACATTAACTTTAGAAGGTTTGCACCATTTGTCATATGGATAGTATTGATTCCACAAGTGTCCTAAGAGGATCTAATTGGCACTCAAATATGTTTGTTTCTGAAAACACGACTTCAAAATCTATGGGAAGAGTACTGCTTATTATGTTGAATTAAAGAATGATTTGAACCTTTAGAAAATGGAGCCAAGGTGGTGTTTCGCCACTTTTTTCAATCCGAATATTTCCTCTTCTTAAATAGTCATCTTTTATAACTTGTTTTATGTTTCTTTCGTAGAATTTTGTAAACTCGCCTTACGTAAAATTAATAGAATGGTAATTTATGCAACGAAATCGACGAACTTTTCACAGACAGTTCACATTTATTTATTTCTGCACAATAACAAATATCCATAAAATAAACAACTTAATACAAAATACATAAATTCAACCTTATTCCTTAACGATAATATTCAAAACGTTAATAACGTAATATTTACCTACATATTCGAACCTCATTAGCATTATTTTCTTTATCAGTAATCCATAACACTTTTAACATTCATCAAATATTTTAGTGGAAACTGCTTGCACAAATCTCCAAAAATCGTATGACGAAAGAGGAATCAATGGCACTGCAGGAACGCTGGAGGTGAGACAGGATTGCACTAGTGAAGGAGAATTCGTTCCATATAAATGCATACCAGGTCAAACGTGAGTTTCGTTCAAACAAACCTATCTCTGAATACAAATCTTCTGCTTTCATCTCTTTAATTCTGAGCTAGTTGACTAGAAGCAAATGTAATCGAGATGAATAATTAAAACATATATCTGCTTTCAAGGTGCTATTGCGTAAACGCTACAGGACATCGCATCTTTGGGGAAATGGATTTCACTCCATTGGCCGATGACCTACTAAAATGCAGTATGTTCATGAAGTATTTTCACAATGAATTCATTATTATTGATTGGACTTATCAATCGCTTTTTCAATCGAATTTTGAAAGAAATGACACTAACTCATTTTCATCGATATAATACACGATCTCTATTTTCAGAATGTTCCAGGGATTACACAGGCATTGCCGTTGTTCTAGGCAGAAACGAGAATGCTACTTTAGAGCCTTTAGAGCATTTTCGTTGCACTGCGAACGGTGACTATGATTCTGTTCAATGCATCAATGATAAATGCTTCTGCGTTGATGAATACGACGGTGCCCCTACCTATCCCAACGATAAACTTGTTAATATCACAGACATATCGAAGTCAACATTAAAATGCTGTAAGTACCTAATTTAATTAGACTATAAATAAACCGAGGAAGCTATTAGAGAGCATAAGAACAATTTAGAATAGTGTATGAAAGTTCTGATTCTAATTCAATTATCATCAAATTGTAAAAATATTATGTATGTCGAGTCATGTACAATTATTAACATCAGAAAGGAAAGCGAACAATCGATTGATTTTTTTTGCCGTTTAATAAGTCAAGTTGAGCTTGATTCCATCGTTTCGAACAATAGCAGTTGTTACTTTCATTTATTACCAAATCCAGCAAGTTTTATAATCGAAATAAAATTAACGAACTCGCGGGATACATTCGGTCGCATTAATGAGTTTTTCAATGCGCACTTAAAGTAAATTGATTTCGTGAATATTAGGAAAATAATGTTATTATCTATATGTTAGGTAATGTTTAAAACTCATCTTCTTCTTCTTACTCGCTTCAAGTAATATGGCCCTTTTTAGCCTGTTACAGTACATCATTGCTTTCTTGGTCTTCCCAATCATTTCTCCCTAAAGGTTTTAAAAATTTATATTTGAAAATTAGAAATTAAAATCCTTTGAAAAATGTAACAATAAAAATTGTTACAAAGCTTCGACATACTGTATATTGAATTAAATATTTTTATTAAACACATTTTCAGATAAAAACAAGAAGGCCGGAGTGTTCTATAAGGATTGTGAAAATGAATACATCGATGTCCTCAAAATGTACAATAAATTTAAGAAAAACGATTACAAAAAACTATACGGTTTCAAATTTCCGAAATGCGACCTGGATGGAACTTACCAGGCTGTGCAAGAAAACAGCACACAGTACGTACCTATAGTTTTTCCAAAGTTAATTGAACATGGTACAAATCTGATTAAAATCAAAATTTCTTATAACATTTTTATAATCTATATTTTTTCATCTATAAATACATTCGTGTAATAAATAATCAACATAAAAGAGAGCTTAGGTATATGTAGCACGTTCATCAGAAATACATCATATTAAATTGACTTTGGATAAAATTTACTCTCAAAATAATCTAAATTAAAGCTTATTGTACGTCTATTTTAATTTATAATACAGCAAGTATTGCGTTGATAAAGAAGGACATGTACTAACATCAGCAGTAGTTGATAAAGGAAAAGATTCAGATTTAGCAAAATCAATGGATTGCAGTAAGTTGTATTAACCACGTAATACTTGGAAAGGTGTTTGTTTGTCTATTTGCCATTTTTTCAGAATGCGCTAGGGCTAGGCTGATAATCACCGGAGAAGACAAGCCGGAATGTATGGAAAACGGAAACTACGCTCAGGTTCAGTGCAGAAAGGGCCGTTGCAGATGCGTGGACAGTGATGGTAATCAAGTCTGCGATGATGTTAATTGCGAAGTTGATGAGAAAAACAGCCCGCCAACGTGCCCAGATCCTGATAGTTCATCTTGATATTTTTCAATAGAATATAGTACTAATAATTTTTAATAGAGATATTATTAACTTGAATATAAAACTTTAAAATGAATAAATTTTTTTTAAATTTCAGTATTTGAATGAACGCAAGAAGGAAAAGAAATCGAACTGAATAAGCGGACACATTAAGAAAAATTAAGGTCTTCTTTAATAGGCGAAAATCAAGTTTCTCTGTTAGCAATAATAGAAAACTCAAGGTGTTCTTTATGGGATACGATCGCTAAAATGATTTGGCAATAAAAGTAATGCTGTGAGTGAACATTTGTATATTCTTGTTTATTTGCTATAACAAAGCACCCGGTTACGTAAACCGTTAGTTCTGATTCGATGAATCGTTTGACAACTCTACTACAAGTACAAGTGATGGAGGTAAAGACAAATAATGCTCGACTAATTATTTATTACAATACCTGCTTACAGGATGTTGCGATCGGAAGTGTTACTTTCGATTAATAAACATTAAAATTGATCTATAACATACGTAAAGAGGACATTATTTTTATTTAAAATACAACCCTTATCGATAATATACAAGGTATATATTATATAAAGCATTAGTTTTTATCAAAACTCGATATATTCGTTATTGCAAAAAATACTTTAAGTAATTATTTGCAAAAAGGGTTAAGAGTCTTTGAGTAGTAAGTTACTAATATATAGAGTGTCCCGCATAAGAACCGACACAGAGCAGTGGCGTGTAGAGGAGCCCAAAATATGTATGTTGTTTAACCCAACTTAACTTAATACAATTTTATTGTTACCTTCCTATGAAGTTACAAACCTTCATAGAATATAAATGGACCACACTATATATTTTTTTAAATACTCTTGATTGGTTGAATCAAAAAAAAAACATAAATTGATGGGAAAGATTATACATACTGTCATTAAAGGGTGCCTTTCAAAAATACTTCCTTTCCAAGTTGTAAGCCTTTACTGTTGGCACACGGTTTTACAACAGACTTCTGTGACGAAAATATAGATCAATGATCATCAAGGATTGATGTTGCAACCTTTTTGCGACCCCTGTATATCACTAATTAACTCATAAAAATAGTTCACAGCAAAATGAAGTTAGGTATTTATGAAGAATGTTGCAATTATGTTCGCTCGTAATTTACCCCAAATTTGGAGATTATTTGATCTAATTGAACAAAAAATAAGACTTTCATATAGTACCTGAGAAAAATCTAAGTCGTAATCGATACGACTGTGGCCTTACCTCGAGACGGTAAACTCGTTAAGATATTGCATAAACCCATCGGGTCGGGCACGCCGTTTTACATTTACACCTACCGGTCGGCCGAAAATTACGCAAAAACGGCCTCATCGCCCCCCCTAGCCCCACCATGCGATCGCTGTGGTTTTTTTATAAAATTCCTTTCGATGCGAATCGTATGATTAGTGCGATGCAGGTGATTCCATAATTTGATTTGCAGATTTCTTGGATTTTTTATTTGTTTTTTTGAGCACGCGTGCGATATTTTGGCGCGTCGATTCGAATGATGTGAGTGAATTTTGGACTTATTGTGAAGTTGAATATTTTCGTTGCAAAGAGATTTTTTTGCAGTATCCGAAAGGTAGGTGTAAAATATCTACAAATTTGATAGTGATATTGTCACTAACTTGTCTTGTTGAATAAAATTACTATACATATTAATTTAGAAGGTTTTTTTTGGATGGCTTTTGATAGTTTGATTTTTTTATTTAATGAAAATGTCAGAAAAATGTTTCTTATTTTTTTTAAACTTGGATAAATTATTCAACTACTCATTTATAAAAACATTATTTATAGAAATTAGTTCATTTATTTCAACAGATTTTACATGATTTTGGATACTGTTTTATTAGTATCTAAGGAGTTATTGGCATTGATTTTCGTTAATTTTTATCAAGGTTAATTTTTTATTTATTCAACAAAAAAAAACCAAATGCAACCTAAATCCAATTGTAACAAAATAAATCTGATCTTTCCTACAGAGATGTTCATCAGTGTATGATCGTAGATCTGGATAATATCTGGATAATTTTATGTCGGTTGCTTTGTCTTCTGTTTTGTCTGTTTTTATGTCTGTTTTGTATGTTATTTTGTCTGTTGCTTTGAATGAAACATTTAATTTATGATTGCAAGATTTTTTTTTTATTATTATCATTGATTTTCATATCTAGTTTATTTTTGTGATTACATTTTTTACAACATTTTGGATGATTTTTATGGATTGTTCCCTAAATTTTAATGATGTTTCGAATAAGAATCTACCTGCTAATTACACAAAATTAACCATAATAAAACCACTAAAACGAATTAACATTGAATTGAAAATTCAGCTCCTATTCGAATGCCTCCGATCGGTAAAACGTCCGCACGAACTAAAAAAAAAGTGGAGTAAAATTATTCTAATTTCACTGACGTAGCCCGTCCGCTATCTCTTCGTCGAACTTGAAAAACTTTCACTGTGGACGCGATTCGAACGCAGAATAAAATTTTTACTATTCCTATCAGTTTTCGTAAAATCTTCACGAATTAAAAACGCGAATCGATCGGATAGAAATCATCTATCGAAGATAATAATCAATAAACGACACGATAGATGCAACCTAGACCCATTTAAAGTTTTAACAAGACATCTGCCGCGTTCTAAAGACGATACTAATACTGTTAATGTTAATAAGTACCGTGCTGTGATGATATGATGACCCGTTTGTGCTTCAGGTGTGATGTTTTGTACAATGAAATATAAAACATAAAATTGATGGATACTAAAATACTGTTACTTATAAGTGAATACTATAGTAAGTTTCGTTTGTAAATATTGTATATTTTGCTACATAATTAAATCTTTCATCAACTTTTTTACTTATATAGACAGGTTTTAAATTAACTATACTTTATAGATTGAAACTATAATTAAAATTTTAATTGTAAGAGGAATTTTTTAAGTGATATAATTTTCTTGATGATAACTTGAATTAAATTACCGCGTTTTTATTGAATTTGTATTAAAAATATAATCAAGTTAAACTATACCAGATGTCCTACAAGGATAGTATAGAATGTCCATAAGTAGGAAATGAATTCTCATTACAAAATACCCCCTTTGCATGTGGAAAATTGGTTATTATAGGCAAATAAACTATTTTGTGCAATGAAAGGTATACGAAATATCAGTGTTAATAAATGTAATATAATGCATAGGTATAATGTGGGTAAATCACATAGAATTTTATTCTCTTGCGATTAAATATTCGGATTGTGCCCAATTTTTTTTAGCCTCATTATTAGGACAAATGGCAGGAGTGAAAGTATCTAAAATAAACAAAATGAACGCCGATTGATAATTTAATAACCTATAGTGAAAAAAATGAGCAGTGGATTTTGAATTTTATGCTTATCCAAGGTCAAAAAATAAATATTTTAATATAAGGAAAAAATAATAGAAATTCATGCATAATGTGTTTTTTTAAATTTCCTTCATTCAAATATTCTTATACTTTAATAGTAATTTAATGGTGATTTAAAGATGATTCAAGTGCATTTTTAACTATAGCAAAAAATGTAGTACGACAAAAAATATTTTAAAAACAATCAGTATTTTATGTAAACTATTTTCAATGATTTTAAACAATACTGTATTTTTTCAATAATAAAAGTTTCCTGTATGGTTCTTAACAATGTTGAAAGCTCTAAGGATATATGATATGACATTAGACTTCATGATCCTACTGATAGATCATCTAGTTTTATTAAAAAATATTTCTTCTGTTACCTTCTTCAAAATAATTAGTTGTTTGATAATAAAGTAATAAAATAAAATACAATGCATTTATGCTCCACTCCAAACAGACAATCGCCTATTAGAAACTAGAATTGCACGCGAAGATATACCTAATTAATTCACGCCTGTTTAACAGGCAAATTGTACAAAAGTGCGTGTTAAATAAATTTGAGTGTGCATGCAGATACTTCTCAATTGCACAAATCCACTTGTGTACAAACAGAATTAGCGCTAATAGAGGTAGTATTGACAATATTTGTGTCAGGGTTACGCTAAATTGACCTCTATAGTTCTAAGAGCATGATCAAAAATTCAGCAAATTTCTTCATTTCCGTTGTTAAAATGTACTCAAGTGTTTCGTTCAAGGTTGAGGGTAATGGTTTTTTAGTTATTACGTCTAAAATTGGAGCAATTTAAAAGTTACTGCAATTAAGTAACTTTTGTCATTTGTGAAGGTATTTATTCAGAATCAGAATTTTACAATAGGTAGCATTAATAGCCATAAATGGAAAAAATATTAAACGAAAAATAGGTTTAACAGGAAGGAAAATGAGAAAATTCGAACTACCCCTACCCTACTCAAATTATCCTGTATACCTGAAGTACCCAAATCAAACTATTTTTTTTTCAGATTACGTTAGTCAAAATGTCCAGACAATTTCCCAGAAAGTTCTTCTCTTGGAGAACACTGCGCCATTCCAGAACGTACTCCACCGATCGTCCTTACTCCACAGCATTGGGCGTGCTGCAGGACGTGGAGGACAAAAATGATTACGATTACAAACTAGAAGACGTAGACATCGATCCCAAGGACTACAAGGACATCCCCGGTCCCAAAGAGTTGCCTTTCATTGGAAATTCCTGGAGATTCGCCCCGCTTATTGGTATTTACATTTATTCCACTAGCAACATTGTAGTTTAAATCTAGGCCATGCAGAGAGTTCGAGTTTTCACAATTGATAATTTATAGATATAATTTTTTACAGGTCATTACAAAATTCACGAATTGGACAAAGTTATGTGGTCTTTGTACAAGCAATACGGTAGGATAGTAAAAGTGAGCGGTCTGATAGGTCACCCGGATTTGCTGTTCATATTCGACGCCGATGGCATTAAAAAGGTATTTAAAAACGAGGAAATCATGCCGCACAGACCGTCGATGCCGTCTCTACATTACTACAAACAGCAATTGCAGAAGGATTTTTTCCAAGGAAACGAAGGCGTCATTGGAGTGTAAGTAAAATGTACCAATAATTGCATTTTCTAAAAAAAGGATTAACTTGTCTTATTCGATAGCACAAGTGTTAAGAATATCATCTTGATAAACCTTGTAAAATCTTGAAAAAATTTTATTCATAGATCTTTGCTAATAATCAGGAATAAATTATGAACAATGAAGAGAAAAATCATCATAGATAAGAAAAAATATTGAACAATCGTAAAAAAATAATATCTAGGTACATTAATTGGTCATGTAAAAACTCGCAAAAAATCATCCAAAAATAGTGAATAATTATGAAAAACAACAACATTTCTAAAAATAATTTAAACATAATAATTTTTACACTTCCAGGAAGATTCAAAAATTGTCTCGTTTGATCGACTTTAACCAACATAATTTTCATAAGAATAGCCTACCTATAATAGTGTTGATAAACCAGAGGCTTACAGAATTTTGCAGTTCTTGGTTCAAATTTATGGCTGAATTCTGAGAGCATCTGTAAGACCTATAAGCCGAAATCTATAAGAGACAGTAAATGCGATTCTAACCTTATCTGTAGATTATAAGTATAACAGATTTCTTACAGATTTCGGCTTGTAGGTCTTACATATGCTCTCAGAATTTAGTCATAAATTAGATTAAAAGCTATGAATCAGTTACATATTGAAACTGAAAAAGAGAATACATTTTCAGGCATGGCCCAAAGTGGGAGGCTTTCCGAAAGCAAGTCCAGCAATTCCTGCTGCCTCCTATAACAGCCAAAAAATACATCGAGCCTTTGGATGGGATATCGATGGATTTCTTGAACAGGTAATTATAATGTAGGCCATATTTTATTTCAAAACAGTTTCTGCATCTTTAAAAGCATTTCGATTGATGTCGAAAGATTTTATGCGGAAGAGGACATATTCTTAATATAATCGATCGTTCTCGATCAACGAACAATTACTATTACAATTAAAATTGAAAAATCGTTGCAAAACGGAATGTTTTATTTTTTATGTAATAGGTAGGTATTAGTTTCGTAATGGTTGATTATTTCTCATGTTATTGATAGTTAAGTAAGACGAATAGGTAGGTTATTTCTCAAAGACCTCTTTATTCTACTTAGATATAGTTTCTAAATTGTGACTATAGAAATTTTGTTTTATAGTGATTGTTTTTCAGAATCAATTTTGAAAATCAACTTTCCACATAAAAAATGCTTGTGAAAAACAATCTAAAATTATGTAAAATCAAACAAAAAAAATTTGAATTGAAAAAATACATTTGTTTTTTAACACATAGATGTAATGGCAATGGCACCAAATCGCAGCAAAACAAAGTGCATTAGAGTAATCGATTCAATACTTTACAACTATAAAATTTATTAAGTTTATTAAAACACACCTTCCGTTGAACTTCACCTACTTATTGTCTGAAACCTATTAGATAATAAACCTCAAAACATTTAAGAAACAAATCCAACTGTTCAAATTACGTAATATCGAGACTGATATATCGAAGACTATGTAAACTCGGCGATATATACAAATATTTTTATTCTCAATCTAGGCTTCTTATATAACGAGCTGCATGCTTGCTTGTAATCGGTTTCACCTACTTTTCTGCCTTTAATTTTTATATTTATTGAACCCGTTTCAGCGCAAACGAAAGTAAAAATGCCATTTTATCCGTCAGAAATGGCCGTATTTGATTCGCGAAGGGGAAAATTTATAAATACCTATCTCGAGTTATTTGATACGTAAACTTGGTTGAAGAAATCGTGTGACATTACACTTGTATCATAACTTGTCTTTAATGTAGGTATCTACGTAAATAGATAAATTTATTCACGCTTCTGTTGAGGTAAGCTGAGCCCCAAGTTACAGGAAAAATTCATGCAATTTAAATTTTATTGCCCCAGAGTGTGGATCAATAAAATGTGTTGAAGAGATCCCATAGTAAAGGAATAATTATTGTGTATAATATTATAGAATGGTACGTTACCTTCAATATCTTATAAGAAAGCAAAATCAAACGGCAAAAAATTTATAACAATAAGAATGGAAAATTGAAAATGCTAACTTGTTGGTAATGTTATTTATAGAAAGTAATAGAGTACAATAAGGCTAATTTGAAATATCAGGTAAACAAACGTTTCGCTCGTTCGCAATTTTATCATAATGTATCTAATAGGACTAAAAAATCTCAATGAAATTTATTAAACGTGTCAATAACTTTCATCAATTTGTATGTATGAGATATTACGCTAACGATAGATTCTCGATTTTTATCTAAATAAACCGAAGAGAGTAAATTGTGCTAATCTTGAATAGGTTTGCAATAGATATTTTGTTTACCCTTTAATTAGCGTCCATATTTTTTGTAGAATGGAAGATATGCTGGACGAAAATCGGGAGCTACCAGACAATTTTCTATCGGAAATTTATAAATGGGCATTGGAATGTAAGGTTTATATTTTTTTATTAATTTTCTAATCATTTTCCCATGAATAAATTATAGCAATACTTCACCACTCTAATTCATATAATAACTAGGTAAACAAAGTAATGCTCTGATATATGCCAAAGCAGTCCCTGGAGGGACACACCCTTTACAATAGAATCAAGACAAGAAACTTTCAGATAATTAGAGTACCCAATAATTTGAATAATTTTTAAGCGGTGGCCAGAGTGTCGTTGAACAAGAGATTAGGCTGTTTGGAACCGAATTTACCGGTCGATTCGGAATCGCAGAAGATCATAAATTCCATCAACACGTTCTTCTGGAACGTGGCAGAAGTAGAATTGAAATTTCCCGTTTGGAGGTTCTATAAAAACAAGGCTTTCAGGAAATATATCGGCGCCTTGGAAAATTTCAGAACGTGAGTATTGTTGTAAAACATGGGAATTTTAATACTCACTAATTGATTAAAATTATAGTTTGTGTCTGAAATACATCACGCAATGTATAGAGGAAATGAAGAGCAAGTCTTACGAACACATGAGAGATCAGGACATTTCAATTTTGGAGCAAATCCTTATGAAAACCGGCAACACCAAACTGGCTGCCGTATTGGCTCTGGATCTCTTCCTTGTCGGAGTGGACACAGTAAGATTTGCTAAATTTTTCTTTTTCTTTTTATCTTACATTTTTTTTTTGTTAAGACTTCTATTGCAGCGGCTTCGACGATGTACCAGTTGTCACAAAACCCGGAGAAACAACAGAAGTTGTACCAAGAACTGCTTAACATTATGCCTAGTCAAAATTCTCAAGTAGATTTAGCGGCTCAAGAAAAAATGCCTTATCTTAGGGCATGCATAAAAGAAACATTAAGGTTTGTTTAAGCATGTAACATGAGAAGAATATTTATTATATCCTAATTTGTAATATGCAGAATGTATCCTGTGATAATCGCCAATGGAAGAAGCCTTCAAACTGACACAATACTCGAAGGATATAAAGTGCCTAAAGGGGTATGAAATAGTTGGTAATAATTCGAGCCTAGAAAATATGCAAAATGCATGTAAGTGCATGTTCCCAAATATTCACATTTTGCAATTCTCCCCGGAAAAGTTATACCCCTCCAAAGATTAAAAAAATGGTTTTTCTTCTTTATTTTCCCTGCATAAGCTAAAGACACGAAACTTGGGAAAGTTAATGAAACTATACATTATAAAAATTTTTCAACCTTAAAGTATACTTAGGAAGGGTTGAAATAATCAATCCCTAAGACATTTTTTCTTACAACTTTTTAAATGAAAATTTTTTCAATCAAAAATAAAAATTGGTTGTTTTTTTTTTTAATTAAATTGGTTTAAATCGGTTAAATTGGTTGTCAAAAAAATTTATACCACTTTAATTTTCATCGCAGAATCGCCCCTAAATTTTTTCTGTGTTATTTAGATACACCCTGTATAAGAGCATAATTTGAAGGTGCATATTTGCATGCATATTTTACCATTTTTTAGTGCATATTTTCCAAGCTCTAGTGATAATTAGCTCCATTAAACATCTAAATTGGTCATTTTGATTTAAGACTCACGTGATATTTCCACATTTGGTGGTAAGCAATATAGAAGAATACGTTGAAGATCCCGGTAAGTTCGTCCCGGAAAGGTGGCTGCATTCCAATCATTCCGAGTGTCCGGTGAAACAAGAGAAAATCCATCCCTTTATAGCTTTGCCATTCGGTTACGGTAGGAGGTCGTGCTTGGGAAGGAGATTTGCCGAGGTGGAGCTCAACATACTGTTAGCTAAAGTACGGTTCAATTTCCAATTTTTTTTCAATCGTTTAATTTCAATGGGTTAATTTCTATTTCAGGTTTTTAGAAGATACCAAGTTGAATACAATTACGGGCCTTTGACGTATAAAATTACACCCACTTATGTTCCCGAGCAGCCTTTGAAATTCAAACTCACAAAGAGAGAAATATAAAAGCACTGTAGTAGAAGTAACAAAAACAGTATAAATTCTAATCGTAATTATTCGTTAAAACGTTTATGTGTTCAAATTGTACCCTACCTTACCCATCACACTGACAAATAATTTTTTAGTGTAATTCCTACATTTTAACATACGTATAAATAAAAATGGTAATAAAATTTCAAGATATTACTGTTATATTTTTATGTCTCAAAAAGTGAAAAAGGTTGGGGACCAATTTAAAAATCTTTAAAAAATAAGTATAGTAAATAACTCTTATTTTGCTAAAAAACTTTTTCAAAGACGTTTAATCAGAATTGTGAAAAAACAATAAAAAAGGGGGCAACGACACGCGGTATTCCCAAGCGGTCACCCATCCAAGTACTAACCGCGCCCAATAATGCTTAGCTGCAGTGATCGGACGAGAACTGGCGTATTCATTGTGGTATGGCCGTTGCCTGCACAATATGTAACAATCGGAGTATAAAAAGTGATTAAAAAAGAAGACTTAATAGTTTGACAAATGACAAACGTCACTAAACCGTAAACAAACTTTCACAACAAAATCAACAATACAAAAAATCTAATTTTAATATGGACGAAGAAACCCCAGAAAGTGATTTTAGCATAGAATGCTTTCAAAACTACACCGCCCCCGAAGTTTTCATTCAGGGCCTCGCTGGAATAGTAGATCAGCAAGACGTCGAGCTAATGATTAGGGCTCAAAAACAGATGTAAGAAACCCATTTTGCCCTTTAAACATTACTAAACGAAAACGTTGTTGGTTTAAGGTTGCAACGATTTGAGAAAACTAACGAAATGCTCACTAACTGCAACGCTCTGAGCGCCTCTAGACTGAAATCGGTGGGGCCCGAATTCAAGAAACATGTTCAACTTTTATTGGAAACTAGGAAAGATTTAGAGTATGTTTTCAAGAAAATTCGGGTAATCAAAACGAAACTATCAGCGCAGTATCCAGATGCTTTTGCAGAAGCTGTTAGAAGCAGTTTTGCTGAAGAATGCGAAGAAGAGGAGAATTCGGAGAAGAGCAAGACCAAAAACGAGGAAAACAGAAGGAGCTTGCACATAAAACGCGATGAAACGGATAATAGTGATACCAATAGAAGAGCTTCAAAGTAAATGTATTATCTCGACAAAATGTATAATCCAAAAAGAGCGAAATATTGATTGTTATGATTTATTTAATGTATCATTTTTTTATTTAATAGTGAAATATGTAAGTTAAACATTAATTATTTTTCCTAAACTATTCAGCGAGTGTAAATTCATAAGGAAAGGAAGATGTTTTTATTTTGTCTATGTGTAAATTTATCAAGTTTCTGAGCCAATTTTCTCATAATGATCTCTTACAATTGTAGTAATCAGCTACTTTAAAATATTCAAAACTAATTGACATTTTTATTTTGTAGTGGTCACTATGACTAATTAGTATTGACATTTGGCGCTTGACGTGACGTTTGTTTTGGAACCGGCAAAGCAATAAAGCATATAACAGGAACAGGTGCTAATTTTACAGTTTCTTTGCCAAATTTTTCTTTTGTCCTCCGTTAAATCACACGTTTGTTGAATAATGGCCGATTTGGATGATTTCTTTGCCAAAAAGGATCGCAAAAAATCAAAATCCACGAAAAAATACACCACTACTGAGGAGATCGCCAAAAAATTAGAAGACACCGCAAAGAAGACTGAAAAACTGAAGAAAGAGCGTTTCAACGATGGCGAAGTTAATGCAAATAATGAACAGGTAAGTGTTATTAAACTCTAAAATTCATTCATAGACTTATTACTTTCATTTAGTAGCCATATGGAATATGCATTTGAAAAGTATTGTATATCTACAACAGCCTTTATCTTTAAATTTAACATACTTATCATTTTGTATTAGTAATTAGAAAAAAATAGCTTGCCATATATTTAATGTTTGTTTCATAACATGGGCTCAAGACGAATGGAGAGATTTTGAGGAAGAAAAGAAAGACTACAGCGGTTTGAAAATAGGAAATTTGACTGTAACAGCCAACTCCGAAAATACCACAAACGCTTCGAGCAAAGAAAACACTCATGATCAAGATGAAGAAGAAGAAGAGTCTGGACAGGAGACCGAGACAAAAGCCCCAGGACCTTGGAAGAGCATCAATGTGACCTCTGAAGCGGTTGTAGATGTACCAGTAGAGACTGTGGAAGAAGCAGTACCTGATCATGCGAACGTGAAATCGGGAAGGTACTTGCCTCCTAGTATGCGGTTCGCTGGCCAGGCTCCAGCTCAAAGTAGAAGTACCAACCGTTCTAAGGCTGCACCTGACATACACAATGAGGAATATTTTCCAACTTTATCAAAAAACGAACCGAGAAAGTAAGTTCATTATAGTATTAATTTGTAGCTGTTATGGATGAGTTTTCAATCTTTTCTAGTGTTTATGTGGAGTTTTGTATCAAATTTTTTCACTGGCTATTTTGTGTATTTTGTGTACTGATCATATGCTAATTGTAAACAAACAATCATACACTTGTATATTTTCAGAGGTCGAAGTGAAGGACATTTTGAATTAGTTCAATCTAATAGATCAACTTCTCATCGGCAAGCCGAGCAAAATAAGATAAGTACAAACCAAGGGCCCAAACTAAGCTTAGGCAACAGATACAATGGTCTGAGTAACGATAGCTGGTGATTATTTTTTTAACTACAGTCGATTTCTAAGGCGTCAACAATAGTAGCTGGTGATATGTAAAATTGATGTTTGTTTTCTCGTAAATGTTGTGGCTAAGTGTTATTTTTTCAGTACCAAGTACATGTAATGTTATTTGATGAGGTAACAAACAGGTTTAATATCTTATAGAACCTTAAAAGTTGCCGAGAATTCAAATACATTCCTTCGTACATTTTTTATTAGCTATTTTTAATCAATCATTCAAATTTCATAATGTGGATTAACTTAATTGTCAGCGAAAAAAGCACAAGAAATCATTCGTCTATTTTCATTACTATATCAAAACACGTTATATCAAATGGTACATAAAAAATAAATTGGTATATTAAAAATATATGAAACTATCTTTATTGCCCGTTTAATTCATCAATTGTGGATTCGTCGCTAAAACGAAAGTTCCTAACGTAAGACCTCTCTATAATCTAAACTCCCGTCTCTTAAATACCTTTCCACGTATTTTTTCCCATGTGAGCCTGTACTGCTGTAACATTCGTAGAAGGGTTCTTCCAATAACTTAGGATTGAAATTTTTTATTACGTAAATCCAAACCTCTTCTGTACGCGCACTGTCTAATAACGAAACATTGAATTTTTCTCTAACATAAAATGTTGGATGGTCTTCTAAAATATCTAAATCTGCAAATACTTTGTCATCTACCTCGTACACTTCACCCACTATATTCGTTCCATTTCCTACAAGAAAATGAGATTAACAGTGGTTGTGTTAGCGTATTTTACGAATTACCTGGACTTTTTAAAATAAATGGCACGTTGTATTTTGTTGCTATAATTAGTGGAAATTTTTCAACGGTTTTGCCTTGGCCGATGAACTTGTGGTAACCGTTACTTTTGGTAAACCATAAGTGATTAGGTTCTCCTGTTTTTAAAGTACCGTACACGAACACTTTATGTAGCCCTGAGCTGGTACTTGTTGCCATACTGTAAAATTGAATGAGAACAATCGTACCAAAAAAGGAATTATGAAGCATTGGATACGTTGGCCAAGTGACCCTAAAATGCGATATAAATATATGTTAATAAAAAATCATTCGATACTCAATTACTGGTTTAAAGTGCAAAATTTGGTAATTAGAATAAAATTGATAAAAAAAATTAATTGAGTAATAAATATTTGAAAAGAGGAAATGAGGTTTTGTAATTATCCCATCAACCATCAAGGTAATTGTCATAAAAATAGAAGAAGATAATTCAATACCTTAGAGAATTGATTGTCTCTAATAGTAGAGGCCTCATTTGAACTATAAAGATCAAACTTCATGTATATATACAGGGTGTCTCGTCTCAAAATAGAATAAAAATTTTGCGTTATGACTAAAGATGGTAATCTACTTATGTAACTCTTAGAGCGTTTTCACACGGTGCAATATTATTGCAGCAATAAATTGTTTGTAGTAATTAAACATAGCAGTTAAAATATAAACGATCAAATGCGTAGTTTTCTCCCGATAATTTATTCATAATACATAAATCACGCAATACGATATTTAATAACGCTTGTATAAAAACGGCAATGCAATATTATATAGAATATTGCTGCAATATATTGCACCGCGTGAAAACGCTCTAATGGATTCCAAAAGAACTTTTGGCGAGTGAATTGTAATAAATTGAAATGGCGATTTTTTTCTATAACAAAAAAAAATAATGAGTAATTTACTTTATTGGTTTCAGCTTCTAAAAAAGTACAAAAATTACGAAAAACCGCATACCAATTAGAGAAAAAAAAAAGTAATTTTGAATTTGAGATTACAGTGTAACGCTAAAACATGATTCAATAATTTCTAAATACAATTGAAGGAATATATAAAAAATGAGCTTTCTAAAGTTTTATATGCAGTTTCTAAATTGGTGTAAAACAATAAATTTAAAGCGGTCGAAATTTTAAAATACATTTATACATATAAACAAATCCTTGGTTTTATTTGCCTTTATAAGACACATTTCTACTTAGAAAAACTGACTTCAACCGCCATTTAAATTTTTGTTCTACTATAACACAATTATATACAGTTGTAGAACATCATAATTTTAAATTTCAAGATAACATTTTCTGTATGACGAATTTACAAATGAAATCGATTAAAAAGCAAACTTTGGCCTAGACAAAACCAGTTTGTCATCGGCTCTAGCCGTTAGAGATTGATACATAAGAGATACAATTATTATAATTCCATCAAGATTATTCAATTTACAAAAAATGCCTACCTTCTGAAATCAGTCTCTTTCCAACAGACAACTGACTTCTACATAAACAACTTTAATCAAAGACATCAGCTTGCAGAATATAAGAAATTTCTTATATTTTCGCAAAATATTTAGATAAATTATTGTTCCGTAAAATACGATATCTATTTACAATATTATTTATAATAGTGCAAAATTAGAAACGCGTTCCCAAAATGCGGAAATATGATTTACTAGTACATCAGTTAACACACATAAATGCCACCGCAATGGAATGTAAATACGTATTTGAAAGTAAATATAACTGATTAAATTGAAATAAACGTTCATTTTAATTTGTCCATTAGCCTTTTCAATACTGTAACATTTTATTCATTTTAAATAAACGCTTATTCCAAATTAACCTGCAAATTACTCGACAAATAACGACTCGATTGATATGATCAAAGGATATTTTCTTAAAATTAACTGGCTCTAAATACCTAAGTAAATCCAGCAGTCTCAAAAAGAAAAATTAAATCAATAACCAGCACATGTTTGTAAATGCAGGTGCTTCAAAAAAAGAGTAAAATTTCACGAAAAAGACAAAAAATATATGTAACAAATTAAATATAGTAGCTTAATGGAATGAATAATTTAAAACCACAGCCTAGAAGACGTACCTATTGAAGACTTTATAAAATTAACAATATTCCACAACCTTTAAAATAACGCGCTCAGGTTAACATTTATAGCTCGGTTTTCTTCATCGATTCTTTTGCTTTTTTAGGCGGGGCAGTAGTAGTTGACTTAGGAGGAGGAGTAGTAGTTGACTTAGCAGGAGGTGAGGTAGACGATTTGGCTGATGGAGTAGTCGCTTTAGGAGTAGCCGTAGTTGGTTTAGTGGAAGGCGGCGTTTGAGTTTGCTGCTTGGGGGGAGCAGTGGTTGGTTTTTGACTCGGTTTCGTAGGAGGTACAGTCGGCTTGGGGGCCTGCGTAGTTTTCGGAGCTGCCGTCGTTTGCGGCTTAGGGGTTGTTTTAGGAGGCGGAGGAGTAGTGGTGGGTTTTGAAGGAGGCGGAGTCGTGGTGGTTGGTTTAGTTTCAGTTTTATAGGCCTGTTTCGCTTCGGCCTTCGGCTCCGGTACGGATCGTTTAACTTTAGATTCACTCCAGCCTAATTTGCTTAACGGAATCCTCCCGATGTAGTCGTTATGGGGCGATCCCAGGTACATTTGATTTTTGAATATGAAAGCATCCGAATAGCCTCGGAACTGTTTGTCTGTTGTTGAAAATGTTTCGATGACATCTCCGGCTTTATTCACATGCACTATCATTTGGAAAGGACTTGATTTGCCTAAAAATGACACGGAACGGTAGTGCCCAATCTAAAAAAACAAATGCGATAAACCCGGTTATATTTCCAAATGTGTAAATAACAGGTAAACTTACAAAATGAACTGCACTTTTGGCATAATCCGTCGGGTAATATTTATCTACAGTTTCTATAGCCAATTCGCCGAGACCCATCAATCTGGCAATAAACTTCCTAGCAGTGGGAAATTCCAATAGAACATGCACGAAGCTTGGGTGATCATCAGTAACGGTTTCGACTAATGGCAAAATAAATCCATCACCACCGTCTGACTGAATATTATCGACCAAACCAGGTAAACCTTCGATGAAAATATCATGTGTTCCTTTTTTGGGCCCTTTCAAATAATATCTATGAACTCTGTTGTACATTGTTTCACCAACCAAAACAAAATCTTCATCTTGTGAGAGTTTAACTCCATTGGCAAATCGTAAGTTGTCAATTAACACTTCGTTTTTCTTTGTGTTGGCGTTATAACGGATCAATCTGGAAATAATGTAAAAATAAAAGGATTTATCGATTAAAAATGTGATATTTACTAACCTCCCAGAGGCATCAGCTAAACTGTCGAATGTTAAATCATTTAAATGGAATTGGCTAGAGGAGTCACTCCAAAATATGTCTCCATTACTGGCTAGATCCAAACTGTTGAAGAGCATAGGTTTCGCTCCTCCTATTTCTTCATTAGGCGACACAATAGTTATTTTTTCATCTATATAAAAAACATTACATTTATTACAAGGAATTAAATTTAGTATTTATGCAACTTACTCTTTTTTAAATCGAATCTCAAAATTCCGTAGTATGCATCAGCTACATACAAATAACCATTTTTATCAAACCTAATACCCAAAGGTCTTCCGCAAATGTGTTCATCATAAGAATTTTTACAGGATTTTCCAGTTTTGGCTACCATAACGAATTGCTCGTTTACTTGTTTAGCTACAACTCCTGGATATAAACTAGCATAAAGCTCTCCGTTATATTCAGCAAATGCCTCCGGCCCATTTACCTTCCCTTTTTGCCATTGTTCAATGCCTTTCAATTTTTCATTAATGGTAAATGGACCATCTAATGGTGTAATTTTAGGAATGCTATAAAAACAAAATGTATAAATTAATTAATAATAAAAAAATGCCATGATTTTTTTAGCTAATTTGAACTGTGATTTGTTTCAAGGTTATAAGTTTTATTTATTGTTTAATTATGTATTAACATTGTAATGATGTAAATATTTAAATAAGCATCAAACACCTAAGGTATTAAATTTTATAAGTTATGTAACTACTTCAAATCAAAAATTTGAAAAAAATATTTAAAAATAAAAATGTTTTTGACAAAATTTTGTTATCGAATGTTTATCAAATTTTATTGATAAAATTTATGCAAGTTATTTATTTTTAAAAGTATTTGATAAAATGTATCCATAGATACAATATAATTTAAACCACATAGTTTTAAAAGTAATACTGTAACAAACAATACTCTACTAATTTTCGTAAACAAAACAGTAATAAGTATTGTGTGATAGGAATGAAAGATAAAAAGTGTGTAAAGTATGAAATAAAATTTTCATACATATTTTTATCAGCTGCCGGCAAAATTCCTGTTGGGAGTCATATACAGTATGTACGAACTGATCCGCTGCAAGCATATAATGAGAATAATGAGATAGCTAATTTAACTTTTGCTATGTAAGGAATAAAGAGAACATACGAAATAGTCACGCCCGCTATCCGCGCTATTCGCTAGTGAACGAAGCGAAGCGAATTGACGAATTCTAATATCGGCCGGCAACGGATAAACAAGTTTCTGTTCTTTACTATCTTATAGTATTGATTGAGATTCTAATTCTAACGCTTGCAGCGGAAGAATTCGTACACTCTATATAATTTTTTGCCATTAGTCCATTAGTAAATATTTTTGCCACTTATAAGCGTCTGCCATAACATGAAAAAACCTTATTGAAGTAGAAAATAAAATGCGCTGGACTTACCTCACAGACTTGGATATTTTAGCGTAAGGTGGTAAATTGGGCACTAAAACTATAACTGCTACAGTTATAATTGTAAAAATAAATGAACGAAATAAACATCTGCATAATCCCATCTTTCCTAAAAACATAATACGGTTAAAATACGAATTTGGTCCTAACGAATGAACGTAGATGAATAACAAATATTCTAGTTTGATAATTAATATTATTATTAAGTTTTTTTACTCACAGTTATATCGTATGTTTATACAGGTTAAAATTGTATAAATACTTCAACACTGATAGTAGTGTTTTTTTATGTCTTGATAGCTAAACAATGAATCGATATATATATTACTAATTCTATTTTTATTATTAAATGGAAATTGTTAATCCTGTATGGCACTATCACGACACAAAATTGGTAAATGAAATTGGAATGGAATCGTAATGAATTAACAATTATGACAGTGACATTTCTAACATCATCATCAAGTCCAATGTCCAAACCAAACGGTCTGTTGTCAACCACGTCAACAGTTCCACTAAAAATTCCAAATATCCTTTTTCTTATCAATAAACCAGTCAATTTTGTTATAAAAAGAAGAAATTTAAATATTTCTCAAAATTCAGAATAAAAAATATTTATCTTTTGTAAATATTTACTGTTTGAAGTAGTTAAATAAATCACTAAATAATGAATTATAATTTCGTATAGTAAACTATTCAGTCAACTAATAAGATAATAAACTTTGAAGAAAATAATCAAAAATGTTAGATTGTTTTTCTATTAAATATCATATGTATATCTTACTAGCATAGTGAAAAGTGCGATAACTTTTTACCGGATATTAAAAAGCAGTACCTATATATTGATTATCATATTTACTTTAAAACCAATCTCAAAGTAATTCGTACTCAATTAATTTATTCTTAAAATGAAGAATACAATTTTAATATTAATTTTTGTTTCTATATTTTGTCTTCATGGCAATTGTTCAAGAATATTTGCAGTATTTATGTTTCCCTCTGTGTCTCACCAGGTAAACAATTTTTGTTTATTCATAATCATAATCATAATATTTTCTTATTTTTACCAGGTAATTTTCCAACCAATCTGGAAAGAATTATCCCTAAGAGGCCATCAAGTCACAGTAGTTACTCCAAATCCACTGAAAGATCAATCTTTAACAAATCTCACCGAAATCGATATATCTTTTACTTACAAACTCCCAGAGATCGTAGGCGTTTTGAACAGCGTTGGACAGAAACCGACCCTTGTTCAAAAAATGCTCTCCATATTTGAATTGAATATGCTAGTGTTCGAATCCGAAATGAAGTCCCAAGCCATACAAGAAATAATTCAGCGGCAAAACGACAAATACGATCTGGTGTTACTTCAGTACTCGCACTTTGCAAACGTTATGTTACCATTTGCATATAAATTTAATGCACCAGCAGTAGGTAAAATATAGTATTCAATTTCATGTAGAGCAACTATAATTGATCTTTTATGTAGGTATATCTTCATTGGGAGTATTTTTACACGCTCGTGATGATATAGGTAATCCTACTCACCCAGTTATCTCTCCAGATTATATATTGGGAATCTCGGGAAATATGTCTTTTGTTGAAAGGTAAAATTCACATTAAAACACGAGCTCTTTAAATAAATATATTGTACTTTGCTATTTACTTTCTAGGCTTAAGTGCTTCCTTTACAACTTGTGGTACAGAGCTCTGTATTATTTTTATTTTTTACCCAGAGGAGATGCAATTGCCAGGACTTATTTTGGAGACGATATGCCCTATTTAGGAAAATTGGCGAAAAATTTAAGTCTCCTATTAGTCAGTGCAAATCCTATTATTCATACGCCCACACCAAACGTACCCAACATTATAGAAATCAATCAACTTCACATCAAAGAGAAGAAACCATTACCTAAAGTATATAAATTTGAGAGCTTAATATATTTACCAGTAAAATAAATACTTTTATTAGTGTGGTAAATATATTTGGCTCTAAGAAAGAATATACGGAATGGGCCCTTAATCTTCATCTGTGAATATGTTTAATTTTTAGGACCTTCAAGAATTTTTGGATGGGTCTCCTCAAGGTGCAATATATTTTAGCTTAGGAAGTAACATGAAAAGCGTTAATTTATCCTCTACTTTGAGAAAAGAAATTACCACTGCTCTAGCTGAATTGCCCTACAACGTCATATGGAAATGGGAAGATGACCATTTAGCCGATAAACCTGATAATGTGTTAATAAAAAAGTGGCTCCCTCAACAGGACATATTAGGTAAAATTATTATACATATACATATACTTATACATTTTATATTATTATTATACATTTAGATGAGTAATTAAACGAAATATTGGTTTTAAGGGCATCCTAATATCAAAGCATTCATTACGCAAGGAGGTTTGCAGTCCATCGAAGAGGCCATTATCAACGAAGTCCCATTAGTTGGTATACCATTTTTCTCAGATCAACCATCAAATATGAGAAAAATAGAGGAACAAGGCATAGGTAGAATGATTGATTACGCTTCGTTAACCAAGGAAAAGTTAAAGAGCGCTGTAATAGAAGTATCGCAAAATAAAAAGTAAGTTTTAGATTTTAGTTTTAGATGTTTAGTTTTAGATTGATTTTTTGCTCCAATCATGTATTTCGGTATTTTTTTAGGTATAAAGAAAATATCAAAAGATGCAAATCCATACTGGTGGATCAACCCACGAGAGGCGTTGACAAAGCTGTATGGTGGATTGAGTACGTTTTGAAACACAAGGGAGCGAGGCATTTGCGAAGTCCAGCAGCAGATATGTCGTTTTTTGAATATTTAATGTTAGATGTGATCAGTTTCCTGGTAATGATAATTATTATAGCTAGCTACGGGTTTTATAAACTAATCATGTCCGTTAAAAAAGCCCTATCTGTCAGGAAAATTAAAAAAAGTTGATTGAATTTAATTTTTGTATGTGTTTGATTTGTGAAATAAAATTTTAGAAAGTTAAATTATTTTTTAGCTATATTATGTGATCCAAAACTGGCATACTTACACCAGTAAACTATGTTTTTTATTTAGGAGAAATACTGCTGGATGTTAATTTTTTTTTCGATTACTAATGTAGTTTATTTTTGCTATTTTATCAGTATCATCCTGTACATATTTTAGTAAATTAAAAGTGTAAATGAAGCTATTAAAAATGTTTATATTAGGTAATACTTATTTTTTCATCTTTGTTATAAAATATAACTACATCTTTAAGTTTGAAGATGATTTCTTAAAGGCAAAGGAATTGGGAATAAATCGTTTATTAATATTTATTTTCATTCACTACTTACATTATTTTAATCTTATGATTTTTGACTGTCATCTCTTGCTCATGAAGACATATGCATTGATCCCATGAAGAATTGTCTGTACACGTTCTATTCCATCTAAAATATTTATTGAATTTGTCCTTACGCTATGGGTTTTTGTACTGTTTTGATCCATAATCTTAGCATCATCTTTTCTTTTAATTTGTGGAGTCGTCTGCCATATTGGTGTAATGCATTCAGCATACAGTTTGATACTTTCTTCCATAACTAATTGAACTGATTTCATCAAATGAAGAACATCTTTGATGCGCGACATCGTATTGTAAAAATGAATGCAAGAGAGAAGTAGAACAGTACATTTGCTTTTGGGGAATGTTAATTAGAAGATAAAAAACTCATTTGTTAAAAAACAATGAAGTTCTCTTATGATCTCAAGGTAAAACACGTTTTTATAAAACTGAAATATAATATGTAATAGTATAAATCCATGTTAATGTATGGCAGTGCTCATATAAAAACTATATTATATTTTTAATTATTGCTGGAATATAAACAATTATGCTAGAGCTAATTGAATCTATCAGGACAGGGTTTGTTAAAAAAATAACGAAATTAATTAATAAATGTTCATAAAAAAATCAAACATAACATATTGAATTATTCATATAATCGTTAATTTTCATAAACATAAATTTCAAAACAACTAGTACAATTAACGCGTATAAAATTTTAATAAAATCTACATTAGAATTTATGATATTTCATATCAATAATACAAAGATTACTTTTGATTTTAGGATAAGAATCAATACTATATACAAATTAGTTATTTTATCTCAAGTTTTGTCTTATGTCAGCTTTCTAATCTTTACAATGAATAAATTCATTATAATATTTCAAAAAAATATCCCTACAAGCAATCGAAACTTTAAGTTTGCTACATAGCAAAAATACACCAGACAGTTTCCTATGTAAAGAATATATTTCTTCAGGAGGTGGACACAATCTATGCATAATCATAATTTGTGCTAATTCCTGTATTCTGGATGTCATATCCTGCTTTCCGAAATCATATTTACCTTCAACGCGGAAAATCTCACCTAATATCATAACGGCGTCGGTATGAGCGTCTTCCATTATCTTAAAGAGAAAACAATTTATGTTTAGCCAGCTATAAATAATGGCCCGTATTCAGCGCCTCTGTTTAACTTTAGGGTGACTCTAGAGTCGCATCTTTAACTTGACAGATTTACATTGTTGTTATGGAGTAACTAGGGACTCGAGACGCGACATTAGAGTCACTCTAAAGTTAAACAGAGGCACTCTGAATACGAGCCATTGTGCTTAATTGTACCTTGCTTTCATAGCCTGTCAAGAAACCCATATTTTTAGAAATGTTAAGTACAGTCTCTCTGTCGCCATCACAAGCAGCCTTTAAAATTTTAACATATTGCTCAGTGAAACTTTTGGAATACTCTCTACTGGCGCCAAAATCCAACAATAATAGCTAAAAAAATATAAAAATTTAATTAGCTATTACACATTGTAAATGATTACTGTTACCTGTTTTTTATTCGGATTATATAGAAAATTGGCCCAATTCGGATCGGTTTGCATAAATCTGAAGTTCAATATTTCCAATAAGCATAACTCCATTATTTTATCACCGATGAATTGCCTATGCTCAATATCCATATCAAAGCATTGATCTACGGGAATTCCGTCCAGCATCTCAGTTGTAAATACTTGTTTGGTCGTTAAATCATCTAAAAAAATTATCAATTTAATTATGTATTTTCGAACACAATTCCTCTTCATACCAATAACTTCAGGTACATAATAATCATTATAAGACGCCAATAGTTGCTTGAATTTCTTCGTAAAAGCTGCTTCCCTAATATAATTGACTTCCCAAGCTAATTCCCTTTTGGCCACGGCCATTAGATTATCCAGGAACATTCCTTTGGGAAATATATTCCACATTTTCATAATGGCCCCCAAATTGTCGATGTCGCTATCTATTCCTTGCGCTACACCAGGATATTGTACTTTTATGGCAACTTCCGTGCCATTTTTTAGTTTCCCTTGATGTACCTGACCGATCGAAGCCGCTGCGAACGGAGTAGAGTCGAAAACTTGGAAGTTATCTCGCCAATTGGGGCCCAATTCGGACGCCATCGCCTAAAATGAAATAAATTCAACAATATATTAACGCTCGTTTTTAATGAAAAATAAATTACTTGTTCTAATTGCCAATCCGGCATGAAGTCGGCCGATTTTCTCACTCTCTCCAGAGCTTTGGCTAGTTCCGGATTTACTACGTTTTCATCCTGGATGCTCATGATCTGGCCCAGTTTCAAAGCGGCTCCTCGCACTTTACATAGCGTGTCGACTATTCTGTCTACGTTAGCTTTGTTTAAAAAAAGCATTGTAGGATCTTGCGTGGAGTTTCCGATTCCTAAAGTTCTTTTCGCATATTCCGTAGCAGTTCCTAAACCTAGGCCAGCAGCTAATGTTCCGAAGGACACCATTCTGCCTATTCTAGAGGACGGAACTTTTCTCTGTTTAGCATTTTCGCTTAACTAATAAATAAAAATGATTTAGTTACAGGTTATCAGCTAATTTCATAAAAGTACCTTTTGTTTGGATTTCGGATTTGGAACGACATTGATTGTTGCTTTTTCCTTCTTTGTCTGTTCGTCTTTTGCCTTTGCTGGGATTGTTTTCGCTAAATCTTTGCTTTCTTCACGGTCCTTCTCTTTGATTAACTTCGCTCGGTGCTCCATGTCTAGTTTTTTTAACAATTGCTTGTCACTCTCTGTTAGTTTTAAATTATAAACTCTCTCAGGAGACTTTAGATTTATCGGTTTTGGTTCAATTATTCCTCCATTGTAACAAGATTGCTCGATGTTTACTTGCGTTCTTCGTTCATGGGATTTCGATTGGGTATTTTCTATTACTTTTTCCTTTTTAACAGGCTTTCCTTTTTTCGTTCGTGCTGGTTTCGTTAGTTCGGCTAGTATGTCTGTAGTTGTTGGAATACTTGGTAGTTCTAAAACAGAATAATTATCACCTACGCATACTGTTCGAAATATCACCTACTCACATTGCCCAAATTAAGAAAAACTAAGCAATTCGAGTAATATTAGTCACTTTTCAACATTAGGCGTATCATTGGCGTACTAAAATAATTTTCACAATCATTTTAAAAAGTTCAGATTGTGTAAACGCGAAAATTGGGATTTATGTAACCTTGAAGTAAAAATAACCATTCTCTTCCCCAACACTGGAAACTTACCTACCTGTTTTCTGTGCCAAGGTCGTACTGGCGTAAACCCTAATCCCGTGGAGAACTGTGTTTACACTGGCAATGTTCTCAGCCATATCCGAGGAACCCGAACTGAAACCTGCTCCTCCGGATTTCGATTTTTGGGCATTTTGAAAATTGCAGTCGGCTGCAGGACGGATAAACGAGTTGCTCCATATAGTTTTTATATTTCTAGTCTTCAATTCAGTGCATGCCTGTGTAATTAGTTGCAATGACTTCAGTAATCCCACAAGATCTTGGATACGAGACATTGGGAGAACACACAGTAGTCTAGAAAAGAGGAATGGTTTTGAACTTGGTCTTGGCTTCATGTAAACATTGCAAATAGGTGAAATTAATTATTACGAATTGTAATACTTATTACTTACGCATTTATTATTTTTTTAATATTTAAAACTTGGTGTGATTAGTGAGAATATTACTTCTTCTCTTTCGTTTGATGCAACAGTACATTATGTTTAGAACTCTTCGGCCTTTTACTGCACTTGAAGCCAGTGGCACATGGCACGGTCGTATAATAAGAGCGTTTTTACACGGAGCGATATATTGCAGCAATTTATTGTTGAAATTTATTGTACTTCTGTTATTAATAGAAGTATTTATTCCCTTTTATGAAATATGAAAAAAATGTTGTAATTTCCAATATACAGGGTGTTTTTTAATAACATACTAATATACTGAAGGGGGTGATTCTTGGGCCCATTTTAAGAAAAAAAAACTTCATGTGAACATATGTTCTAATTTTCTCGTAAGAACAAAAGTTCTCATTTTAGCACAGCGGCTAATATAGTGGCAGCGTACAAATGAAAGCCTCCAAAAATAATTTTTATTTCAGGAGGAAGCAGTGGCGTACCACTTTTACCCTCAAAAATATTTGGCATTAGTCCAGTACGGACTCCACTGTTGGAAATAAAAAAATGTTTTTCAGGTCAAAAAATGCTCTTTAATGCATAAACGCCGTACACCAAATTTCATAAAAATATTTAAAGTGGTATGAAAAGTTTTTTCAACATTTTAGGACATTTTAGGATCACTTATTCCAAAACTGTCGCACATGTGTTTTATTTAAATCACTGTAATACGCACAAAATTTTTATTCAAATACTAAACATGCATTTATACATGTATACATACATTTATGTATATTAGATATGTAATTAGAATGTATTATATTCATACTCTATTCATTCATACATATAATCGCAGTTGGATTTATCAACTATATTCATGGGACAATATACTTCTTGGTATTCAACATCGGCATTATCAATACCCTCCAAAAACTCAAACTTGAATCTGCAACCCGGTTGCAGGGCTTCAGGTAAGAGTTTGCACTGCTCTACGTTTTCAACTCCGGTGGTCCTGTTGCCCCAAACATCCATCGTCGTGTTCCATTGTGTCATGCAACCCGGGCCACTATCTCCCACTCCCCCACCGGGTACTAGCAGTTTGAACGAGGCTTCATCGTTGTAACCCTCTTATACAGAACAACAGTTTAATTGTATTATTTCGTTCTTAATTACGTACACGTACCTGTGTTAACGTTTTGAATGAGTAATCTCTTCCCGGCCAATTTGCCTTTAAAGGACAACACTAGGCACATGCAACACTGGGGGAAATCGTCAGGTAACTTAGCAGAGGCCCATCCAAATGCCACATTGTCTGCTACGACATACGGTTGCATGATGTTGCACTGGAAAGCGTCTACTCCTGGTTGACAACCGGCTCTTATGTTGTCATCTCGATCGTTTTTGGTGACTCCGTCTTTCTGGCACGTTTGCACCGTAGATAAGCGGTAGCCCACGTTATTTTTATCAGCGCACGGGGGGGTGCAGCAGTCCCAGTAGAGGCTGGCTGTGCCATTCCCCGACATGCCGCCGCGAGTCGGGATGATTTGTCCCAAGATTAAGGGACTGGCTGTTGGGGTTAGAGTTTATTTGGATTTCAAATTGGATTATTCAAAAATGGATTGGGGTACTTACCGCATATTAAAAGTGACACTAACAATAAGACGGTGTTCATTTTGATATTTAATTTTTCGTTGGTCTATTTTGATTATTTATAGGGAAATTGAGCTCTTATGTAGGTAGATAAAAATAAGCCAAGTAATCATACGTTGCTGATTAAATACGATGATATTGTAGAGTGTATTTTCTTTTATTTTTTACACTTGTAAAGGATAAATAGATTTTAGATAATATAAAGAGTATTGCATTACATTGCATATGTGCATTACAAAACTGTGTATAAAATACAATGCATAAAATTGAACTCCAAAGTTGACCATCAAAAAAATATAAAATTTCTTCATTTTTTTTTTATGGAACTACTCAGTTCTTTCTATTTTATTGAAATCTGCGGTAAAATATAAAAAGGAAGTTCATGTTTACTTTCCTATACCTCTAATCCTAATAGTTTTGAAGATATTAAAAAATTTACAAATTACTTATTTGCCTTATTCGAATATTAAAATAGATAATAGAAACGTTTAGTGAAAATTTGAAAACAATATTCTTGAGATTTGTATTTAGTAACCAAATGCTTCTTGAATATACAGGGTGTTTTGTAAAAACATGCTAATACTGAAGGGGGTGATTCTTGGGCCCATTTTAGGAAAAAAAACATGAACCTATTGCTTAGGTTTGGTCCAGGGTTAAGTGCAAGGCCGAAATTTGCAGCGTTGTCAGATCAACGTACAATTTGAATTTTCGCGTCAGATAGACGTTTGCGACTTTTCATACGTCACTAAAATGAAAACCCTCTTCCACCTCGAAATGCCGTTACCCCTTTATCAAGTTATCCTGCTAAGGGAAAACATTTTAAATCCCGTTTATAGTGTGGTGAAATAAATTAAATTTATCTGTCTATTACTTGTGATTTATCGTATTTTTTTTAAATGCTTGTGTAGTAGTTCTTTCGACAGATATTTTATCATATGTAGACGGAAAGAGGAGACCCCTAGTGTTAAGGTAGAGCCATTTCTCGAGCCGACCACATCATCTTGTGTTAGGTTGAACATTTGAATATTAGAAAAATATTTGCTCTTTGCCTGCAGAATTCGACATAATAAATAAATTCCTATAGGCCATAAAAGAAAGAAACATAGGACATGAGAAACATTTCGGAAACCATTTCCTATACGGTCCATTCGATCCCAAAGTGTCCCAAACTTCTCTCCCAAGCTTCTATACCAAGCTTCCATCGCCTGGACTGACATACATACTATGTATAAACCAAAAACAGGAAAGGAAGCAATTTCCGAACGGTCCTATGTTTTAATGAAGTAATGAAGTACTTCAATGAATTCCTATGAAGTAATTTAAATACAGGAATTTTTCATTTTTATGACTTTTTTTAGGCGGGAATTTCTATGGTCTATGGTCTATGGTTCATACTGAAAATAGCATGCGGATTTAGCAACCATTATCATGGGCAAAATCCTTCTTGGTAATCAACATCGGGATTATCAATACCCTCCAAAAACCCAAACCTAAATCTGCAACCCGGTTGCAGGGCTTCAGGTAAGAGTTTGCACTGCTCTACGTTTTCAACTCCGGTGTTCCTGTCGCCCCAACCATCCATCGTCGTGTTCCATTGTGTCATGCAACCCAGGCCATTATCTCCCACTACACCCCCCTGCCCCCTTCCCCCCTGGTACTAGCAGTATGAGCGAGGCTTCATCGTAGTAATTATCTTATACAGAACAACAGTTAGATTGTATTATTTCGTTCTTAATTACCTAAACGTACCTTTGTTGACGTCTTGAATGAGCATACGCTTCCCGGCCAATTGGCCTTTGAAGGACAACAGGAGGCACATGCAACACTGGGGGAGATAGTCGACGGGTAACCTAGCAGAGGCCCATCCAAATGCCACGGTGGTGCAACACATTATTAATTTTTTTTTAAGTTTTGTTGTTAATTTGATGAATTAATTTTAATCATTTGTTTATTTTTCTCTTATACATGTAACTAGAATAAATGGTTAAATTTCAACAACTATTTTTTGGTGTTCTTTTACTTTTGTCACTCAGTATATTTATTACCTTTATAAGAAAAAAAAACTTCATGTGAACATATGTTCTAATTTTCTCATAAGAACAAAAGTTCTCATTTTAGCACAGCGGCTAATATAGTGGCAGCGTACAAATGAAAGCCTCCAAAAATAATTTTTATTTCAGGAGGAAGCAGTGGCGTACCACTTTTACCCTCAAAAATATTTGGCCTTAGTCCAGTACGGACTCCACTGTTGGAAATAAAAAAATGTTTTTCAGGTCGAAAAATGCTCTTTAATGCATAAACGCCGTAATATTTAAAGTGGTATGAAAAGTTTTTTCAACATTTTAGGACATTTTAGGATCACTTATTCCAAAACTGTCGCACATGTGTTTTATTTAAATCACTGTAATACGCACAAAATTTTTATTCAAATACTAAACAGGTATTTAGATATGTAATTAGAATTTATTATATTAATACTCTATTCATTCGTATCTATAATCGCAGTTGGATTTATGAACTATATTCATGGGACAATATACTTCTTGGTAATCAACATCGGCATTATCAATACCCTCCAAAAACTCAAACTTGAATCTGCAACCCGGTTGCAGGTTTTCAGGTAAGAGTTTGCACTGCTCTACGTTTTCAACTCCGGTGGTCTTGTTGCCCCAAACATCCATCGTCGTGTTCCATTGTGTCATGCAACCCGGGGCATTATCTCCCACTCCCCCCCCGGGTACTAGCAGTTTGAACGAGGCTTCATCGTAGTACTTATCTTATACAGAACAACAGTTTAATTGTATTATTTCGTTCTTAATTACGTACACGTACCTGTGTTAACGATTTGAAGGAGATATCTCTTCCCGGCCAATTGGCCTTTAAAGGACAACACGATGCACATGCAACACTGGGGGAAATAGTCAGGTACCTTAGCAGAGGCCCATCCAAATGCCACCTTGTCTGCTACGACATACGGTTGCATGATGTTGCACTGGAAAGCGTCTCCTCCTGGTTGACAACCGGAATTTGCGTTGTCATCTGGATCGTTTTTGGTGACTCCGTCTTTCTGGCACGTTTGCACCGTGGAAAAGTTGTGGCCCACGACATTTTTGTCAGCGCACGGGGGGATGCAGCAGTCCCAGTAGAGGCTGGCTGTGCCATTCCCCGACATGCCGCCGCGAGTCGGGATGATTTGTCCCATGATTAATAAGGGACTGGCTGTTGGGGTTAGAGTTTATTTGGATTTCAAATTGGATTATTCAAAAATGGATTGGGGTACTTACCGCATATTATAAGTGACACTAACAATAAGACCGTGTTCATTTTGATATTTAATTTTTCGTTGCGTGATTTTGATTATTTATAGGGAAATTGAGCTCTTATGTAGGTAGATAAAAATAAGCCAAGTAATCATACGTTTCTGATTAAATACGATGATATTGTAGAGTGTAGGTTCTTTTATTTTTTACACTTGTAAGGGATAAATAGATTTTAGATAATATAAAGAGTATTGCATTACATTGCATATATGCAATACAAAACTGCGTATAAAATAGAGTGCATAAAATTATACTCCAAAGTTGAACTTTAATAAAATATAAAAGATTTTAGATAATAAATAGCAGCATGCCAGAGTTTAGTACTGTGATCAAAAATCGGATGGCGCTGGAGTGGCCGATGTATTGTTGGTTGCCTAACCATTAAATATTATCATTTTTATGGAAATTGATATTATTGGATGTGCGTGAGCATGTCTCAGCGTGTGCGCTATGAGAAGTTTAAGGTTAAATTAATAAATTAATTTATTTTCATATGAAATTCAGGTATTATACAGAATAGTTCAAGAAATTTACAATTACTACGATGTCAGAAAGCCGAATTGTAGAGCAAGTTTCAAATGAAATTTCTGAAATTTACACTAAAAATAATGTTCTTGCAGATGACAAAGAATCGGAACCACAACCACAAGAGGTATTATCATTGTATCATCTACTTTAAGTTTTAAAACCTTATTACTTCAACCACTTTCACTAAACGTTAATGCTTTAATCCTTAAGTACTTTTATAACAATTAAAACTAAAGTGTTAAATTTTTCTCTCAGACTCGCCCAGGAGTGTTACTGCTTCGTTGGTGGTTGAATAAGTCCTTTAGAGTGGAAATGACAGACGGAAGAATCCTTATAGGAGTGTTCCTGTGCACCGACAGAGACGCCAATATCATCCTAGGCTCTTGTTCCGAGTACTTACCATTAGAGAGCAAAAGTAAAAGCACTAACGAAGAGCCACGAATGCTCGGCCTGGTCATGATACCGGGAAAACACATCGTTAGCATTCGATTAGACGCGGAATGCGAATCGGGCAATCAGAAACCATTGATGAAGGATGCCAGTTGCTAATGTGAATTTGTAGTGTGATATTAAATTTGAGAATGTCGATCATGAATGTTATTATCAATAGGCTGTAATGTCTTCGATAAGAGGTTGTAGGAATCGTTGATTTTTAATGAGGTATAATTACTTATGAAATTTGTCAGTAGTATGCTGTGGTTTATTTAGTTTTCTTTGTTTAGTTAGGGATGATTTGATGATTCTGAAATGTCTATTTAAATTGTAATAACTAATTATATTGTGGAGGAAAATTAAACAAAAATCACCAAACGATTGAAAATCGTTGTGATTTCATTGTGAAAAATAGCTTCCAAAATTTCAGAATTAATAAAGAACGCAGTATAGTGCATGGGTACAACAAAAACAACTTCTATTAGTCTCATATAAAGGTGAAAGCAACTGTCATTTCAATAATCATTCTTTGTTTAACTCTTAGAATTGACGATACATTGCAAATAAATTTGCACTTACTTGTATAATGCCTATCATAAAAGGAACGTAAATTAATAAAAATTACAAGGTATTAAACCTTTTAAAAATTTGACAAAAATATTTTCAAAACAAAATGGAAAAATGCACTTTGCATACAATATAACGACAATATTCCAATGATTCAGATTCAACAGCAATGTAAATTATTCAAACAATTATTATGCCTTTATTAATTTATAAATGTTAAATATTTTAAAGGTCAACAAGAAAATACATTTGTTTAAAGAATAACAATATCATTTTCAATATTCAGGATTGATTTTAATGGAGTTCAACAATATATTCGAAATGAAAACACTCTATAAAAGCCTTTTATTACTACCTCGTACGAATTTAACCAGAGATATTATTACATGTTCTTAACAAATTAATTTATTATGATCAAATAATCATGTATGTATCGATATGGTCAGGGCATTTGGCGGATTAACGTAAACTTTTTGAATGTGATAAGAACCCTATCAAAAATTTTCTCACTTACATAAAATATCTCCTTGTAAACGGACAAGAAACGTTCTGTGAACTGCTGCCATTTCATTCAATTTGCAAAAAGGTGAGTAAAAAAATTAAAAAAATTCATATTTGAAACAAATTCAAATTTTGGAATAATTTTAAGCTGTCTGTATTTTTTTTTTTCAAAAAATTGTGATCAAACTTTGTTTTAATGTGCTTTAATAAACATAATTGCAGCTAAAATATGCATTTTATGTACATTGAATTTATTTACATTTATTACAATTTTGAAAATCGGGTGAAATTATAAATATAGAAATATTAATTAACCTTGTGCAATGTCATAAATTTTTGCAACATTGATAAGTTGATTTTTGTTTTAATTGTGCAATCGTATCATATACAATTAAACACATAATATGATATGTAATTACTGGAATAAAAGTTATTAACAGGGGTTTTCCTTTGCAAATACAATCAGAACAAAATTAGAATCCATTAAAAACTAATCTTGTAATTTCGTTAAATAAGGCTAGTTATTAAATGTGACATTGTTTTTTCACCGTGCTGTCGTGAAAAATGCCATGTTTTTTAATTAATATCCAGAAAGACAAATAACATAAAATCAAATTTTTTTTGTCGTTAATTAGACAAACGTAATTTAAACGAACAAAGTTCATGTAAATATAATTTCCACTGCAGAGTTAAAATTATACACTTTCCTATACGGGACATTTCAACATAATGTTGTTATCTAATATGTACATAGTTTAATTCAATACGGAATTTAAAGCAAAATAGTAATAAGTCATTTCTATTCCAAAAACTGAAGAATTTGAATTTGATGAAATTCATGATGTATTAATCAAGTAATTATTAAATTCGATAAAAAAGAATTATATTAGGTATTTCAAAAATTTGCTTCCAAAAACTGAAGAATTTGTAGAAATTCTTGATGTATCTATTGTCTCAATTTCTTCAACAAAAAATAAGTTGAATTTTTTTAAAAAATGGCTAGGTGTCGGTCTAGTATGCGGTCTACCCATAGACCTACTAACTATGGACGCGGTGTAGACAAAGAGTAGTGTTGTCGATGAATGAGAGACAGTCTACCCAAATTATTTTGCACAATTTATTACAGTTAAAGTATAATAGCAAGATTTTTTGGATGTTTAGTACAGGGATCTCGGAAACTATAGAAGATAGAAAAAAGTTTAAATGAACAAATATTGGCAGTTTTGCCAAACATGTTCACAACTAATTTTTGTTTTGCAAAATATGTCACCTATCAGAGAGTATATAAAAACCATTTTAAATATACATACTCAAGAGACGAAATATGTAGGTAGGCCCCATACTAGACCGGCACCACACATCGCGGTGGTACAAATTTTAAACATTTTATTTCCATTTTATGATGAAAACTGATCATATCATCAAATTCATGATATGATCAGAAATTTGCCCTTTTATTGTGCTATATGCTATACAGGGCGCCTAGAGCTGAGGGAAAAATCTTTGGTGGAGATTTTGTTTGAAAAGTTGAGGTGTATATCCCTAAATTTGAAGAACGGTTCAAAACAATTTTTATAGAAATCAAATTACATCTTTTAAAGCCCTGAATCTGGGACATCAAAATGAGTGAAAAGACCTCATTTTCTTGTACTTATTAACTTATTCTTCAATTTTCTCCACTTAATTTAACGTATATTTTTATCGAATTTTGCAACAATACCTTCGTAGGAACTAGAAACTCTTCGAAATTCTCGGCGCCGGCACGGCCCTGGACCGGCTCCGGAAACACTGTGAGACTGTGAGCTCTTACAAATGATTATAAAAATCACCAGCATGCGGTGCACAGTAGAAGCAGTAGAAGTAGACACACAAACTCACTAAAACTCGTCGCCGTCGGTATTCAGTCGTGCTAAAGCGACCACATTTCGCGCATCTCTCTTTAAAAACCCGAAACTATCTATAGTATGTGTGTATGAATGTCATTCAAGCTGATTAGATTCGAATATATTCGAAGAGATGCATAATCTACTGTAGATAGGAGAATACTTTAATAATTAACAAGTATAGAATTGTTCTAGGTGCTACGTGTTCGGAATAACTGTATTTTATTAGAAAATATTCCTATAAAATGGCTCAGCAAATTTACAATGACGGTAAGTTTTGTATTTTTCTTATTTTTAAAATACTATACGTATCATTCAGTTAGACATACTAAGTTCACTATCAAGTTTTTCAGTAGGTCAAGTTTAATAAGCCATTGCATCTAGGGATTTTATGGACTAATATAGCAAGAAATGATTGTATTTTCATTCACTGAAGTAGGATTTTTGTTGAATAGAGGCGCTATTTAAAAAAACTAGTGTAAATCCTGTAATTTTTATTTACCCGACTCGATTTATCTCAGATTTCCCGGTTTGATAACCTGCGGAATGTTTATAAATATTACGAGAATTTTGATAAATCCGTGAAGGCTCGATCATGCTTCTAATAAATGAATATATTAAAACTTAACGCATATTTATAATTCAGAAACCACGTGTTTCAGAAACCTTTAATCCAATCGTACGATTTATAATGACGTATAATGTTGAATGTCGAATTACAAATTACAAATTAGTTACATAGTTTTATCTTCTTGTAACCAAGTTGTATTTTTTTTTATAAAATAGTTATATTTATTTTCTGAAATAATTCATTTTTCGCATACTTTTCATTTGGAAAAAAATACCTTTAGCATAAGGATAATAGATCATTCAGGGGAATATAATTCCCTGTTTACTATAAACTCTTATCTCTATACTTTGGAAATATTCAGTTCAGCTATCATTAAATATTTAATGTATAAATTTTTAGTATAAATATCATGTAACATATCATATGATTTTTATACAGTAAGGTATTGTTAAAGGCAATAAAATCCTCTGGATTAGTAAACCCACAATTTATTCGCTTTAAACTTTAAAAGTATTTAGATATTTGAACCACGCCAGTTCATGACCTATAAATTTAATCACAGTAGATAATTGGCCTCACACGAAATTAATCTCTGTGTATTAATGTAAGAAACGCTCAATTTTGAATTATAATTTCCAACTTTCTTTAGGCCCCGATCAAATAGTCCCCACGGATCAAGAAATTTGTACCGATCCCGCGGGATACGTGCGTCTCAGGATTCCCGAACAGGGAAAGGCCATCGAAACCATTAAGCCCATATCGGTGCCGGGACTTCTGCAGAGGACCGCCCGGGAGTTCCCGGAAAACGTGGCTTTGGCTCAAAAAGTCAACGGAAAATGGGAAAACATCACCTACAAGTACGTAGCTAAGTTTTTTAAATTTGTCCTATTAAATTATTAATCGTTTATTAAAGGACGTTTTTATACGATTTTATATAGATTAAAACATTAAAACTTTAATTTAAAAATCGTGAAAAACTCGTCGGGAAATGTGAAAAAATATTAGAAACTATTTTTTAAATATTTTATAAAAATAACATTCGTATTTTTCCATAATCTGGATAGTTTAAACTCGTCTTGGAACACGCTGTTGTATACTGAATTTGGTACAATTAAAAATAATTTTTTGAAATTAATTTTAATACAATAAACTTAATAACCATTATAATTGAGCTAGAGTTCTGTAGGAATCACTACTTTTATCAATGCTAATATAGAACTATATTAATTTGCCTACCAGTACACTTCACTTTATAAATGTTTTTATTATTATTTTATAAGTGCTTTCTAAAAAATAACGGAAATAATTGATATATATTCTCATTGGTTTTCGATTTTTAATGACCGTTTTTAAAATACCTATGTATACTTAAAACTAGCTATTCTATAGTGAAAAGCAAAAATATTGACTATAATAAATATTTTAGAGGAATTATTTTGAATTAAGTGAAACACAAATTGAATTTAGGTATCTATTAAAATTTTTAATCTCATGACGAATAGCACATTGTTGAAATAAAATTAATTAAACCTCATATTGTAATAGCCTAATAGCTTTAAAACAAAATATAGCAAATCTTGTACTAGATATTTTTTTTTAAATTTCCATTCTAAATAAATAGATCATTTTTTATTATTTTTCCATCGTTAAACGATTTTATTTGGAACGTTTTGAACTTTTCCAAAAGATCACAGTTTGAATAAAATTTCCCAAGGGTCATCGTGAATGAGCAAAAATGTAAACATTGTAGTGAAATGTTCATACAGTTGGTAAATATTTTAATTTTTAATGCACTATTCCATACATAGATTATCAACATTGCAAACTCTCATTAACATACATTTAAAATTGATATAAAATAATTCACCGGTCAGTTAGTTTAATTAACCAGGTGATTATATTGCACTTATTAATACAAACAATACGTTATACGATAAAAAAATATTTTAGAAAAAAAATACCAAGGATGAGTATATTTTTAAATCTTGATGTACTGGATAAAATTGTTAATTATAATACACATTTTTTAATTCAAGTTGTTTATTTTAAGTAAAAAATTTTAATTACGTCCAAAAAAATGTAAAATAACGTTGGAATCGAGAAAAAATCGTACGGAATATATTTTGCAAAAGGTCGTAAAAATATTAAAATAAAAGTAAAAAATATATTAAAATTGTCTATTAATGTTGATTTTACGAACTGGTTTTTGTAGGAATATGTATAGCATCAGTTCCCACATTAGAATAAATAATATTCAATTTCCAACTAGATGTCATTTGCACATTTATTCATTCATTCATTTCTATTTTATTCTATTCGTTTTTATTCTATTTTAATTATTATATGCTTATTGTTATTTTTTGTATAACATAAGAACAAACTCATTTACAAACTAAACAAGTCTAATATTATTCTATATATTCAACTTTTAAAAACCAAATACATATTAATTATAATTTTTTTTCCAGAGAATATCTGGCTCAAGTTCGCACGTGCGCCAAAGGTTTCCTCAAATTAGGCCTGGAAAGGAGCCACGCCGTGTGCATCCTAGGCTTCAACAGCCCCGAATGGTTCATATCGGATCTAGCGGCAATATTTGCCGGGTAAGTAACTGGCAAATTACCTGACACCAATCAACCCAAACGTTTCCTACAACCTTTCAGAGGAATTGCAGTCGGAATTTACACCACAAATTCACCGGAGGCTTGCTTCTACTGCGCAGAAAGCAGCAACGCCGATATCATAGTAGTAGAAGATCAAAAACAATTAGATAAAATCCTGGAAATTAGATCCAGGCTTCCCCATCTCAAAGCTATAGTTCAATTCACTGGAGAGCCCACGCATCCAGACGTTACAAGTGTAAGAATATACTTAATTTTTGCACTTTCTTCTTTACATCTTACTAATGTACTTGTGTTTTGTACAGTGGAAAAAACTGATGGAAATTGGCAGTAACGAAGACGATGAAATATTAAACCAGGTTTTAAAGCAATCCGCCGTCAATCAATGTTGTACGTTAGTATACACTGTAAGTACCTATTTTTAGATACATATTCGCGTAAAGATAAAATTTATTACAAATGTTATACAGAGCAAACACACAACATAATCAGTAATTTGTTAATAAATGCTATATTCGCTATCTAAAAGCACTAAAAAAGTCCATATTGGTCTATAAAATTGTCACAATGAATTTTGCCAATATCAAATAACCAATCATTACGAATCATGGTACGAATTATTTATTGGATCAACAGTATCATAAGTAACAAGTACTATAGTCTAGTACCTATACTTAGGTAAACATCTTATTTCCAGGATGAATAAAATTTTTTTAATAAAATCTAAATTGTATTTGTAGTCAGGAACAGTGGGTAACCCCAAAGGAGTAATGTTGAGTCACGACAATGTAACTTGGGACGCCCTGGCTATCGTAGAACGTCTGGGTACCATTCAACCGGGCAAAGAAGTACTCGTCAGTTACCTGCCCCTCAGCCACGTCGCCGCTCAAATTATCGACATTTACATCACGATAACGGTCGGGGCGACCGTGTATTTCGCCGATAAAGACGCTCTTAAAGGTGCTTTACCTGTTTTTATTGCGCTTATAATAACCTTATCTACCCTATGTCGTATTTCAGGCAGTTTGATCAACACGCTACAGGAAGTGCAGCCGACGAAATTCCTGGGAGTACCGCGCGTGTACGAGAAGATCTACGAGAAAATGATGCAAATCGGCGCCAAAAACGGCGGCCTGAAGAAGTTCATCGCCGCTTGGGCGAAAAAGCAAGCGTTGCAACATCACATCGACAACATCAACGGGTACACAATTATTAAAGTTATTATAAGGCGACTTGTCTAAACCGCGCGAATTTTCCAGAATAAAATCAAACAGCTGGGGCTATTGCATCGCCAAAAACGTCCTCTTCAGCAAGGTGAAAAACGCCTTGGGGTTCTCCAGGTGCGATTTCTTCGCGACCGCCGCCGCTCCTTTGGCCGTCGATGTCAAGAAATACTTCTACAGTCTGGACATACCCATCATGGAGTGTTTCGGTTAGTAGAGAATTACACACACCAACGCAATACTGCCTTTTTGAACCATCCTCAAGTATTTTTTTACCACAATAGAGCGGTTTTAACTTTCTTCAAGCATTTGTAACCATCGATTTATAATTGTTCAGGATGATTACAATCCTTGAGAACGATTTAGAACGATTCATATAATGATTTAGAATCCTTCAGAACGGTTTATAACGGTTCAGAACAATTTAGAACTCTACAGAACAGAATTTAGAAGAGACATCAGGATGATATAAAGCGATTTAAAATAGTTCAAATATTTCAGTACTATTTAGAATGGTTCTGAACAATTTAAAATGCTTTTAGAACATTCTAGAAAGCTTCAGGTCTATGGAAAACGGTTCAGAACTCATCGAGACTATTTTAGAACGCTTCAAGAACGGTTTAAAACAGTTCAAAACACAGTAAATCTTCGTTGCATGAGATCCACAATCTCCCGGATAAATATTGTCATTATCCTTTTAAATTTCAGGCATGTCCGAAGCTAGCGGGGGCCACACGGTCGGCATCGAAGGGGCTAACAATTTCGAAACGATAGGCACTACAATAAACGGTATGAAAACGAAATTGGTCAACGTGGAGGACGGGCAAGGGGAGATTTGCATGTACGGAAGACACGTTTTCATGGGTTACTTGAGGGAACCGGAAAAGACTGAAGAAACTCTAGATAAAGACGGGTGGTTGCATACAGGAGATTTGGGAAGGATCGACGAGAAGGGATTCGTTTACATTACAGGTACATGTCACAGTGCCTTGGTCTTTACACAATCTGTATAAATTGCTTTATAATTCCAGGCAGGTTGAAGGAGCTGCTGGTGACCGCCGGCGGCGAGAACATCCCGCCGGTGCCGATCGAGCAGGCCGTGAAAGCGGAGCTCCCGCACGTCAGCAACGCCTTCTTGATCGGCGACAAGCGGAAGTTCCTGTCGATATTGCTCAGCCTCAAGACGGAGGTGAACCCGGAGACGGGCGCGCCCACTGACGAGCTCCTGCCCAGCGTGCGCGAGTGGCTGAAGAGCCTGGGCTGTCCGGCGGACACGGTGAAGCAAGTGCTGGACGCTGGTCCCAGTCAACGGCTAATCGACGCCCTGATGCTGGGTATCCAGAGGGTGAACGAGAAGGCCACGTCGAACGCTCAGACTATCAAGAAACTCGCCCTGTTGCCGGCTGATTTTTCCATTCCTACCGGTGAATTGGGTGAGTATTTTGTACTGGGATAAGTCTGAATCATTAATTAGGTTAAGGCCAAATACTTCTGATAGGTGGCATGTCTCTATGTGATATGCCTAATTTTTAAGTGGGTTCTTATATTAAAATTGATAATTTTTATCCATCATAAAAGTACGAATTTTCTTTTAAATTGAAATTAATCGATGTGTATTTTTCCAGGTCCTACGTTGAAAGTAAAAAGGAGAATCGTTGAAGAAAAATACGATTACATTATAAATAAAATGTATCTATAAACTTAATAACTACTTAATTGTGTCTTGTTACTTATTATGTTGCAGTAAAATACATATTGCATTTTGTTGTTGATATATTTATAAGTATGCATCGAATATTATATTAGCGTAAAGGGAAATCTGTTGTATACGCATTGAAACTATTTTATATAATATTTTGTATTTGAAATTTACAGAATCTGAGTAAAATTCTTGTTGTTTGTTTATGAGTTTTATATTTTTTTGCCTCTATTTCCGGTTTGTTTTACCCAAATTTTAATCGCAGCTTCAAATCGTGGATGTGAAAAAGGCTTCGAGTTTCTGATACATCATTTCTATACATAAATTATTTTAACAACCGTGTATTCCAAACTACTGTGACAAAAAAGTACCCGGAAATTTGAAATAAAACGCAAAATTCCTAATCTTTCCAAAAGTCGCAGAGCACTACTAAGATGAACTGATTCAATCAGCTGCTACAACCAAACTGATTGAAAAATCTATAATTTTTTGACTGCTACATAAGAACAGTGTTACCTAAATACAGAAAAGTGAAATTGTTAATAACATTAAGTGCAGGTAATTTAATTTCCAGGTACTTTTTTGTCAGAAGGTATATGATACCTCAATTGATAAACTGCAAAAAAGGAAGTAGTAGGAAAGAACAAGATCAGTTAGAGCTACCTTATTCGGATAATATTCTTCCATAATTTTATTCAATTTGTCTAACAAAATATTACATATCTACAACAAATTTTCGTCATGTTATCTCCCTCAATATGCGCTCATAATCATTTCACAGCTTGCTATAGCGAATAAAGCGAGAGCACAGTTATAACTTTCCTGGAAATTATAACCGAACAGACCTCTGTTATTTCTCACCATATCCGTGTGTATGTACAAGTAAAGGGCCGTGACCGCTAATCCATTGAAATTATTATGCACTAGACTCAGCACGGCAAGAGTGGTCAGATTAACGACAATTATGGCGTTTTTATATTCCTCACTTACGGGCTTATTTTCCAAAAGTAACGTCATCAGAGGAGAAAAGGATACTAAAATGTTGAACAGGCCGATTTCCTTCATGTAATGGTATGCTACCCATAAGGACGACGCTATGCAGGGAAGAAGGAACAAATCTTGAATCCCTTCGATTATTCTATACGCTTTATCGAACCCGTCGAATTCTATCCCTCCTGGAAATTCACAAACGTTTATTAACGAAATAATAAAAATATATGATATAATTACCCCATTTGAAAAGCCCTAAAATGCCGTTGGATATAAGACCCATGTACGCGAATCTTGCATAACTGCCTAGATGGATCCTCGAATAGCTTATCAAAGCGGAACCTGCAAGAATTGCATAAGAAATCCCCAAAATGTTATTAGACATAGAAATGCTGTCTTCATTCGCTTGACATTGTGTAATCTACAAAAAAAGCCGTCTACACTTTAATTAATACTCCATTTACCTGCTTTTCTCTTACGCAAAACGTCTTTCCACAAAAACCACTGTTAATTTAGATGCCGGGAATGTTTTAATTTCAAATTATGTATTATGCAATAATCATTTTATGACATGCTGCTAAATATTTTGACGTAGTAGGGTATACCTTGTGGCAAAAAAGTACCCGGAAATTAAATTACCTGCACTTAATATTTTTAACTATTTTAATTTAATATTTTAAATATTTTTCCTTCTTTTTAACTGTTCCTAGAGCTGTACCTTTCTATTTGTCAATGTAGAATCAATTTCGTAGAAAAGAATTATAATCAAATGAATATCTTATCTTAAGAAAAAATGCATATGCATGAATGTAAATAGGGAATACTAAATATTTATTCAGTAAATTAATAAACGAAATGATTTGTTCTAAGTTGTTCTAAAAGGGGTTCAAAATGTTTGTGAACCATTCTATATCGTCTTGAAGCGTTCTAATGCCTTCTAATTGGTTCTGAACCGTTCTGGACTCTACCGAAGTGTTCTCTAATCAATATTTCATACATTTTATACGTTTGGAAATCATATGGCATTGGAAACAATACACGAATAAAACAGGGGCATATTGTAGATTATTATTAGAGAGATGTATGTAGATATTACATTATTATGAAAATTTATAAATTAATGGCTTTCACAGCGCAAAAAGCGAAAAAGCACTTAACAATATTCTGCCAATGTCGATTGGACACGTTCAGGATTTTATCGTTGGCGTTCAAAGCGAACATCACGCACAAGTGGGACAAGCTAGTGGCTACAATGTAAGGATTATCGTGTCTAACGGACAAATACCCCATCAAGATGCTGCCGAGAACGGTCGAAGCTTGCTGGAATTCTTCTATTCTCACGTCTTTGCCCAATGCGAAAGCCGCTAGCGGTATAATCGGAATCACGATGAAGCTGTAAGAGAGGTTCTTGTTCTCTATGTATTTGTCAGTCAAACTCGCAACGATGAAGGGGTATACGAGCAATTTCTCCGCGGTTGACGTGTACGTGAAAACTTTATCCAGACTTTCACCTAAAAATGAACGTGAATGCGTTAGGTTCGGGACGATCCAAAATGTTTTAGAACGATTTAGGACCCCTTGAGAGTGGTTTAGAGGAGTACAAAACACTTCAGGGTGATTCAGGAGGGTTCTTGAGAGCTTCAAGTTCCAATTCAATTAATCAAATATTTAATATAATTAAGTAGTCTCACCTAAGATTTGAAGTGTTCCCACTATGGAATTAGTAGTGAGGATTGCAAACGATTGTAGGGCACCTAGGTATTGATCATTCGCTTGGATCATCCCGAACAGTCCCGAAACGGCTACAGCCAAGTTGGAAAGAGCTCCTTTATCGGACATAATTTTAGAGCATTAGAAGCGTTAAGCATTAAAATTAAAAATTACTAATAAAAAAGTAATCGATTTCACGTAAATATTACACAATTATGGCATCATACTTTGACAAAAGCGTCGTGGAAAATGTCAAAATCGGATTTATTCGAAATCTAGTCTTCAGAACGGTTTTGGAACCATTCGAAATGGTTCAAAAAGCTTTAGATGCAGGATAATAAAAGGGTTTAGAATGTTTCAGGATGATTTAAAACACGTTAGTACTATTTATAGAACAGTTCAAAAGTAATTTCTGAAATTATTTAATCATTTTACCTGATTCGTGTTCCAAAACTAAAACGATTTTTGTTAGGAAAAACAACTCGTAACTTTATAACCGATTTTTATTTTCACAATTTAACGTTAAAAATAGAATCTTAAGCAATTATAAAAAAATAACAAGCATGTACACAACCCTTCTTTAACTCGATTAGCTGTAATTCCCCGGAAAATCATCGGGATTCACTTTGAAATTCTTATTGTCAGCTAATTCGTACAAATTCGGCGCTGCCTTCAAAAGCCGCCGGCAAATCCGGTAATGTTTGTTAAGTGCTGCTCGGTGCAGGGCGGTTTTTCCATCTGAATCCTGGATAAACGGGTCAGCATTCACGGATAAGAGGAAATCCACAATATCTTCTTTCCCTAAAATATTCACTCTAATAAACTTATATGTATAGAGTCTTTCCAAAGTCAATTCTGAACGGTTCGAAAGGTTTCAGAATGGTTCAAATCAATTTGAGGACGATTAAGAATAGTTTAAAATCCTTCAGGACGGTTTAAAAGGGTTCTTAACATTAGAGCCTTTCAGGGCGATTTATGGCTCAGAACAATTCAGAATCCTTCAGGACAATTTTAGAACAATTTAGAACTCTTCAGGACGGTTTAGAACGGTTCAAAACAATTTAAAATCCTTCAGGACTATTTAGAAGGGATCTGAACAATTTAGAAACTTTCAGGACGATTTAGAACAGTTCAAAACAATTTAGAACCCTTCAAACAGTTACTTAGTCTTTGAAAACTCACCGGTGCTACAGGCTCGGGCCAGGGCCGTAACTCCCCCGTTAGTTCTCGCATTAACATCGGCCCCATTCTCCACCAGGAATTTGCAAACCCTCAAATGACCGTTCCTGGAAGCGTAGTGCAAAGCAGTGTATCCAGCGGAATCCCTGACGTCGACGTCTCTTCCCTTTTTCAAAACATCCGAGACCCTTTCGAGGTCCCCGTATTGAGCGGGGCTCCAAATGCCCCGTTCGAAGTCCATTTCTTCCAGAGACTGAGCGGCCGCTGTGTGCTTGTAGCATTTGCAAGAGCTGTCGTTATCGCACATTTCGCAAGCCTTAAACTAACAATCACGTAAGCCAAGCGAACCGAGCTCGCGCAGCGAGCGTGATAAAATTAAATCAACAATTGGACGAACGAAAACGTCGAGCTCATGTAATTGTTAGTTTAATTTTAGCCTGTCTCTTTGTTTCCTTATTCTCGGTAGAAAGCTATACAAAAATTAACATGCGAATTCTTATTTTAAATTTGAATGTGTGAAGGAATGTTCTAAGAATAACATATAAGTTGGTAAAATCCTTAATAATTAACTTAAAATATTGGCGTATTTTGTGATAGTAAAGTTAAAAATTAGGTGACAATATAATGGTAATTTGTTACATTTGCATGGTAATAACATTAAAGAAATACTGGTTAAATATCTTCTTAACTTATAAATTATATAAGAAAGAATCTAAAGAATTAACAAGTTATTTGTTGCAATTTAATATCCTCCTATATCATTTTGTTAATTATAATCAGAGTCCAATTATTCCATAATAATATTGCATACATTATGCATCTCAAAAAACAATTCTATATTATAAAGACAAGAAAAATTAGTACAAGTAGATGATTATAAAATAGAATATTTGTAAGGAAAAATAATATTGAATCTAGTATAAATATAATTACAGAAAGGAATAGTCTATTTTTTGTAACAAGCATTCACTAGTAACACTACAGATTTAATATTGACTTTTTAAAATTTATTTGTGAACATTTCTGATTCACAATTCCCTTTGCAATGTCCATATAACTTCAGTTTCTCCAGTTGTAGCAACAACTTTATAGCCCAATTCACCCAAGGCATTTACAACAACAACGGGAGCAGCTTTCAACATGATGCCGTTTATAACTTCCCTTTCCTCGTTTTGGCTGTATGGATACTTCTTCTGCAATGCCCTCGTTTCGATTTCATTTAAACCGAAAACAGAACTGTCTCCCGAATGCAGAGACCCTTTTACCACCACGTAAGCGCAATTGCCACTAGGCACAAGAACGCTAGCAGGGATATCCTTAATATCCATGGTTATTGTTCCTCCGTCGGGCTCAATTTAGCATGTACCACAGGTTTATCGTCGACTGCAATAATGGGTTCCGGTTCGGAAAAGTCCTTTCTCATAGTCCACATATATTCGTTGTAGTCCTGTTTGACACTCGTAGAAGATGACGCTACGACCCTGTATCCCAAGACCTCGAGAGCTGTGAGAACGACGCAAGGGTGCACCATGTACACTATCGTAGACTCATCGCAGTAACCCCCGGAGGTGAATCTCTGCAATTGCGTAATATCGTCCGGTTTAAGGCCCGAAACCAGCACTCTCCAAGGGAATCTCTGACCGTAGGCTGCTAAATTTCCACGCACGATAATATAGGGCATCGGGATAGAAAATTATGGTGAGGTGTTGGGTTGCCGATTAAAAATTTAAGGAATTTCACACACCCTTTTATATTGATTCTGTACACTGCAAACAACGTAACGGAATCGCTTTGGGAGTAATTACGCAATATTACCCACTTGTAAAGCGAAGGTTGTTTATTTTGTGATTTTTTGATAGCCGACCTACCTGTTGAAAAAATATTTCCGATGTTTACATTATCTGTATTCGACTTAACCGAAGCTTGATGTACTTGATGTGTTATCGCACTTATTTATTATGGGCCTAAAATGTTGTTACGTCTTTTTAAATTTGTATGAATAGAATATTTGTTAATTAAATTAATAAATTTGCACTTTTTTATAACCGAATCAGACTGGGCCTGGCCGGATTATATTATACAAACAAATACAAACATTACAAAACAAAATCAACATACCGATATAATCGATTTTTTGACGTTTAGATGGTCTCTTCTTTTAAAGGTAGTAAGTAACTGGTAACTAGTAAATAATATAGACAAAGGACGTGAAGTCGAATAGAACAATAGAAGGGAAGGATATGTCAAATGTCACGAAAGTTGGTAAGGGAATAAAAAAAATAAAAAACATAAAACACGTTTGATTGGTGTTTGGCGAACGAAAATTGAAATAAGCCGACAACGAGTCTAGCCAGTTAGGCGTCAATAGAATTGATTTTTCCAAAATACAAAAATATTGTTAAATTAACGTAACGTTAACTAATTCTGTACAATAAACATGCAGAACGTAATAAACAGCGTAAAGGGCACAGCTCTTGCAGTTGGAGAATACTTGACCCCGGTTTTAAAGGTACGTACTAAGAATTAAGAATTAACTACCCCCACTTGTATTACAATAATACAATAGCAATATTATTTATTTTTCGAAGGAGTCGAAGTTTAAGGAAACTGGCGTGTTAACTCCTGAAGAATTCGTAGCTGCTGGTGATCATTTAGTACACCACTGTCCTACATGGCAGTGGGCCGGTGGGGACGAGACCAAATCTAAACCATATTTGCCAAAAACCAAACAATTTTTAATTACCAGAAATGTGCCCTGTTCGAGGAGGTGCGAGCAGATGGAATACTCCAGAGATATGGAAAAAATTATAGGTAAGAACCGTTTGCATTTAATTTTAAAACACGTACAATTTATGGTTTTTTTAGAGTCCGACGATGCTGACAACGGTTGGATAGATACTCATCATTACGATAAAGAATTATCAACATCCTTAGAAAATAAAGTATCGGAAATGACACTGGAAAGTACAAAATCTGAAAGCATGGAAGACGCTGCTTTAAACAGCGAAAACGATGATAAAGAAAATGATGAAGAAGATGATGATGAGGAGGCAGCAGATATGGAAGAATTTGAAGAGAGTGGAATGCTTGAAGATGACCAGGTATATAAACGACTTATGCTAGTAAATAGTCTAATAAATAATTGTATTTTGTATACTTAGGTTGTTAAAGTAGTGGAGCCAGTTGATGAAAAAAAGAGCTCTTCTGAAGAAGGAGAAATAATACATACGAGAACTTACGATCTCCATATTACTTATGACAAGTACTATCAAACACCTAGATTGTGGTTAACAGGATATGACGAGGTAAACATGTTCGTTGGTTTTTTTGTTTAATAAAAAATTAATTGAATACTTTTTCAGAAACACCAACCTTTATCTGTAGATGAACTGTACGAAGATGTTAGTAAAGATTATGTACAGAAAACTGTTACAATGGAAACGCATCCCCACCTTAGTGTGCCTAAAATGGCTTCAGTTCACCCGTGTCGGTAAGATGTTACATTCAAATAATAATAATTTATTATCGTTATTAATGGTAATTTTTATTCCAATCCAGACATGCTGAAGTGATGAAGAGCATCATAGAAACTGTAATGGAAGGTGGGGGTGAATTAGGAGTGCATATGTATTTAATCATTTTCTTGAAATTCATGCAATCTGTTATACCAACAATAGAATATGATTACACTCAAAACTTTACAATGTAAAATTTTTGAATTTAAATATTTATAACTAAAAGTAGAGTCGCTCTGCGCCAGAGTGGCCCAACTGCGAAATTGTGTTATCCTGGTATAAACCGTGCAAAGTGCTGCATACTTTCTAAATTTCAAGTCCACATTGGCCCAAATAGCGCAAGTATGCACGCTAATTCTATTAGTGAAATGGAAAATCTCATTTGGGCCAATGTGGACTTGGAATTTAGAAAATATGCAGCACTTTTTCTGATTCATTCCAGAAATTCATTCATTTATAATGCAATATCGCAGTTGGACCATTCTGGCGATAAGCGACTCAGTAGTAATAGTAAACTAGTCTGCAAAAAAGATAAGACAAAACGTAATTTTGTAGTAACAGTAGATTTAATACATTTGCTAAATAAGCAGCATATTGAAACAAAAAGATGTGATAAGCTAATTGCTCCAGTGGTCTCGTAAGAAACGCCATGAGAACATGCAGACTAGTGATATTCATTTTATTTTCATAATCTCATATGTACTCATAAATTTTGCCATACTAAACGCTGTTAATTTGCAACAATTCTTCGAATACTTTAACGGTCAATTAGTTTAATGTAGTGGCAAAGTGTTTTATTTTATATATTTAATTTTGGGGTTCAAATATTATCTAAACATTCTATAAAAATTGTTATTTTTGTTATTATTTTGCTTTGAAAATGTCTAAATAAAATATACTTGAGCTGTTATTAATCTAATTAATTATTAAAATAAAAACGGTACATCAAAATTACACATTAGAAAAACCACAGATATTATCACAGAATTAAACCGAGACGGAATTACTGCAATTCCAACTCCGTACCGAGATTAACGCTAACATTAACGCCCGCGCCGCCGTTTTCGTCTATCGAATATGTAACTAAGCACATTTCTTCGCTATCATTATCGGTCAAAAGCTGAAAATTGTTCAGCCCTTGAATCGAACCTTTCCCTAAAGTATCTTCCAAAATTAATTCATTAGCTTCGGTAGCCTCCAGCAAATCTAACGTAGACGAATGGGTTATATCCTGAAAAAATAAGAGTTATATTAGTTTTTTTAAGAATTGTTGGATTTGCATGGCCAGTAGAATATTGCATCAAAAATGTATCTAATTTATCCAAAGAAATTTGCAATAAACTTGGTGGATTGCTTGCTATTTTTGCTTAACATTTTCTAACTATTCAATTGACTTTGTAAACACTGTACTGTATGGTTCATTTCAGTTTGCAATATGGTTATTTTAATGATTTGAACAAAGAAATATTATATTGCATAGCCTATATTGCAAACAAAAATGAATCAATCTGTACGAGTACTCACGTCGCCGTAATGTTGTTCTTGCACAGAAGAAATTTCAATAGGCACTAAGGTCCCGTCCGGCATCAATCCTTGCATATTATTGTCATCATCTCCTGAGGTTACAATAGGAATGGTTTGACCGTCTTGGGTCGTTATGCTTACAGGATTCCCTTGTTGATCGATGAGTTGGGTCAATTGCAATGTATTACTTTTTTCCGTTAACGGCAAATTAAATGTTTTCTTTACACACTTTTGTAGTTTTACGTGCTTCTTGAGATTGCACTTGTCTAGGAAAAAAAAATGATTAAAAATAAGAGCGTATGATAATCATACACCTAAGTGCATACAAGTTTTACAATATGGTCACTTCTACGAGTTGAATAAAGAAAGATTATTCAAGTAACAGTTGTCAGAGTGACATAGTTGCAATCACCCTAGTTTTTCCTTTATTAGTGTCTAATGGAAGTTGTCCTTGTTGCACCCATAGACCATATTGCATAAAAATATGCACTTATCTGTATATCAACTGCATTACCTGAGAATGTCTTTTGGCAATAATCACATTTGTAAGGTTTCTCTCCAGTATGAAGTCTTTGGTGGTTCTTCAAGCTAAAGCGTTCCATGAACGATTTATTGCACACGGAACATACGAAGGGACGGTCATTGTAATGTCGACGAAGGTGCAACTTAAAAACGTCCTTATGCAAGAATTTTTTACTGCATATTTCACATTCCCACGGTTTCTCGCCTAAGAGAGCAACACCTTTTACTTATCAAAACCAATCGACAAATAGACAACATACCTGTATGTCTCTTAACGTGAATTTTCAATTGCGAAGACGTCGTGAAATTTCTACCGCACACCTCGCAGAAGAACGGCTTTTCACCGGTGTGAATCCTTTTGTGTTCTAATAGGTTGCCGTTTTGCGAGAAGCTCTTCTGGCAGTACTCGCAGGTGTAGGGCTTCTTGCCTTCGTGCAATCTTTGGTGCAAACTCAACGACGTCTTGTGGGCGAATTTCTGTTGGCATTTGGGGCACTCGAAGCGTTTCTCTTTCGTGTGAACCGCTTCGTGGTTCATTAGGTTCGCTTGGGTCTTGAATCCAGAGTTGCATATAGGGCAGATGTAGGGCCGTAAATCGGAATGGACGATCTATAAATAATAAGAATAAGAGGAATTGTTTCTTGATTGATTTTTAATAATAATATGTTACCTGATGCCTTTGAAGGAGTTGCTTGTTTTTGAACGTTTTGTTGCATTTGTTGCAAATGAATCGTTTGTGTGCGTGCTCGGTTTCTTTATGGTATAGTAAACTACTTTTATGTTGTAAGACTTTTCCGCAAATTTTGCAGGGATAACACTTATTGTTGTTCGCCTTTGGTTCGGTTTCTACATTGGTTACATCATGGGAATCTTTCACAATTTCTTCCATTGTAGTATCGGCTATGGATTCCTAAGAAAGACGGAATGTAATTGTAATTTCATGTAAAAACATGCTGTTTTATTATAAAAATATGTACCATTGTGGCCTGTTCGTTAAATTCGATTTTGATATTATTGTTCTTCTCATTTTGTGTGGCGTTTTCTTCACTTTTATGGCAATTTAAATGCTCGTTAAAATTCGCTTCCTGAATGAATATTTTGAAACAATATGGACATTCGAATTTTTTGAAACTAACGGTTTTTTTGAAATTAACTGAAATGTAATAGATATTTATGTTTATAAACACTTTACACTTAGTACATATAGCATACCTTCTTTAGTTTTTTGCTTAATAAAAATTGGTTGTCCTAAATCTTCCCCGTATTCACTTTCGATTCGGCCTATAATAATTTCGCCAGCAAAATTTTTAACTTCTGCCTTATTTTTACAAATTTCTTTCTTCTCGTCAATTACGCCTTCTTTTTTCAAAATTTCATCCAACTCTTTACCCTTGAAATAAAAAAAATAAAACATATCCTTTAATGGTAGTTTCTAAAATTCCTGTTACCTGTACAATACCATCAAATCTAGCAGGTGCCTTAACTTTTCTTTTTCTCCTACCATCGGGGCCAAGTTCCTCCTCCTCTTGTTCTTCTTGTTCTTGCACTTTTTCTTCGATATATCCAACTTTTACTTCAACCGATTTCTTGGGAGGTCTACCTCTTTTCTTCTTCGGTTTGTCCAATCCCTCGGCTCTTAATTTTAGCTCGTGATCAGATAAATACAAGGTAGACGCTAATAACTCTATAATGCGAAAAAAATGATTTAAATAAACAAAGCATTATGTTACAAGATGATTATTTACTATTGAAGTACTCGGTTTCTAGTTCAGCAATTTTCATCTTTTTCTCTTGTCTTTGGCCGATTTCCCTCAATTTTAATTGGCCCCTAATTATCAAATCCATGAATAATTTAGTAGCCTCCAGTTGTATGTGGCATCCTGGGCAAATAATTTTCGGAAATTTATCATTTTCTTCCACCTAAAAAGACTTTATTCAATTCAAATTTCCCAAACAACTATGATGATCAAGTTAAGTACTGAATTGAACGATTGACTTACCACAATAGGCAAATACTTGTTAATTAACTCGCTTAATTTTGCGGAATTATCGTTTTCGTTGAATAAATCTACCCCGTTGTGGTTTTCTTCGGCACAAAGCCTACAAAATTTTGAATCTCTTAGCAAAATTTGATCCTCCATTTTGACTATTGAGTCGGAAGTTGAAGTTCAATCAATGTCACAATATCATTTAAGTCTATAACAATTCTGCCAACATATATTTTTTTCGAATCTGTAATCGATTTAAAATCGAATGATTTCTCTACTTCTTTGTGCTCTATTGTGATCTGTTGTTGCTATTCAGTCTTATAAAACTGGCCTGACAACTAGATCAAGATTAAGACCACGAAAATTGTCACAAGTATCTGTCACGTCACGTTTGGTTCAAAATTATCTGTTTTTAAATTTCTAGTGTTTTCATGATTTTTGTAATATTACTGTGTTAAACAATGAGCAGTCCCGGTGCAAGTTATTCTACGGCATTTTCATGTATGATTCTAGCCGGTGCAGGGGGTTATTGCTTAAAGAACATTGAAAATTTCTGCCGTTGTGCCATCTCCAACGATTTATCAAAGTGTTCCTTTATAATAGTAATCGTTAATTCTGTTATTGGTATATGGAGATATGGTGAGTTATACGAGGCATTTAAGGTAGTTGATTTGTATAGGTTGTATTTATTTTGAAAAATTTCAGGTAATCCAGTTTATGGTCAAGCTGTAGACAAATTACATAAAGTTACTACAGCCGTACAAGATTTAGTAGTGCTTCCTATGATTGTTGCAATTTTAATGGAAAAGTACAATTGTCACATCGAAATGATCTACGGCTGCTTGGCTGCCCCCGTAATTCCTCTAATATGCTCTATCATTGGCACAGACACTCTAAAGACTGATTTTGAAAAGCTCGTAACGTTCTTTGGTTGTGCTGGAGTAGCTTACTTATGTTATATGAACAACAACTATTATGGTGCTGCTACGTGCTTATCAAGTATAATTAAAGTATTTTGTTCTGATGATAATAGTTTAAAAATACCATCGCAGGATTTAAGGAATTATGCAATGTGTTTCTTCACATATTTTGCTCTTAAGGCCATTACTGATTAAGTTCATTATTATACATAGACGGCCTATACATACATATTTTTAAAGCCATTTTGAAATATACAATTTTTTTAATGACCAACATAACTATTTTATTACATTTTGTACAGATTATAGTTTTTCTTTTTAATAATTTTTAATTCAAATAACCAAGAAGCGCTTAATTTTTAGTTATCATGCTAAGATGTATGATAAAATGTCGCTTTAATCAATAAGGGACTCTTCCAAAATTATTGGACAGTTATAAACTATATTTCAGATTGCTCTTTAAGTGTTTTAAGTTATAACATCTTTTTTTATAAAATATTTTTTGTTTAATGTCTTGTGGTTTATATGTAGTAGTATTCAATAGTACACAAACATTCTAAATAAATTTCAACGAATATAACATTGTTGTGTTCAACTTAAAAAAAGTAGGTTTATTTTTATAATGAAACGACTGTAAGTAGGTATTTTTAAAATAATATACGAGCATAAAGCTTTTTTGCGGGTTTGCGTGCATGTGATGTAAGCATATCATATTCCGTTTATTCTATTTTTCTAAGAAATATATTGCGCTAGATATTATGTATATACAATTTAAAAAAAACGTACTGGAATAAATGAAGAAATATATTAAGATAATAGATTTGATTTTTTAATACCTCAATAACCTCTAGAAGCAACGAGAACAGTAAAAAATGTTTAATTTAAAAATTTCATTTTTATTTTCTATGTATACTACAATACAATCAAAAATAATATAGTAAGTAAAGCTGAAAAAAGTGTATACCAAATGACTAGAATTAAAAAATACTCCCAGTTGCAAAAATTTTTGAATCAATAACACTGAACTACCGCTAAGTAGTAGGTTAATTTATCTAAGTTCTTTTTAGCAACCGATCAACATTATAGTGAGATCAATTTTAAAATATCTCCAAGGCGAGATATTTTTGTAAAATAACGGGAATGGGCAGTGTTTGAATTCGAGATAACATCCTTACAGGTCCAATCTTCCTTCTAATAACTATTCTACAAATTTCTTTCAAATTCAACGGATTGGTTTTGACATGAACCAGAAAATCACAGGCCGGATCCGGGGATTTCGTCCTCAATGCTCTGGGATCCCACGACATTTCCGATAGTTTAAATCCTCCATATACCTTTAAAAACGTTTATAATTGTAAAATATTTAACATCGACGATTATTCCAATGCTTACTAGTAGTCTAACCAGATCCAAATCCCCGTGTCTTTTGGCTAAACTCAAATTATCCACATACGCTCTCTCGTCTTTCAGATTGACGTCGGCGCCTCTTTGCACTAAAGCCGTAGCCGCGGTCCTGTTTTCCAAGATAATGGAGTAGAAAAGCACGTTTCCTTGGTAACTCGACGCGTCCATATCGGCGCCATAATTGACGAGCAAATCCACAAGCTGGTAAATACATTTCGCTTCCCTGACATCCTGGACGCACACGTGCAAAGCCGTTTTACCGTCAATGTGGCTCGCAGCGTTCGCGTCAGCTCCTCTGGATAGAAGGTACCTGGAAAATTGGAAGTACATAGGTCAGTTTCTTCCAGCTACTTTTAACACTAATCTTGATGGAGGGGTGTTCTTTAAGTTCATTTAAAGGTATTAGGATCAAATTGGTTCAGGGAGGAATATTCAAAAATATTTAAAGAATCAAATAGTAGATATTTTCATGGAGAAGTATTCTAAAAGTTTATTTAAAGTGACTTTAGAGAATAAAATAGTAGATATTTTGGAGGAAGAATATTATAATAGTTTATTTCAATTAGAAGCTAAAATAGGATAAAATTGGTGGAGGAATTTTAAAAAATTATATTTAGAGAATAAAATAGTAAATATTTTCTTGGAGAAGTATTTTAAAAGTTTATTTAAAGGACTTTAGAGAATAAAATAGTAGATATCTTGGAGGAAGAATCTTCTAAAAGTCCATGTAAAGACTAAAATAGGATAAAATTGGTGGATTAATTTTCAAAAATTTTATTTAGAGAATAAATTAGTAAATATTTTCATGGAGAAGTATTTTAAAAGTTTATTTAAAGGACTTGAAAGGATTTTAGAGTATAACATAGTAGATATTCCAGAGTAAGAATCTTCTAAAAGTTCATATAAAGGCTAAAATAGGATATTGGTGGAGGAATATTCAAAAATTTTATTTAGTGAATAAAAATAGTAGATATTTTGGAGGAAGAATCTTCTAATAGTTCAAGTGGCTAAAATAGTGCAACTATATCCCCCCTTAATTACCAATTTCCAATAAATACTTGCATTATACTACATGCAATAGAGAAATATTATTACTTTGCTATTGATATATTCTTCCTGGAACATGCCACCATCAAGGCCGTTTGTCCTTGATCGTCCTTCGAATTGATTACAGCTCCGGAATCCAGCAATATTTTCACGATATCCACATTATTATTTGAAACAGCAACGTGAATTAAATGGTGCGAATGAATCACCCTGGCGCCGCCATCGATTAACACTTTCACCTGGATACAAGTCAAATTTGAAGTTTTAATTCGTTTAATTTGATTATAGGAGGCTTACTGCCGGTGTATTATTCGCCCAAACGGCCAATCTCAACGCTGTCACCCCGCCGGGTTCTTCGTGATTCACTCTGGCGCCCTTCTTGATTAAATATTTGATCGTTTCCACGCAACCACACCGAGCAGCGCAAGTTAGTACAGAGTGTTCTTCTACGTCAACGGCGGTGATATCTGCACCTGAAAAAAATCAAATGTTAGAAGTATGTATTAACGTATACATGATGGATAAACTTACCTGCTTCGACTAGTAATTTGACAATATGTAGGAAAGCCCCTCGAACAGCGACTTGCAGGGAATTTTCCCTAAGTCTTCCCCCGATGGCGTTTACATTGGCCCCTTTGTTCAAAAGCAATCTAGTCATTTCTATATCGCCGTTTCCAGCTGCAATGTGCAGAGGCGTAAAGCAACAGGCATCAGTTTGATTTATGCTAAAATGATATAACAAATGAATACTTTATGGAGAGTTTAGAACGCCCCGTTTACCTCAAATCTTTCTCTAGTATTGTTAGTAAGTATTTCACCATGTCTGTGTTGCCTGAATTGACTGCATAATGTAAAACGCTCTGTCCGTGGCGATCCAATCTAGCCAAATCGCGTTCAGGGGAATCCAATAAAATCGAAGTACGGGTTAATATGTTAGCGTACCACTTGTACATGTTTAGATCGTGTTCTTCGAGAGTGGAGTCTTCTTAAAAAATAGTACATTAAGGTATTTGAATTAATTTTGGGCTCGAAAATAATTTATGTACCAATAGTAATGTCTCCTTCGGTGACTTCCATGTCCCATTCGAGGGCATCCATGCCGTCCGGAGTGGGCCCATCGCCGAATTCGTTCTCCTCTACGTCTTTACAAACTACAAAGTAGCCTATGTTTTTGTACTTTCTCTGTTCGGAGGAGTCTAAAGGTAAGTAATGGGGTTTACAAAGATTTTCGTTTCTTAGATCCAAGTTTAAATTGAGGTGGTGTTCTAAAAGTGCCTTCAAGGCGGCTAGATTTCCCGTCTGCGCCGCCGTTCCCAATAAAGTCATGCCATTGGAACATATTTTATTGATATTTACGCCTGTAAATAAGCGAATTTAGTTTTTGTGGCTAACGAGACGTAGCTTTTCGTACCTTTGTTTAAAAAGCAATGCAGTAGAGAGACGTCGTTTTTGTATAAAGCTTGCATGAACTCTTCATTGGGATTCTCCATTATAAGATTTCGTTTTTTCGATATTTGCCAGCATTTTTAATTGTTAATCAAAAATGTGCATTTTTCAGGTAGATATGGCGATATTAAAGGCCTAAGATTTTTCATTATCGACATCATAGAGAAAGAATAATTTGTCTATGAAAGTTATAAACAAACATTTCAATATCAACACATTTTGACATTAGAAATGACGTTAACATATCTGACGTTTGACATTTACTTCAAAACAATCAATCGGCCTTTTACTTAACGATTATCTGCGTATTTGCACTGGGCTTGAAAAAATAACTAAAATCCTAATTGCTCATCTGTAGGTTTGTAGGATGTTGTTTGATATAAAATATAACGTCTCACGACCCATTGGCGTTCGTGACAACACATAAGTGCAAATTTTTATGGGTGCAAAAAGACCACTTCTATTAGTGTTATACAGATAAGTGCAAATAAGTACGCAAAATGGTCTATGGATGGATGCAACAAAGACAACTTTATTAACCACTGTTATTTTAATATTCTTTCTTTCTTCAACTCATATAATGACTATATTGCAAACAAATCTGCACTTACCTATATTAAGGAAAAGGAATGGGTGATATTGTGGCATTGCAACTTTTTCCCTCTAACCACTGTTATTTTAATAATTTTTCTTTGTTCAACTCGTAGATTTGACTATATTGCAAACATATTTGCGCTTACCGCTCAAATGAAATACATTCATTACTATATTTGTGAATAACACTTTATTTTAAATTCAAGCATATACAAAAACATATGTTGATGTAAAACTACATACGGTGTACAGAATAAATTAAAAATTATCTCCTATTCGGAAAGTACATAATTTCAGTCAGAACATAAACGGGTATCACTATAAAATAACTCACTATTTAAAATTTAAATATCGAATAAAAAGAACCCACCGAGAGATGGTACCTGGGGTTGCCTGGGCAACAACACCTTGTTGATGGTGTGAACCACTCCGTTGGTCGCCATATTATCACAACTGGTTACAATTGCCCCGTTAATGCGTACTCTGCTTCCCGTTCTTCCTATTTCCACTTGGGTGTTGCTCAACGTCGAAACGAAACTGCTGAAACCCCAAGATTGCGGCCCGACGCCCGAACAACACAGAACCTCTGAAAATTAAATGCAAAATACAGAAAAAATGCATCAAACTACAATGTTAAATATCATAATAATACAGGAATAATTGGCAACAAGGCAACACATATCTTTTCGAATTTATTAGATTTTTTACGAACCAAATAATCAACTACCCGACATGCTTCATTGTCAAAACAACTTGACTTTTCAAATGATTTTCAGTAAACCCACCCGAAAAATTTACCGTAAAATAATTTTTAATCCATATAAGAAAACGCAACCTTTATGGGAGGCAGTCAGAGCAAATTCAGCCCGGAACCGAGAGACGCTTGGTACAGAATGATGGCCCAAAAGGAACCCAAATTCCTCGAAAAAGTGCTCCAAGCCATCGTAGAACTGAAAGACACCAACGGTTCATCGCAAGGAAGGATCATCGATTACATCAGAAACTCCCTAAGCGAGGTGATACTATCCCAGAGACCCAGGAACTTGGTCATGCAGGTTAAAAGGGCCATGCATTACGCCGTTATACACGGAATGGTCAGGCAACGCGGCGGGAAATTTTTCCTGGCGCTCAATCAGAAGGATTACGACACGTTTACTGGCCTGCGTTCTATGAAACCCATGAAGGAAAGTTCCAATGAAAACTCGGCGAAAAATCCCGCGAAATCGTCGACTAAGCGGAAAACTGCGACGAATCAAAAGAGAATCGACCGGAAAAAAGAAAACAACAGCGCCAAGCGAACAGAGAATAATCAAACCAAAGAAGAGAACGATGGTAAAAGTGAAAGGAAAAAAGAATAATTTAAGATATGGAGACGTTTATAGCACTTGTGAAGTATAGTTTTGTCTTAATTCCTATGATAAAATGTTAAAAACATTTTTAATAAAACCTTATGTATGAGGTATATCACTAGTATTTTGCAGTAACATTCCAACTATACACCATATGTACACTAACTCACCGGTTAAAATGTGGTTCTTCAAAACATATTCAGCTTTCTTCTTATCGTTCAATAAAGCTTCCTTATCTTTCTCGTCCAACGCCGCAAAGGTCTCATCCGTGGGCGCCAGGAACGTCAGGGATCTGTTATTCTGTTGCAAAATCCTCTCGGCTTCGGTGTCCTTCAGGAGGGTCCTCAAGGTGGAGTATTTGGCGTCGTTCGCGATCACTTCCAGGATGTTTTCAGTCGGGGGAACCAGGAATTTGTTTACCTCGTGAAGCACCGAACCGCAAGCTTTTTCGTCGAAACCGACCAATCTGGCGCAGTTTACCGTGGCTCTGTTCACTACGTTAGTGAATAGAGGTAGCTGAAATATATTTATGTATGATTATGTAAAATTATATACTCGGGGTTGAGTAAGTATTAGGTATCTGATAAGTTCAAGAGGTTGTATAGAAGAGGTAAAAGCATCAAGTATTATCGAGTACTGCATTTTTTCATGTAGGAGCAAATAATGTTATTTTTAATCGAAATGGGTGACTTACAGTCGAATATAAATTCAATCTTAATTCCTTTCCTTCATTGTAGGTTTCCAATTTCGCGTTGTTGTTCATGTCGTTGGAGGGCATCAGACCTTTGACCGTGTGATATCTGATCATATCTTTCAATTTCTCCGGATCGTTTTCCATTTCTCCTAGCAGTTTTTTTCCTTCGGTCGATTCGAAAACCGCGTTACTCGGTACAAAAATTGTGGCGTTCTGCAAACTGTTGATTTGTTCGTCTAATTCCGCTTTTTGGATAAGTTCTTGGAATTTTGAGTAGTTTCGGTGGTTCAAGACGTTGCCGATGTAGAGACCTACATACATGTTTAACAATAGAGTTTATGATTTATGTTTGATTTTTAGGGACCAAAAGAGTGTTAAACCGATTAAAAAATAACGAGAAAGCATAAAAAATTACAAAAATTATGAATTTATGTAGATTTCTTGCAGAAGAGACATTCAAAAAACCATCAAAAAAGGGCATTCAAAATCGACTGAAGAAAAAAAATGAGACATGGATAATTTACCTGAATCCGGTATAATAATGGTATCGATCAAATGAATAACACCGTTGGTTGCAACAACGTCAGCTTCCACAATTTTTGCAGTTTTTTCGAAAATCAATTCGTCCTCGTTAGTCCTTTGCATGTGTACTGTATCCCCTTCTACGTTGTGAGTGGTCGCATTTCCTACGATTGCCGGGGAGCAAATCGTGTGAGGCGTGAAATGGAATTTCAGGATGCCTGGAATAAAATTTCATCAAAACAAAAGTCATAAATGGTGAGGATTTTGAAGATATTTAGATGAGTTTTGATGGGTTTTTAGGGCTGTTACTCTCCCTTCTAGATGTATATGAAGTAAGTGTATGCGTACTTGCAGAGCATCCTGATCCACTCAGAATCTTCTGTCGTTGGGATTCGTCTAATTTAGCGAATGCTTCGTCAGTTGGAGCGAAAACTGTGTAATGCCCGTTAGACTTCATGCGACTAGGAATATCTGTGTTCGAAATTGCTAAAAAATAAATAAAAATTTAATTATATATTAATATGAAATTAATCCAATGGATATTTTTATAAGTTAAATTTTGAGTAATAATATTCTTTTTTCAACATATTGTAAATTGTAATAGTTTCGAACCTTTGCTGAACATCCTCAATTTCGGGTGTTCCTTGATAACGGTTTCAACATTTTGACTAACCGGCACGACTATACCGTCTGTCACGTGGATTATACCATTTTCGGCTAAAACATTGGGAGTTTTCACTCTGGCGCAATTGACGGTATACAATCTTTCTCGAGTACTGGTCGGATAAATGTTTATTCTTATGGAACTGTTGTCGTTTTCGCTAAAAGCCAGAAAATTATTTACGGGATAATTATAATAAATTGGCAGTGTTACTAATGAGTTTATTATGTGATAGGCACTTTAACACAATTTTTTATGTATAATGCCTTAAGAAAGGATACTTTTCCCTTTGAACTTTCGTACATATTATCAACAATTTTGAACAAATGGGTTACCTGTATATGACTTCATCGTTATCAATTTCTGTTAAATCGAGGAATCCTTGCACAGCATGGCTCAGGACTAGCTCCTTCGCGGGGATGCTAGGGCTTGCCCTTCTTCTGCGGACTACTTCAACAACGTTATTCTGAAAGGACAGCAGAGTTAATTAATTATCGTCAAAAGAGACATGTTTAATTTAGAAATTGCTATAAAATAATTAATTTGCAGAGGTCATTGACTGGTTCATTGACTGACCTAGTGATGAATAATCTTTTTTTTAAGCTTATAACTGCTCGAATTCCGAAGGAAACGAGGTCGCCGGATAACATTTCTTTCGAAAGTCGAATCGATATTGTTCGAACTAAAACATCACTTTGTTACAAATTTCATTAGAGAAGTTAATTAATACGATCCATGTACATATTTCTATTATTTTTAAGTAGAGCGGTCTCTATAGAAACGGTTTCTCTACTAAAGATTCTATTGACTTTGAAGAGACCATACCATTCAAATAAGCACTAACCATTTCATTCAACTTTTCATTGTAGTCTGCTAAGCCATTGTCGCTGGGAGCGAACAACGAGTAGTTCCCGCTGTTGAATTTCTCGTCCAAACCAGCAGTTTTGATTAAATCTCGGAATTCCTTGATTTTAATGTCGTCCAAAGTCTGCAGAAGCGGCTTCAGATCGGCCAATTTTTCGCATCCTCCTTTCGTGCGGCCGTAACCGTAGCAACACTTATAGCGCACCGTGAACGTTTTAATTACACCGTGATTATTAATTCTAAAAAATTAATTAATAATTAAACAATTAATAAAAACTAACGTCCTAGAATGTTTGTGATGGAGCGATGGAGTTCCCGAATTTTGTACATGTCAGTTAACAAATAGCATAGTTGCGATAAGAAAATCAACGAGTTTGGGTAATTAAGAATTAGAAGGCAACAAGTATTTAATTTAATTATTTCGATAAGCTGCGTGGGATTAACATTGTTACGAGTAATTGTTCGAAGGCCTTTCCGGTCTACTAAACTGAAAATACTTGGTTTTTTTAAGGTAAGCGCGATTGTTCTTTTGTTACGGATAATGGCAAAGTAATAGCTTCTCAAAGGTTATTGCAAGTGCAAGATAGATAAGAATATTTTGGATGTAACATAAAAAATAATAAAGCGTGGATTCGGCATTGAATATGCCTACAGAAACTAAGGTGTTTGATTTGCCTAGCATTGTATCTTCATGATATAATTTTTAATTGTATTTGTGACACACTGTATAACACATTAAACGTCAAAAAATTTCATGAGTTGAGAATTTGATTTTTATCATTTATGAGTCACCTCCATAAAATAAACACGTTTTATGAGTCACATATGCCTTGCTCTAAATCGAGATTGATTTTATCACAACACAGATGATAGTACCGGTCGGTACCATTTTCAACTTTCTTAAAACCAAAGTGGATCATCAGCTTACGCTTATTTACACCGGGAACCACAGACTTGAATTTGAATATTTCGAATATAAAACATACAGTCATCTGGGGTTTGCAGTTAATTCAGAGACAAGGAGAATAATGAATGCCATTATATTATTACTCACTTAGTGAGACATTCGTATTTGCTGGGCGTTTCGAAGCAATTCGAGAGGCTGATGGACGTCGAGAACAAATCTGGTAAAGTTTTTGGTGCTTGTGTGCTCGAGTTTTTCTTTTCTTCGTTATTCTCTCCTTCTTCGTTTTCGTTGTCGGTACTTTCTTCCCTTTCTACGCAGACGTTTTCCCTAAAAACAATGACCGAATAAATTAATTTTGGTAGTTATAGGCCAGTGAATTGACTGCATTTTCATTGATTTATGGCATTTTTAAATAGGGTAGAGATAAGTGGATTATTACTTTGAGAATGGTTCAAAACAATTCAGAACAATTTTCAACGCCTCAGATCAATTTAAAATACGTTTGTAAAAGATTATTGTATTATACGATTGTATTATGATATTGATTCATGATATTTTCTAGAAAAATTAAAAAGCATATAATTATAATTATTCAAAGCGAAAAATGTTAATATTGGTAATGAATATTAACAATCCTATTACAATTTAATGGAAATAATAGTAACCCATACATTATTAATACAAATTATATTGAGCATTGCGAAATAAATTGATTGAATCTATTTCTAAATTTCTTAAGTATTTAAAGTTATTAAGTATAATTTTTTTAATCATTCGATTTTGACGTGCTCAATTTGGATCAGGCCGCGAGCTCTTGTTAATTAAGTGTTGAGAATTAATTGATTTAATAGGCAATTAAATAGTCTTGTAGGTATTACCACCACATTAGAAACCACAATTATTAATTATTGCGTAATAATAAGTTCAAGGTTTAATGTTATTAAAAAAACATTTTATGCCTAATTTCTTGGAAAGCAGTCGGTAGGGAAAAAATTTTAACTCCAGGTTATTTAGAATCCCTTGGGTAAAATACATATATCCATTGTAATACTATTTAACTTTCCTAAGTTTCAAACTGACCTTGATAATTCACATTTATTTGCAATTTTAAAAGGTTCGTTGATCTTGAAAACTGTTACTGAAAATCTAAACTCAATGGATGTTAATTGGAAAAAATGTCAACCAGTTAAGTGTGAAATACATAAACGAAACAGTGCAGTTCGAAACAATTATCTTGTCTCGTTATATTTACTGTTAGGAAGGAAACTGTGGAAACAATTACTTTACTATACCTACATAAAAATCTAGGTCTTTGAGAGAAGATTTTATTCGTTTGTGATGAATATGCCGAGTTTTATTTATGTTGTTGTATTAACATTTTCTACTGACTTGTAATTTATTTATTTTGTCGATTAAAAATATTGTAGGTACCATTCATTTTCGATAATTTATATATTGGTTAAAAATTCTTATCAACATTTATGGAACTATTGTTTAGGAAAATTAATTATAAAAATAATTATTGGATTGTTTCATTATAGAAATAATTTCCTTCTTTTACAGATAAACAAGTATAAAAATTTTTATATTTTCTCCCTTAAATTTCACTTAACTTTTAGCTGACCTAATTTAAAAGCACTAGTTTCTTTATAGAAAGTATTTCGAAAACACCCACTTTCTCGATTGATATTCATCACGATTTAGGACTTTTATTGTTCTATTCTTTGTAAAAATAACACCTACGGGTCACACATTTGAATGGAAGTTAAAAATTATTGATACATATACAGGACGAACCTTATGAAAGTGTATCACATCTTTATAACAAAAAATTTAATTGAAATTATTAGTGCAGCTTGAAAGCACATATCAATTTACATACACTATTTTTTGTAATATAAGAGGTAACTTATTTGCAGTAATAATGGCACACTTTGTATATTAGAAAGCCGATCATATTATCACAGTAGGCTATTTATTTATTTCACACTTGACCCATAATTTTTGCTACCTGATAACAATTTAATTTCGACATTACACAATTAATAATTAACAATGTCAATTATAATTCAAATATCTTAGTCGTGAAAAAAACGTATTGCTCATGTAGCTGAATAATTCAAATGTTTAATTGAAGTTACTTAATGAACTAAAAGTGGATATTAATTCGTAAATACCATGGGAAATTCTTTAAATAGGAACAATAAAGCATTCTGCATTGAGAAAGTTTTATTTTAATGTTAAAAAATGCAATACATTGGATGGGATTATATCGTTCCCTTATCAAATTAAATATGCCGGGTGTTTTCATATTTCCTAAGTTTTAAGTAATATGGAAAACCTGGGACCTATACTCTCTATAATCTTAAAGGGGCGGAGGCTCGTACGAGGGAAAGCGAGTTATAGTACCATACTTGAAAAACCCAAAAACCAAGGAAATAAACTGTACCCGATTAGTACCGTGAAAGTGAAATTTTTAATGAGGTTCACTCATTGCTGTCATTACTGATGACACGTGTAATTTTACGAACCATTAATGTAAAAGTTCCAGAACAATACTTCTTTAAACAAGTACTAAACGTATGTATGTATTTATAGAAGAAATTCGCTCTTGAACCATATGTTTTGGTTCTGCGTATCTGCGAATAAAGGCCGTTAGTTGACGGACAAATTAAATTTTTATATCTTTAAAATTGATAAGATTACAAATTTATATTTGTAAAATAAGTACATCTTGCATGTTAAATATTGCGGATGTTTATTTTTTTCGTTTCTCTATCTGCAGAAAAATAGAAGGAATATTTTTGGATTTGTTAATTTAGAGTAGGAATTTAATACATGTCAGAATTCTTGAAACTTCCTGTTTTTTTTGGTATAAAATATCTATTTAGTTATCTTAGGATGTACAAAAAATGAGGTTTGTTATATGCTTCTATGTTCTTATAAGTTTGGATTATTAGAACAAACTAAAAAAATATGACCAATAAGTTTTTTGAGCATTGTTCAGCATTGTCAGAAGAATTCATAAAAAACATTCGATAAAATCAAATATTTATAACAATAGTAATTTGCAATGACTATTGCAATTTTACGAAAAAACTGTTCATAAGATAAATTCAAGACAATTTGTACATACACTAATACATATATTTAAAAATGTAACTTATGATAAAATTCAACAAAAATTCAATGTTCAATTCAATACAATGTTTTCCAATAAATCATGATTTTTAAAGAAAGAAATACAATAAAATACCAGAACTAGATCTCTCAGAAGAGCGATCTTAAGAAAAACATTTTTATAGGAATATTTCGATTCAGAATCACTCCTTAATATTTATCCTATCATTCCTGACTTTCTTTCTTTTATGTAACCACCCTCACCATTCTTTAAAAAGTAACGTTTCACTAACGCTATTAGTATCTATCTACTCGTATAACTATTTAACAAAATCTTCAACATCTTACCCTTTCCACCATTGGTTAACTTGGAACGAATTGAGCAGGTCACCGATTCCAAAAGGCCTGGAACCCAGCCCGAACGAAGAAGCGAAATCAAACTCCGGCAAATCGACCAGAGGCCCTCCGAAGCCGCCGGCGTCGACGCTCACGACGCCCCCGTGTAGCAGAGCGTCCTCCGGTTTGCCGGCGCCTTCGGACGGCTTAGGCTTAGGCGTCGGGCGAAGGACGGGCTTTTGCTCGGAGCTGGCCGGCACTGGGTCCTTGTAGTTCTTCGAGAGCGGCTCTTTCCGCTCGTCGCTGGCCTCCTCCACGTCGTCGGGACGGTCGACGGCGCGTCTGCTTTGCACCGGGCCGTCCCAGTTCCAGTTGAGTTTGAGAGGCTCCTGCTGCAGCTCGTGGAACAGGCTCAAGTCACTGAAACGGGAATTTCTATTGGCGAAGGGCTATTGAGATATGTATTATTTTTACTGGGCGATTTCAGGACAATATAACGTATGGTAATAACGATGGGGATGTTGCATTATTGGAGAATAATGAGATTTGTTTGATGAGAAAATACCTTAGAACTGCTAGTTTTTATTTTTTGTAAAATATTACGTAGATATAATTGCACTAAAATAATTTTATCTAGTGTAATTAAGTACCTAATATTTCCTGGTTTATTTTTTTGTCATATGAGTACATGCTGGTACCGCGAGTATGTTACTTTACCTTTATTTTTTTGATAAATCAATATTTTTGTACGTTTTAAAAAGTAGACCTTCTAATTTTCATGCTATGCCCAAAATAGAAGATATCTTGTACATTATTTTGTTTTCTTTGTGAATTTTAATAGTGGGATAACCTTGTGATTACTCATAAAAATATGGAGGTATTGATTCGACGTAATTAAATTGAATAGAATTAAAATCAATGCATAATAAGACAATTGTACAGATATAAAAAATAAAATGGCGATATCTCAGGAACCATTTGAAGTAGTTTATACAAAAAATCATTTGAACTCGTTAACTAAATAACTTTTCTCATACATTTTTCGAAACTAAAGAAAAATTGGAAAACATACCTGTAAAATTCAAGCCTGGCTTGCACGAAAAGCCATAAAATATTGGATATGAAAATTGTTTTCAATATCATTTTCTCTCTTTTACACAATATCAAATTATTCGTATATTCGATGTCGACCGATTACTAAATTCGCTTTAATAATATTGACATTATTTACATTATGTTCTTTTAAATATATCGAGTTCCCGCACAATATTATTTTCAATTCTTTAGCCTCTGATAACAATATCAACGACTTAATGCGATTTGTTGTAAATATATCTTGAAAACATAAATGTTGTAAAAAATAGAATATTTTCCAAATTATATTTTTCAATTAGAAATATATTTATTTTACATTAGGTAGGTATCTTTAAAAACAAGATTTTTGCCATTCCCATTAGAACATATATTTATTTCCCTTTTATTTAACCCCCTTTTTTATCACGGTAGGTACATTCAATGAAATACTCTTTAGATAAAGCAACAATCGCTTCATTGAAAATCATAAATAAATTCAACAATAAAAAACTTACTTATAGAAATCGGTTTTCACGCCTATCAAACAAACGGTGCTTAAAACGAGAAAAGCCTTGAGGAGCATTTTTCCGTGAAAATCGCACCAACAACGCGCACTTTTTAATGAAAATCGTTTTTTTCCTGTTCGCTCGGCTTCTAGACTATTCTCTCAACATTGAAGTGGACCCCATTTTATAAACGGAACCACCGGTACCATGGTGGGGTCACCGTTTACAATTGAAGACACGACAGCACCGGCTCTAGAATTTGCTTTAACAGCTTCTTTAACTAACAATGGGATATTCTACTTAGATTTTAAATCTAAAATTTTACGATTAAATACAGGGTCTTGAAAAAATCACTATGAACATTATGATGGTTTGTTTAGTAGAAGAATGAAATTGCTAAGTAGATATGCACATTTTCTGAATAAATAACCTAATTATCCAAAAACACGAAATTTTAGGTTGCATTTCGAGTCGAAAATAAAACCCAAAGAATCCATGCTTCTGTTCAAAAAGGTGGGAAAAAACAGTACTCAGTGAGTCCAAATAGAGTACAAAATTGATATATTGGGATTAGCGAGTTTTTGTTCCAGCCAAGCCGATCCTGCTGAAATGCCACCGTTAGTCGATCTCTCGAGTTTTGTTTTGTTTATATTTCTAGAAGAGTAAATGTAGGTAGTTCATACACCTACGAATTGAAAGGTAGGTAAGTTTTTACGCGCATCAGAGATCTGCAATTAATTAACACAAAGAGAGCGCAGAAGATGCGCAAGCAAATGCACCGAAAAATTAATTTACCTAGAGGAATGAATTAGGTAATTTGAATGTTATTTTCCTTACATTCCACTTTTTTTTAACTATTTTATGTATTGTAATGCGGCTCTATAGATATCTTCTTATGTTTGTCACCACGTACAGGCTTGAAGGATACTTCTTATTTGACAATACGAATAATAAGGAACCTACTAAAAGAACTTTTTTTAATTATCACAAGTATCCGTGTATTCATATAATCAATTAACATAAAAATGATTTCGTGAGTTAGATTTGAAAATACATAGGTACTTATAAATATAAAAAGAAAAAAAACAGTTATAGAGGTAAAACAAAGTATTCTCTATCGCAATAACGTGTATTCATGGAAGCAGGATATTCCTCATAAAGATATAAACACTGGTAAATACCATATACGTAATTATATAACAATTTTCTTATCAACATAGTTGAATAACTAATCATCAGGTACTTGTATGAGTACCTCCACAAATAAATTAGTTTCTAGAACGTTGTTCTCTATTAAGATACGTCTTGGGAGATGATAAATGTTGCGGAACAATGAAGATTATTAATAAATTGTTCGGTAATTAACAACAACTTTTTGAAAATTCCAATGTTTTCAAACAACCGTGCAATTGGTGGCTGATTTGCAGGGCAATCTGCAATATAATTTATTTCTTAAAATGTAATATAAATATTAACTACACACTGAATAGCTTATTCGTATTTTGTTCATTTGATAATCAACAGTGAAATACCAAACGTTTTCTCCTTTTTTTCTAATTCATGTATTGTTTTTATCCATCAAAAATCATCCTACCCCTTCGGAAAATTAACTTGTCTTATTCTTATTAGTATTCAGCAAACATCTCGCAAAACCTGCGAAATGACAAGTACAATATTACTGACGAACTGACTTACAAGAAGAGAAGAATAAGTTTGGTTATGTTTATGTGTCAGCCTCTCGCTCAACATTTTAAAAACACACTTTTATTTCCATTTAAACACCGTCACATCAATTTATTCAACACAATATGAATCTGGAGACCTGTTACATTTCCAGCAACTCCAATCAAGTTCCTACTACCGTCGATTGGGCTAAAAACAATTTAATTTGCTATGGGTCCTGCAACTCCGTTATGATTTACGACCCAGACGTAAGGAATAAAACATTTACACAGAATACACATTTAATTACACATTTCTTGTAGTACGGAAGCGGTGGAAAGGTAACTCACGTTTTAACAAAACACTCCAAGAGAGTTAATTCAGTGCGATGGTTGAGGGGCAAAGATGTACATAGTGAGAAAGAATTGATTTCTGGATCATCTGATGGGTCCGTATGCGTTTGGACCTTTGTTAATGATAAATACGAACCAACTTTATTAGAAGGCCACAGTTCAAATGTAAATATTGTAGATGGTTTATATAAAGAAGCACATTTTAAGAGTACTGTTATCGTAAGTGTTTCAATGGATCGCAGCGCCAAAATTTGGTACAGGAAAGATACTACAGGTAATTAATATAGTGGCCTGGTCAGTAAAGCAGTATATGCAGGTTACTCGTGTAAATACATCTTTACCCAAAACAGGCTACGTTCAATAATTATATCTAAGTCTATTAGTTATATCGACTAGTTGGGTAATTCTTTGGTAGTTCATAAAGTAGAGAATATTCACTTGATACAAGTTGTAACAAACCAAAATACTTCTTACTTAATTAAATACTCTTTATTTTCCTATTACAGACAACTTCACAATGACTCAATCCATTGATTTTGGATATCACATTGCTGTAGCTCTGAGAGTAACGTGTTTACCCAACAGCGACGAAGTGCTACTGGTTTGCGCATTAGACGATTCCAAAATACGGGTGTATAACGAGAAACAGCAGGATCCCATTGAATTCGAGAACTCGGCACAGCTGATGGGCCATGAAGATTGGGTACGAGGACTTGATTTCACAATTGAAGGTGTGTAGGTTGGTCAGGTTACCTGGAATATGGAATACAGAAGATAGCTTTGTACTCAATTGTAGAAAGTAGTATCAACTACTACTGTAATTTTCCCATATGAACCAGGATTTCTGAATCTTCAATATATTTGCAGGAGACGATTTGATTTTGGCATCGTCCTCTCAAGATTCCTTCATCAAATTGTGGCGTTTCACTACGAAAACTATCAATGCAGACTCTATAGAAAAAACTCAAGTAACGGTTCGAAATAAATTGTTAAATGTTTATGTCGAGTCCGTGCTATCGGGGCACGAAGGATGGGTGTATTCTGTGAATTGGAGCCCGAACGGCAAGCAATTGTTGTCTGCTTCCATTGACAAAAGTATGATCATCTGGGAATTTGACGAAACATCGGAATTGTGGACTGAAAAAATTCGCGTTGGTGAAATCGGAGGTAATTTATAGTAATCTATTCAATATTGTATTAATTGAGAGGTATTTAACCCTTTAAGGCAACACTCTCGGATTTTACGGGGGTCTTTTCGGACCAAATGGCGATGCAGTTTTGGGTCACAGTTACCACGGTGCCTTTCACATTTGGAAACGTCTCGAAGAACAAAACGACTGGCTGCCTACTGTCACAGTAGGAGGTCATTTCAACGAGGTTACAGACTGCACTTGGGAACCACAGGGACAGTTTTTGTTTTCATTGAGTAGCGATCAAACGACTAGAATCCATGCTCCTTGGAAACGCCAAGGAAGGAAAGTAAGTTTTGAGTAAATCCTTATCATTTCATCGCCAGATTAGCTTATACATATTTTATTTATTACCAAGTAATGCAATATTTAATACACTTATTCATTTTGTACTTATGATATTAATATTTTTAGGCTACATGGCATGAAATAGCGAGACCTCAAGTACACGGTTATGATATGAACTCTATAGCGGTGATGTCTCGTTATCAAATTGCTTCGGCTGCCGAGGAGAAAGTCATAAGGATTTTCCACGCTCCAATAAACTTTGTAGAAAATTTTAACCGTATTTGCCATGCTGATGGAGATTTACAAGGAGATTCGATTTTGAAAGGTACACTAACCTGTCGACATTATAAATTTATCCTAATAGTACAATTCAATGTTACTATATTTGTTATATGTATTATTATTGTTGTTTCAGAAAATAGTATGGGTCCTAAAGGAGCGTCAGTTCCTTCATTAGGGTTATCCAATAAAGCTGTGTATTCAGACGATAATTTCGATGAAATAATACCAACCGATAGGAAAAATCCGTACCCAGAAGAATCTCAATTTACAGCAATAGATCTCACTGGTAGGCTCTTCATTTTTTAATCGTTAATTGGTACTTTTTGATCAGTATACAGCGACTGCAACATTAAAGATTATTATCAATAGATATAACATTTACTGTGTAACTACTAGTATTAGAATCTATGGAATACTGCTTATCTAATTCTAGTGTAATTGGATTTTAAAGAGATACTGTGTAACTATTATCTAGTCTAGTACATGAGCCGGCCGAATACTGATTACCTAACACTGGTGTAATACTGTTTACACATTTCGATGATCCTTTTAGAACCACCTACTGAAGAAACTTTGCTTCAAAACACCCTGTGGCCGGAAATTCAGAAACTATACGGACACGGCTATGAAGTCTATTGTTTAGCAGCATCTCCTGATGGCAAATACCTCGCATCAGCTTGTAAGTCCAACAAACCAGAACACGCTGCTATTCTATTATGGTAAGAATGTTGGACTATGCTTAATGAAAGCTAGATAATAATTATTTTTGTTACTTTTAGGGATACATGCAATTGGAAACTGGTCCAAAAACTAATGTCGCACGCTCTTACAGTAGTCCAAATGCAATTTTCTCCGGATAATAAATTTCTGCTGTCGGTGTCCAGGGATAGAAGATGGTCATTATTTGCTAAACAAGCCGATGGGCAATTTTACTTAGACGGTACTACCGATAAAAGCACGTCTGTGCATACAAGGATAATTTGGTCTTGTTGTTGGTCGCATGATTCCCAATATTTTGCCACAGGTTTGATATTCCATTTGCGAAATTTAGTGTAAATTTATGAATATTTGCTTAGGTTCGCGAGATGGAAAAATTGGTGTCTGGTCGATAAGAAAAAACAAAGAAACTGGGAAATATGGAACCGCTTCGGAACCGTTAGTTATCAAAAATGAATCCATTACAGCCGTTGCATTCGCTCCTGAATTAATTTGCGAAAAATACTTATTGGCTGTTGGTATGGAAAGTGGCCAAATCGAGTTGTTCAGTTGGTTGCCTCAAGAATGGACAAAAATTTCGATATTTTCTACGACGTAAGGTTTTATTAATTTGGATTGCATTATTTTTATTGAAACTTCTTTTCCTCAGGGATTATCATCATTTAACTGTGAAGAAACTGGTATTTAGGCCGTTACTTGGTGAAGCTGGCGAAAATGAGTCCAAAAACGTTTTGCAATTAGCTAGCTGCAGCTCTGATTGTTCTGTTAAAATATTTAATATAATTATTAATAAAGAATGATGAAATCATATTTAAGCTTGTTTTTTTAAAAACTAAAAATTTACTTATTTGTTAAATATGGAAAAATGTTCATGGCTAATCAAAGTTATATCAAAGGCCACTCAAGTAAGTGGCTGTATGTCCTATAGCAAGAGGACTTGGTAAGAGAAGAAAAACATTGACATTGACGTAGCTTTCAATGACAATAATGACAGCAAGGAAAGACCGTTGGTTTTAAAGCATTTTGATTTTGATTTCATTTTCTGTTTTTTTTCTTTAATTGTACTGATGATGAACAATAACAACGATTTTCCGGTATGTATCATCATATTTATCCATGTTTACATTTAAAATTTACTATCGAAGCTGAACCAGAGGTTTAACATCATTATTTGCTGTTGCTTTATGGATCTTGAATCTCTGTTTACAAATCTCAGTCGAAAATTGTTGCCTAAATCGTTTACAAGTGTTTTAGCAACAACTTATTTATAACTATGTTTTAGCTTGCTAAATACAAAAAGGCTATGGAGAATATGTACTTTCAAAGTAGACTGAAAACCTACACAAAGTGGCGTTTTTCTGCGAATCACAACTGCAGTGCTTCTAAGGTAAGTAGTACCTTTTAAAGTACTCAGAACTTTTAATTTTCCACCCAAATGTCTCACCTAATGCTAAATTATCCGTTATACGAGGGTGCGGTGAAGAGTTCTCGGCTCAAATAATTTACTTGTCTAAACCCATTTGGAACGCTCCAGAATCATTTAGAACTTTCCAGAATCATTTTAAACTGTCTGAACCCATTTGTAATGCTTCAGAAACATTTAGAACTCTCTAGACTCATTTAGAACATCTAAAACCATTTAGGACGCTCCAGAATCATTTAAAACTGTCTTGAACTAATGATTTTGATTTAATATGGCCTTAATTATTTCATAGCCAGGCCAAGAACTTTTCACCCTACCGTAGAAAATATCAATGAAAAGTTACTTACATTGTGAACATTGCGAATCATTTTTTTTTAATTTTTCTAATTTATGATATTCTACAGATTTATTTTAAATATACTCACTTTTATCCAGCTGTATCTTAATTTTCTCCTATTCCTTTTCATCTTCCCATGTTTACAGTTTTATGACTAAAGAATAATTTTATTAATTCTTAATCCTTATTTTATATTTAAGATGGCAGAAGCTGGTTTTATTTGCGTAGCCACTAAGGACACGGAACCGGATCTAGTAAGATGCTTTTTCTGCAAGAAAGAATTGGACGGTTGGGACGCCTCTGATGTTCCATGGGATGAGCACAAAAGTCATTCCACCAAATGCTTATTTGCTCAATTACAAAAACATGAAGACGATATGACTGTTAAGGAATTTTTACTGTTGCAGAAAGAATTGATGATCAATCTTATTTCTAATCATTTCGAAGACAAGGAGAAACAAGTTAAAAAGCTGTGCCATAAGAAGAAACTTTCATTGAACTAAAGTTGAATAATTTTAAACTTTTTTTTCACGTATTGTATTTTTAATAGGATTGGTTTTGCTAAAACTTCACAATCATACTTGCAATGGAAATTTGTATATACTTTTTTTACTATATAATATAGATGTTGGAGCTGATTATCTGCTGTACTCACCCCATTATCACTTCAGGTGTCTGATAATGAAATTTGTATACTATGCAAATTGGAAAGAGAAAGGGATTGTCTTGGAATTGCCGACAACAACTTCATTAGATATTCTGAATTGTAAATTTATGTAAATACGTTTGTATTATTTTATTAATCACTACCACACACATACATCACGTCATATTTTCCATAGTTTTGCGAATTTGAATATTTACATCTGAATCGCGGATTGATTAAATCTTCCCATCTTCTATACTGATGTTAATTAATTGTAATCGAAAAGACTTAAAATCATTTTGTTTTTAACATGAAAATGGGAAATTTTGACATTACTTAAAAATTGTGAAAGTACTACTATAAAAATAGTACCTGGAAATTTGGAATAAAACGCAAAATTCCTAATCTTCATTATTTCTTGAGTGTTCTTCAAAATATGGTCTAGCGAATCCTTTATGGACATTTATGGAGTCAAAACTGGTTCTGTGAAGTGGCAATTTTGAGTTTGGGAAACAAAAAAATGTCACACGAGGGTAAATATGATGAGTAAATGGCTGATTGATGGTACTTCACACGAACCAACGTCTGCATCGACCAGTTGACGATAATCGCATGTGCGATTGGTTGAGCAAAATCAAACGAGCGGTTTCATGAGAGAGATGTTAAAGTCAAGTGCTACTTCTCTAATACTAGCATGATGATTTTCGAATTCAATTTTCTTCATTTTCTCGCCGTTATCATTGGTTAAAGAGGTCGAAGACCGCCCGGAACAAGACAAGTCTTTAGCGTTCTCCCGACTGTCTTTAAAAGTTTTCTACCATTCGTAAATATGGGTTTTCGATAAAACAGAGTCACCTTAAGCATTTGCATCGATTCGGCCCAATAAATTCCTTTCAAAACCCAAAATATGAGACAAACTCTTTGTTATTTTGTGTTATTTTTGTCTATTGCAAAATTCGCAGAGCACTACTAAGATGAACTGATTCAATCAGCTGCTACAACCAAACTGATTGAGAAATCTCTCTAATTTTTTGCATGCTAATTAATAACTGCGTTACCTACACACAGAAACTTGAAAGAGTTAAAAATATTAAGTGCAGGTAAATAAAATCAGAATTTCCGTGTACTTTTTTGTCAGAATTCCATGAAATTGCGGAGTGGAAATTTTCACAAATTTTCACTTAGTATCAAACTACAATTTCGTTGTTTTTTGGGCAAAGTAATCGATTTATTTCCAAAGCAATGGTTCATATTTTCAACGAGCATTCCTCTTTGTAGAAGAGGAACATGCCCGGCATAAAATTTTACATATCACTTGGGGGACTCAATCTCTGGAATCCGAGACGTATTATGGGTAATCCGTGAGAGCGCGTCCGAAATGTGTATAGATTCGCTGAGGGCTTAACTTTGAATCTGTCCTCCAAGTGCTTGCTGTACCCAGCATATCGTTCGTTTCCTGTTCGATTTTCGGAATTTCTGTATTATCCTGCGATTCTATATTTCACAACGCTTGTTTGATAGTCGAACGAAATTCAATAACACTTGTTTCTACTTGGATATTTGCTATTTTACTATTACATTTTCAATATTTTTCTACATTTTTCTGCTGCATTTAACAGAAAATAAGCATACCAACGATGAAATTATGAGCCAAATAAATTAATACTGGATAGGTTGCTAAACACAAGAGTGTTTTTATATGAATTTTGTTCTGTAGTTAACAGAAAACAGTCAAATAACGTTAATAAGTCATACACATAAGTATACTTTTAACATCTCGACCTTGCCGTTTCCTCAACATTTAATTATTGCATTTAATACGGTGTAACGTTGGTGAAGTCCTTAATTACTGAGTTAATGAATTGACATTAATAGTACAGAGTGGATATGATTTATTGGAATCGATATGACTGTTTAATAGATGTTGATTAGTACATATGTACATTGGAGTTTGTAGGCCCTAAATAACGTATTCCGAAGGAACTGAAATCGACGAATTCTATTCGTACTATTTATGTAGGTACGCGGAAATTTATACTTTTGGTTGAAAAGTGCGATTTTTTTAATACTAGGCAATAATAAACTTTTATTTTCCCCGTACAATCAAATGTTACATTTAGTTAAAACGAATTTATTGGCAAGATAAGATACAAGCCCTTAAGTGAATTACGTACAAATTAAATTTTAATTAGAAAATACATATTTAATGGATGATAATTATTTAATAATTGCGCTCCCACTTCTACCTTCCCTCCGAAATTCCAATTTTAATTTTCCACCAGGCACAAACGGAGCTATTTACGTAACATGGAGCCCTTGTAAACCAATTACAATATATAAAAAACCATTTTAAAAATACTTGTACGGTATTAAAATTAAATCGCTGAAGGACGTTTCTGCGCCATCCCGCGACAATTAACCGTCCCCGTTTCCTGTTATTGCGCTACAAAGTTTAAATCTACCACTCGCACTGCAACTATTTCAGTACCTGTTCAAGTTCGATCGAACGTAAACTAATTGAAAACAAAAATGAATTTGTTAACGCGCGGTTCGATTATTCTGTTAATCGAATTACTAGCGGAATTCCTCGTCACCGGAACCGAAGGCGCTTCTCTGCAGAGCATCGGAGTGAAGAATACGCTGTACGAGCTGCCCGGACTGGGAAATCGTCCCGTTCTCATAAAAACTATACCGGGAATTGAAAATTACCGGAGCGACATATTCGAAGTTTACATGGAACCCTACCTTCAAGTAAGCCATATTCGCATAAATTAATGATCGCTCTAAGGTCGATTCGATCGCAGGATTTGAACACTCGAGTCGCCGTCGTCCTGCTTCAAGGCGTCGCGGACAGTGGAGTAGCGGGGGAATTGATGCTTGTCCAACAGGATCCGCCGTTTGGACCCACGCTTATCACGGGCAACGTCACTGGATTGCCAGCCGGAAAGCACGGCCTTCACGTACATCAATCGGGCGATCTGAGACAGGGATGTGAAAAAATCGGAGGACATTTCAATCCATATTTGGTAATCATACTACATTAATTAACTCGTATGTTGTTTGTCTCGATTCAATTCGCTTCGACAGAATGTAATTCAGTTTATTATAAAGGGTGTTTTATAGGTAAATGGAGATATTTTGGACCCATTAGTTATCAAGAAAATCGATTTAATTCGGGCCGTTTTTTACCACCTAGATAAAATCTATTAATTGTTACAAATTAATAATGCCCTTTACTTATAAAAATTCCTGCATATATGCAGGATGTTAATGAATATTATCCTAAATAGTGATAACATCAATAAACCTCCTGAATAATGTATTTCTTTGGTTCATTTCATACAAATATACTTCCGCAAGGGCTTTGTTATGAATAGGTATTTATCTACATGTTATAATTTCAAGATAATTTTTTACTCCTAGGTTAATATGAAATTTTAAAATGTTCCAAAAGAATTACATGCTATGTAGAACGACCCTGTATATTTATGAGTATATATATATTTTTTTTAGTTGCGCCACGGGGCTCCGTTCGATCCGATCAGACACGTTGGAGACCTGGGCAATATTGAAGCAGGCGAAGGGGGTGCGATAGAAATTAAATTCGTCGATGCTCTGATTTCACTTACAGGTGGTCCTAGGGGTGTAGTCGGGCGATCTGTTGCTATTTCAACGAACGAGGACGATTTAGGTGTGGCTGGAACGGCCGATAGTCTGTTGGATGGGCAATCGGGTAAGCCTTTGGCGTGCGGAGTTATCGCTTATGCTAGATAGACTTTGTAAATTTATTGGGCGGTTTTTTTGTTCGGTTTCGTATACATATTGAGTAGGTTGTAAAATTTTTAATTTCGTAAGAAATCTTTGTTAATACCAAATATAATAATTCTGTGTCCAATTAAATTGGAAACATAACACCAGAATAATGATGATTCTTTTAATTAAACAGAAAAAAACTAATCTCTTGTTTTAATAGTAAAGAAGCTGCATCCGTTTGATAAATCATTCGATGGATGTAATATTTTAGGGGAGGGTAGGGTAGGGTAGGAAAATATTTCGAAATCTAAATTGAAAAATGTACATATAAATAATGCATTAGCCGGGACTGGCCTGCGGCTGTAGCTTCTCGGCTATTATTGATTCTTTCTGTTATTCTGATAGACGATATGCAAAACTGAAAGTATACAAAACAACCCCGTAACCCGAATTTCATAATCTGGAAAATGTTTGCCGAAAAAAGAGGAAAATTTGAAATACTGAAAATGGATTATTGCTTATTATTGCTGGATTATTGCTAATTTTACAAAACAATCTAATTTGATAAATCAAGTGTTTTTTTGTTGGCTATTGTTCGTTTTTCTTAAGGTTTTTTCCGCAAAAAAACTATCAAAAAATAAGGAATATCGAGTATTGTCGATGGGGCGACGGTATTTCCATAATTTTCTAAAATTTCCAAAGTTCTTTTCCAATTCGAAGCGTCTAAAGTGGAGCGCGACAAGCATATCAATGCAAACGAATTCTCGTAAAAATGGTGCTAAAGCTAACTACATGCGGATACAGTGCTGCCAAAAGGAAGAAAATTTTTTGTTTTCGAGGAATTTGGCAACAAGAACACGAATGAGATGTTAATCTTTAAGAGAGATGACCTTTCGTTCTGAATTTATAGGGGGAAGTTCAGATCATATTTTTGGTCCCAAAATAATTTTCTCAATTGCTTCAATAATCCGAAATATAGTAGGTAATGAGAGAAATTAAACTTACTTACTCATCACCTAACTTAAAAGAAGATTTTTGTGAATTCAACGTTGTTTTTTTCATTTTAATTTTAGAGTTGTTTAGTGATTGATTTTTCAGGATTATAAATTTTTATCATTTTGGATAAATTATATACAACTAATTTTCAATGATCGGCAACACCGCGTAGAGATCTCATTTCTGTCTTACACTACTGAACCAGTAAACTTTCCGTGGAGCAGTCAGCGAGGAGAGAAAGGTTAAACTTGGGGATTTCTGTCAATTTCTGCAACTTCGCCAACGTACAAACACCGTCGAATCAGCAGGATCCAAAGTAACCTATTCACGGGAACAGAAATAGGAATAGGCCAGATGACATATTTAATGGATTTGTACATTATCCATCCTTCGAAATCCCCATCAAGTATTAATCCACAAATTGATCCGCAAATTTGCATGCACGTCCTAATAGGGACAAAGACTGACACTGTGGTATTAAATTTTGGATATAAAAAAGAGGGTGGAAAGTGAAAACCCTTGACCTACTCGGCTTAAAGTAATTCCCATTAATCCACTCATTTGTTCATAAATAGTTATTGCCTCAAAGTTCTTTGAGGTGCAGGCGGAAAAACGGCGCGTCGCGGCGCGCTGGCGTCCGGGCCGCCGGCCCTCCACGTCGTGCCGTCGGGATGCTGGGGATCCAGCGAGAGTCTGCCAGGAGCAGAGCGAAGCGGAGCCGAGCAGAACAGAGTAAAGCAGAGCAGAGCAGATCAGAGCAAGGGCGTAGGGTGGTGTTTTTTGACGGCGCCGCCGCAGGAAATTCGCGTCTGGGCCGGCGACACGGACACGCGCGCATCCATTTCGCGATGGGGCTCAACGAGAGCCAGATCAGGTAGAAGGTGTGCGCGAACCGATTTCCTCGACGACTCGCGGATACGTTGCGACTCGAAATAGGTACACACACACTCACTCACACACACAGTTAGGGTGGTTGGTATATATCGGTGTCGGTATGGCTGTGAATTATGTTTGTTACACGTAACGCGAAATGCTGTGCTGGTGGATACACTGTTTGGCCGCCGTCGCCTGCTGGCTACACGCCGGTTCTTCGGCTGCTACTAAAAGAGGTAAATTTACGTTTGCTTTGGTCTTGTTGAGAGAGCGTGCTGGTGGTTATATCGACTGATGCACGTTTTCTTATTTCATCTGTAGTTGTGTTGGTTATGTGTTTTTATGCATGGCATTACGACATACCGTCGAAAATTTGGCACAGTTTGGAATATAAAAATATACTCCGTATACACTCAAAAGTTCTGAGGTTTCGGGAAGTAAAATTGCATTTTCCAGCTTTATCTCAACGGTTCCAATGATACTACTTTTATTAATTAACAACAAAATATTTATGGTAACACTTTGTTGTTAGAGACAGTCTTATCATGTGTTACCATTTACATTAAAAACACTAGGCCTAAAAAAATCCCAAAAAAGATTTTTTTATAGCCCCATAAAGCAGGATAGCCCCTTAAATAAATTTACACCAATCTAAAGTCATCACACAAAAAAGGGGCAATTTTTCTTCTTAACGCCCCCTGCTTGGACGCCTCTAAATCAAAGTTATAATCACACAGAGTTCGGTAAAATTTATATCTAAAAATATTGAAAATGTGAATATTAGTGTATGTAGCAATATTTTTGAATTTATAGCGCGCATCAGTTGCGGACTATAACATAAAAACCATCTTCTGAGTTGGACCCTTGAGATCTTGCAGTTGCCTAAGGATATAGTTACTTTAGGAAAATGTTCATATAGGAGCTTTTCACCTTATTTTTAAATTCAGAATCGACCTTTTTCCGCAACACTATGTATGCGTAGGTATTTTGAATTAGCATAATTAGAAAACAATAATAATACTAATTTCTAAAGCCTATCGTGATAGAGAGAAACAATTTTTTTGCTATTTGTATATTTTTTAAGAAATTTCTTCTCATATATTGTAAAAAACGACAGATTTTTATTATATCTACTTCTAGGCGTTAAAATATTTAAATATCTGCACCCTCAAAAGTTTTTAATAAGAAAACAATTTCTTATATGTAATCTATTAGTTGTTGAAATAAAAATAATAAAACTTCAACACAAAGAGGGGAATATCAACAAAAATATTGAAGAACATTCTTCATTTTATTATTCTTTTATTGCAGTGGTAAAACATTCGTAGCGGAGATTATGAGATGTAGAATACAAAAATTATAATACATTCATTATTGTAGATGAAACACTGTCTCGTATAACTTTAGAGTTTCCTTGTTTTTGTTAACATGTCTTCTATTTAGTAATCCTGTAAATTACATTATTAAATTATATTGCCTATTACAGTTAAGTGCGTCTAAAAATCAATAAATTTGTTAGAACGTTCCGGATAAAAAGTTTCTTTTTTTCGAAGCTCTACTTCCATTATCCATATAAAATAAATTTCGATATCTCCCGAACCCCTTCAGAAACATCCTCTTGGATAAATTGCCGAACATTTGCGAACAAAAAACTCCTCGATGAGTATATAGAGTACCCGATATGTAAATCCCCCGTTCACCGGGGCTCTAGTGCTGCAATATCAAACAGAGAAAAGTAAAAAGTATTTTTCAAATCCACCTACCGAAATTTCCCCCACTGACGTCCCTCCATCGATCCGGATCTAAGGCAGAAATCGCGAACCCCGTTTATTTTTTCCTCTTCTCGTTTTTTCCTCATCTTTTCATTTAAGTTTGACTTAAATAGCATGCGATTTAAAACCGATCGGGGCCCGTCTTTTGCACCACTGTCAGTTAGATGGTGTTTTGGGGAATAATGGTTTTATTGGAGAAGGAGATGGATCAATTTTCATTACTTGTAAATTTAACTACGGTTTCCTTTTATCTTATTACTTTATCGGTTTCTGTTTTACGTTTGTTTCAATTCGACGAAATTCGATATAATAAAACGTAATCATCGAAGGGTTCTGGAGTTTGTATAATTTATTTTTTAAACTCGCTTTCGAATGCCCATCAAAAGCGCCAGCATTCTCATTATACATTCTTTTCAGTCTTGAATATGCAAAAAAACTCCATAAACGAATGAGTCTAATATGACCAACCTATGCTTCAATCATTTCAATCGATAGAAAAAATCTCCATTAATCAACATATAATTGGAAAGAACACTTGGGAAAAAACCGGTTCATTCCACACTAAAATCCAATAATAGTTGGAAAAGTCATTGTCTTCGATTACACTTTCCATTTAGTATTCAGTGCGACTTCTTCTATAACTTTAGGGACAATTACAAGGAAGAGGAGCTATAATGAAAGTTCTTGGAAAATCTGATTTGGAATTGCAAATTTCATATAATAGAAAGCCGAAGGAAGGGAATCAGATTTAGATATCCGGATAGGCCGCGTATATTTAAGGAATTTAAGACCTAAAAAAAGGGTCCGTATATTCGGATTCGCGAGGGTTCCTTTAAATCCAGTAATACCCGAATTGGGCCAGATGAAAATACTAGTTTACACTCAACAATCCTAAATAATTTTACTTACGAAAATATCTAATATACCCCCAGTATCTTCATATATTAATGGCAATGCGAAAGGTGGCCGAGCATTCAATTCCAAATATCAGCGGTCGGCTCCCCATGAAAACCTGCAAATGACATTGCGGTAAATTACAAAGACTCATGGAAATATTTTTCCGGGATGAATTTGGCCAGGAAGCGGCCGAAATTCTTTCGGATCTCATTTAATTTTAAATGGAACGAGATGATATAGCAAGATTAAAATTAACCTAACTAGAAGTTGGGCGACTGCATGGAAACATCCATTCTCGTGGAGATTTATGCAAGGCAATTTTTGCTTAAGCTTTAATCTAAAAAAATCGATTATTTTCCTGCGAGTGGTTCTTTAATTTAACAGTTTAATGTCGCCTAGCTACTGTGTAGGTACATGTTACAACAAGGTTGAAAAAATTGAAAAAAGCTTTTCTTTCATCGGAATTACTGTTTAAGAACACGCACTTTACGTCACTATAACTCCAGCTTTGATAACTGGCCGTTTACTCTGTTAAGCGGGATTTTCCTCGGCGATATTTATTTTGTACAGCTGGAAACAAGGGGAAAATTGATGAGACAACAGCGATAGTTACATTGATTGAAGCTATAAAGGCGCTTTACTGTCCCGTTAAGAGGTATGAAAAATACTGTTAAACGAGTTTTTCACTTGTAAACTTTTCACCTAAAACTAAACTTAAAATTCAGGGTTGATTGGATTTTTTTAAAGGATAATATGAGTTCGTAAATGCGGTTTATTGAGAACGTTTTGCTTCGTGTAAAGAATTTATATTGGTAATAAAATATTTAAAGCTTTATTCATTGTGTAGAATTTCGCATTGAGCCCTTATCGAATGTTCCAATAAAAAGAAATTTGAAATGTTTAAAATTGTTGGAATATTTCCTCGTTTCCTAATTTAGTATTCAGATTGGAGAATTCTTATGGAACAAAGCTGCGGGGGTCAGTGACTGATTCAATAATGGATCATTTACTGATAGAATGTTTTTTTTTAATAGTATCTTATAATAATATTAATAATAGTATATTAATCGCAATAATATATTGAATCAATGAATTTACATAACTGAAAAATTTCTTTAACGAAATTTCTTTGATGTACCTACCCCTTTCTATCTTTGCTCATTTCTATTTTCTGGTAACGTACGAGTTACCACACAATTGAATCGGAATTGAAATAGGTATGTTCCCTTTTAACATGTCTAAGGGGAGTGTTCGTGTTTATTTTAACTACATCGTTCTGGTATTATTTGACGAAATTAAGGATACATTCTGGAGCAAATAAATATAATATTCAGAAAATTAAACAAGCGATAGTTGAACTTTTAGAGAGTTTTAAATATACAAACTTGCATAGATAGACGAATATAAAATTTAGTACCTATCCCTGAGAATTAAAAAGTCAGTCATAAACGAATTCTCGTTAATTTAACGAACTGTGTTCCTTTGTTCAAGATTCATATTTTAATCCTCTTTTCTATCTCTAAGGAGAAAACTTACCGAAGAAACTTTAATTGAAATTAGCACGGCCTTTATGGGGGACAAAGGAATTTAAAACTTGCGAAAAATTCAAGGGACTTCCGTCCTTACATTTTCAGAATCCGGAATATGTAAATAACAAGTCCTGTTGTAGATTCGACTGAGATGTTTCTCAAACTAATTAAAAACTGTCACAAATTGAATATTTATGTACAAACGAAGTTTGTTTATAGGCAGAAGTTAAATTGGGTTTTCACTTCTTATAAATGAGTCCATTGAATCGCTTTTAGTGAGTACCTACTGAAGGTGATTTCAAAGAATATAACTGTTTTGATTTTAAAACAGCGCTTTCCAATACGAAAGTTTGTTGCTAGTTACTCAAAAACTATTAAACATATTGTACAAGTTTGCATGTTCATTTTGAATATGATTTAAAATTTGCTTTTTATTTGTGAACAATTTTTTTTTAATTTTATTCTGTCTAGAATATAAAATGCGATGACGAAAAAAGCTAGAAAGGTTATCAATATTTCTGTCGTTTTAAAGAAAAATCTAGCGTTATATGGACTATAGAAGTGGTATCAATCTTGCCATAAAGAAGACGTTATATAGAGTGATAAAATGGCGACCCAATATTCTTTCATCGACGTAGAGATTATAATAAAAAATTATAAGGGCCGTATAAAAATCTATTGCGCAATTTAGTCCGGGTTAAGTGTAGTGATTTTTTACTTTGACGTCACCAAAATCGCAATCGAATTTTGTGGAAAATTTTTTGCAAATGGCATTACTATAATGTCGAGAAAATAATGGAGTAGGCTCGCAAATTCGTTTTTTAATTGAACCGTGATTTCTTTTCGAAGCCACTCGATTGATTTATTTAACATAACAGTGTTAATGACAGCTCCTGTATAAAACTTTTTCGTTTTTCCATACTCCAGTTTTCTCGCGATTTTCCTGATACCGCAGTGGTTCTTAAAAAGTTTTCAAGTCCAGGAAAATTCCTAATTGATTGTATTTTCACACGGGATGCTATCGGGAATTAACCAAAA